AATACCCGTGTAAAGCCGGGGCAGACTGCTAGTAGTAACTTCTGCACTTGGCCCATTTAATCTATCTTCTGGCTAGTCGATGATGCAACTTCCTGAAAGATAACGAGACCTAATTGGCAGACAGGTGAGCCAGAAATACGACTACGTGTTACGTGTCTGGAGCGATATTGTTCACTAATTAGAAAGACAGAATGAAGGAAAGTATTTTTAGTAACGATAAATTAATGTATCTTGCATTTTATATATTCTGTGGTATTTTATTAATAAATTACTAAATATAGTAAAAACAATAGTACCTTTAAATAAAACACTAACGGTTTAAATCGCGATATATTGGGTTAAATTGTTTGAAAATTCTTTTAATTACGGCCCAACGTTTCGGTTGCTTTGCAGAAGCCGTGGTCGCGGGAAGATTGACGAATAAGTTTAACTAGATATCTCGCGTTTGGAACCGTTAATGTTTTATTTAAATGTGTACTACTCGCGTAAACTACAGACAGTACTTAACAATTAAGTACTTTAATAATAATTAATTATTGTACTAAATTTTATTGCGAAATAAATATAAAGTACTACCTACTCGCTAAATTTAGTACAAAATTATAATTCAAGCAATTTCCTCAAAATGCAATACTTACTATTCTAGTGACTTGTTTGTGTATTATGTAAATGTACTTTTTTCTTTTTGTATAATTGAAACTAAATATTTTTTACCTGTATTACTTAATTTAAAATTGTTTTATTATACTTACATGTGCTACGGTACGAGGGAAACAAACTGGAATGAGTTTTTAGTACGCTTATATAATAAGTCTACGGTTACAACTTACAAACAGTTGAATAAACAAATAAAATTAAAAAATATTAACAGACTAGTTAAGGCTTCTGTCCCCGAACGTGAAACTATAGACAGTATTCAACACTGTCATTGTCAACACTGGTTATCGAACTATTATATATAGTTTTAAACAAAAATTAGCAACATTTAATATTATCCAATGCTAAATGCTTACCAATTTCAAAATCAATATATTACACAATGCACAACCACACAATATCTGTCAACTACTGTGCTAAATGTATTTTTAATACCAAATGCAGTGGCTCCGCGACTCATCCTGGCCCTGACACGTTTCACGAAATGACACATGGATTTCTGCAAAGACGCCGTCATCACCTTGGTTTTAAATGTGCTTGTAAGGAAAAGGTCAACCGAAATTGTCATGGATAGGTCAACTAGGAATATAGGCTTTTTAAATATATTCTAACTAGCTGTGCCAGCGACTTCGTCCGCGAGAATCGTTATTGAAAATCATCATCTTTATAAACTTAAAGTCCGCCTCCCGTCGTCATTAAAAGTTAATGTTAAAGGATAGCCCTACCTATACTGTCGCTGGCTATTTTTTAAATCATTTAAAGAGAAATCATTTCTACCCACATCTTTTTTGGGTATCTTGATCTTGAACCGTTTTCGCAGCGGCTCTGTTTACGGATTGGAAACCCACATCGCGTTCTAGCAACAATTGCTCTAACCAACACCAAATGAATTTTTCAATTTTAACCACTAGTTCCTGAGATAGCGCTTTCAAACGTACTAACAAACAAACTCTTCGGCTTCATCTATTAGAATAGAGTATAGATAAGGTGTCATTTTACGCAAGTAAAATGAAAACGGTTGTAAACGCTTAACTAAGATAATGGCATAACATTGGATAGATTTTGCTGCTGGTACAAAAATTATCTGGTTAGGTACTTATACAAATACCAAGTCATTTTAAATAATAGCCGTTTAAGCCGTTAAAATATTGATTAACACTTCAAATAATTATTATAAATTGATATTGAATTAGCTAATAAGTCGTTTTTTTCTCATAAGTGAAACACAGTGTAGAATATACATATGGGTAGGATAGTATAGACGTTTAGATATTTATAATATTTAAACATCATTTAGTAGCAATCAAAACTATCTTGTCTAAAGTGAGTCTACATCTAGGAACAATGATGTATTCTTGTTTAAATATAAGAACATGTAAACAAGAACGAGAAACGAAAGTGAACGCGTTAGCCTATGATCCATATCGATAAAGCGGTGATGGCGAACCGCCAAGTTTTAATTTAGCAAACGCTGATGTCATATTACTGTTTACTTGAAAATATTCAATTCAATATATAACACATAATAATATCTGCTATGGGCAAACGGTTATTTAACATGAGGCCACTAGAGGCACAGTGGCCTAACTGCAATTATGACTTGAGTTTATACAATTGAGTAATCTACAAGAGCCTAGCATGGCGTTCAGCGCGAGAGGTCTCAGGTTCGAATCCCAGGGTAACCAAAAAATGTTTCGGTCGGGCAGGGCACAGAAGTCTGATCAACTACTTGCCTGTTAGAGAACGGATAAGTGAAACGAACACAAAAATGTGTTCGCCCCATGCCCCACGAGGGGAAAACGGATTTCACTACACTACTAATTGCGCATTTTTATTTTCCTTTTTGAAAATCTTGTTTGTTGTTAATTAGGCCATTCTGCCTCTAGCCGCATACATGCTTAATGCTTAAAGTGATAACGATATAAATTGTTTAAATAATGAAAATATTTTATCAGAATCATAAGTACATAAGTAATTCTTTGTGACGAAAATTAAACAAATCACGTGGACAAAGAACGAAGGAAAAATAATGTTATAACCATCATATTTCAATGCGACATTTTTTCAAATTAAACTGTACGTACTCATCAAGCGAAGCAGGGATAAAGTACTAGTGCAATGGAGTTTGTACGATTTATATTTTTACTCACGAGTTCAGAGAACTACTGGACAGAGCTGCCAATGGCATTTGGCAATTCGTCTCGGAAGAATTGTCTTGATCCAAGCACTGTATGTGTCATATGTATAATAAAAGAGTCTGTTCACTGTTCATAGTGGGGCACGGATCGACACACTTATGCGTCCGTTTTACTGAATATAACAAGCTGTGTCAGCGACGTCGTTCGCGAAGAAAAGTCATTTTGGGCAGCCAAATTTATTTTTGCAAACCTCTTCATCTTTATACGCTTAAGCTGTTACCCACGACGTCGGTCGCGTCCCGCCGTTCATGCTAGTCAATCTTAAAAGATAGACATATAGCGTCGCGGACTTTGTTTTAGATCAGTCTTCCATACATATTTTTTGGGTATCTTGAACCTACGCAGGTTAACCCACACTGAAGAGTAATTTTTCAAATTTTTTTGACATTTCCCGATGTTTCTTCGCACCTATCACTCACAGCGCAATGTTTTATAGCCTTCTTTCCTCGATAAATGCTCTAACCAACACAAATTAATTGAAATTCGAACTATTAGTTCCTGAGATTAGCGCGTTCAAACAAACAAACCCTTCAGCTTTTTAAATTAGTATAGATTTACTGGCTTTAGCTGGTAATCAGCGGTATACTTAAATACAGAGGTCCAAGAGTATATCTTCCTGAGATACCTTGGTCCCTTCGCGCTTAACGCAATGAGCCATGCTCAGCCGATGATCTCATAATGAGCAATAATTCCAGGACCCAATCTCAGACCTTGCACTAAAAACTCAATGTTATTTAAGTTTTCGTTCAACTTGAGACGAAAACCACAATGCGTCATGCATATGATGCAAATGAGAATTTGTGGTAACTTTGTAATTGTACTAACCGAAAATATCATTAAAATGTGTGTATATTTTTATAAAGACTAAATATGTCGTTCACTTTATCTCCCAACATCCAATGCCAAAATAGGTCTAAAATACTTGACCATCCATGTAATATCCAGATTACCAGACGAAGTTTGATGTTTCAGTAGAGTTATAAATTTTTGTAATTATAAAATAAAATAAATATTTAGCTTCTAAAAAGGTTATTAGACTATTTTTTGGGGATGGGTAATGGGGATCGAATCCACAATCGATTATTAGTACATTACATAGCCAGCATGAAACCAACGAACCTGTATAATAAATGATTTTATGCTAAGTAAGTTCCTTATGGTTCACCCGAGTAGTAGGTTGGTATGTGTAAGATACTTGAAAAACAAAAAATGTTTTTTTTTTTAATATTAATTACTTACGATAGTTTAGTCATTTCCCTACTGAACCCAACGCACTCAAGAGCTACTTATATTTGTATCTTTTTAATCAAATAAAGTCTAAGAATGTGTAATACCATATATAGTCACGCATAATTAATTATACGCCTTCTTAACAGGCAATTTCGCAAGCTTAGAATGCCTACACAGCCTCAAAAATACAGATTGTAGATTAGCCTACTTCCAAGAGCCAGTCTAGTCCTAAGCCCTAAGGCTCCTAGAAATAACGGAGACACTATAAAAGGGAGTGCCACTTTGTTTTATAGAGAAAAGTATAAGGTCGTTTACTGTTAGGGCGAAACGCGATAAAAAGGTTTGGTGTACTTTTATATGACCGCTTCCGAGGCGCCAAAAAGGGTTTAACCCGATCGAGAGGGCCTTTGTTATTTAAGGGAAACATTAAATAATATATTCCTGTGACGTGTGTGTGACGATTTGTGAACCAGAAATTAAATCCATTAGATCTAAACAAGCGTCAGGTTCACGTAGAGTTTAGATACTTAAATGCACCAGACATAACACAGTCTAAGTGTTAGAATTTCGGGAATCTTCTTGAATACCTATTAGCAAAATAAAATATAAACAAACTAATTCGAACCGCCGTTTGTCTATCTCTAGTTCTATGCCCTTCCAGCGAGAAAAAAATTAATCAAATTTTCGTAAACGGTTACAACTTGGCAAATGACAAACCCCACAGAATTAAACTATTTGCAAAGAGGTGTAAATAAAAATAACATTGAGGCCAATCTTCAACATAGTATCAAAATTACAATGAAAGCAAAATAATAAAAACAATATATAAAAACAGGTTTATTATTACGATTTACGTATCTATAAATCACAATTATAAAGTTATAAATAGAGTTAACTATTCAAAATGTAACTTACATTTGTGAATCGTGACGAAGTTCGAAATCCACACTTCACACACAATTTTACTTGTTACACAAAAACTAAATTATCATTATAACACTGAAGGTCGTGCATTTGTTCACAGCGTATTTTTAAAGAAATTACTCGTGTCGCAGGCGCACACCTCGTCGCGTTCGCGGCGCGCTGAATGAAATAAGAAATATTATTTTAGCGCGCACGGCTTCTTGCCAAACAACTTGAATAAGAGCGGGAAATATTGAATGGTGTTACGAAACGGAAATGCCGACATTGAGACATTAAAAAAAAATACTGTATAGATAGTTTGTAATAATAATAACAAACTTATTAAATAACTGTAATAATTATGTTTGTCTTAATTAAGTAATAAGATTAATGTTTAATCGAATAACCAGTACAATAGAAAACATTTGATTCAACACATAGCTTGATATAATGTAAAATAGATGGCGCTGTACATATTTAATAAAAGATACAAATGATGAACCAAGCAAAGCAAATTAAGCAGCGAAATGATTGCAACTGTTGCCGCAAGAGGGCGTCCAACGCACTACATTTTTATAAAAAGTTAATATTGTTATTTTTGCATAATTCAAATAATTTTCAGATTATTTAACATGATTTATATTTAATTAAATATTATTCACTTAGTTGAAGTATATTTATAAATGTCAAATATATACTCGTTCATAATAAACACCGTGGAGTATGAAATACATATGCATAATGTTTAGATGATTTCTTTTGGCAATTTTGGTCTACATCATACTGTTTTGCCTGTAAAATGTTCAAATTAACTTGTGTTTTACTTGTTGTCTTAGTAAAAATAAGTAAAACCCAACAGAACAAATCCAGACGGTTGTGATAGTTTTATGTGTGGGTTTAATGTAATATGTATATGCACTCACACATCTGCTTTAACCGAAATTATAGAATAGTGCTGTTCACCCATTTGAATATCGATACCAGACTCAATCAATAACCTGCAACGACAAGACGTAGGTGTAAATTTGTAGGTACCCCTTAGAACAAAACTAAAAAAAACATAAATCAACTTTAAACAATTAATTTGAATACTAAAGAACAATAAACATTACACAGAATATTCAAGATTACTTTTTATTTTTATCAACAAAATGTGTGAGTTTATTTTATATTTTCATCAGTAACAAACAAAAACCCGAATACTATATGAATACCTATTAACTATAAGGTGTAGGCTTCAACCTATTACGAATATTTTTCTGACAATGTGAATTGTTCACAAGAAAATGATTCTTTGTGTATTAGACAAAGACAGTAACATCATTTTTTGGCAGAGCATGTTCCACTATAATAATATAAAACGAAACAATAAACGTCGATATCGATACTTATACTACACTATGCCAAAGATGAATCAGCAGCCCACATATTCCCGCAATGGTGAGATAATACAGCTATCACCGTATTGGTCGACACGCCTTTGCGGCATTACATCCACCAATCAGACTGAAGCATTTGCGGCGTCTGGCCCCCGCGGCACCGGTTGTATATAAACTGCCGTAACGGAAAATTCAATGTTAATACTCGTTCGGCAAGCCTCTTAACTGGTCGCGCTGAACGTCGACTGACATTAATTTAATAATTTATTTGTACGTTAGTTCAACAAAACTACTTCAAAATGGTGAGTAAATGTATTTTTATTTGTTATCATCGCATGTATTATCTTCAAGCGTAGTTCATTTACTTTTCACGAACGTTTAAAAAGCCGGGTGGATCGCCATCTTGTCGGCGTTCTATGCACGAGGCCGGGTGTGGCATTCTTTATTTTAATTTCGTTAGATATCGTTAAGCGTTTTGTTATTCTTCTTTTGAATTCAAATACTAAATGAAAATTCTTTAGTTTCAAATTTAAATGTGGAATTCGATTTTTATAATCATAGATAAATCTTTACACGTCATTCGCTTCCGGTGATTTATGAATTTAAGTTATTTACCACGCATTAAATGATTTCATTTTAAAACATTTTTATGCATATTACAAATATACTTAACAAAATCGATGACGTGGTTTGACCTCAATGAAGGCTAGACTGTATCGAATGACGTCATTGCTATCGATTTTGTCAACACCGGTCGCCACCCCAGTCCGCCATTTTATTGTTATATTATTTCATGAAAAGAAACTCCAATTCATCTTATTTTACGGCACTCAAAGATAGTTCCGAAAGCGTATGTAGGTTATGGGATCGTAACTTTCTACTTTCCCTGTAATGAACCTAGAAAGTTCTTTCACATAAGATAAAGCAACATCAAAGTTCAATAACCTTTTAGTATCGTAAATTTTTTTGAATTATGATAGAAGCTCGAGTTGGTTCATGATTTGTTAATAAAAACTAGTAGGCTATGTTCATTTTATATTGTTCTGAACGATTTGTGTTTACTGTACCAACATTGAATAATTATTTTATTTTTCCAACAGCGTGAATGTATCTCAGTCCACGTCGGCCAAGCCGGAGTCCAGATCGGTAACGCCTGCTGGGAATTGTACTGCCTGGAGCATGGAATCCAGCCTGATGGCCAGATGCCAACAGACAAGACCATTGGTGGTGGAGATGACTCTTTCAACACTTTCTTCAGTGAGACCGGAGCTGGCAAGCACGTCCCCAGGGCTGTGTTTGTTGACTTGGAACCTACAGTAGTTGGTGCGTTTTATTGTCCATTACAAGTTTGAATAATTAACATTCTTTTAAGAACCTATTTCTGACTATATTTATTCATCCACAGATGAGGTTCGTACTGGCACATACAGACAGTTGTTTCATCCAGAACAACTTATCACTGGTAAGGAAGATGCCGCCAACAACTATGCGCGTGGTCACTACACAATCGGCAAGGAAATCGTAGACTTAGTACTAGACAGAATCCGCAAGCTCGCTGACCAGTGCACTGGTCTTCAAGGTTTCCTCATCTTCCACTCATTCGGTGGAGGTACTGGCTCAGGTTTCACCTCCCTCCTTATGGAACGTCTCTCAGTGGACTACGGAAAGAAGTCCAAGCTCGAGTTCGCCATCTACCCAGCTCCCCAAGTCTCAACCGCTGTTGTTGAACCATACAACTCTATCCTCACCACCCACACAACCCTTGAGCACTCCGACTGTGCTTTCATGGTCGACAACGAAGCCATCTACGACATCTGCAGACGTAACCTGGACATTGAACGCCCAACGTACACCAACTTGAACAGACTGATCGGTCAAATTGTATCTTCGATCACCGCCTCCCTGCGTTTCGACGGCGCACTCAACGTCGATCTAACCGAGTTCCAGACCAACTTGGTGCCATACCCACGTATCCACTTCCCCTTGGTAACTTACGCCCCAGTCATCTCTGCCGAGAAGGCTTACCACGAGCAGCTGTCCGTAGCTGAAATCACCAACGCTTGCTTCGAGCCAGCCAACCAGATGGTCAAATGTGACCCGCGTCACGGTAAATACATGGCCTGTTGTATGTTGTACCGTGGTGATGTCGTGCCCAAGGACGTGAACGCCGCTATCGCCACCATCAAGACCAAGCGTACCATTCAGTTCGTCGACTGGTGTCCAACTGGTTTCAAGGTTGGTATCAACTACCAGCCACCAACTGTTGTCCCTGGCGGTGACTTGGCCAAGGTACAGCGTGCCGTATGCATGTTGTCCAACACCACAGCCATCGCTGAGGCTTGGGCTCGCCTTGACCACAAGTTCGACCTTATGTACGCCAAGCGTGCTTTCGTCCACTGGTACGTCGGAGAGGGTATGGAGGAAGGAGAATTCTCAGAAGCCCGTGAGGACTTGGCCGCCCTCGAGAAGGACTACGAAGAGGTCGGCATGGACTCCGCTGAGGGTGAAGGCGAGGGTGCTGAAGAATACTAATTTATTTCGAAGTCATTCCGCACCAAACATGAATAAAAAAATGTGATTTATACTTTCGTTTCCTTTTACCAGATTCACGAATACCTTTTTATAAAGTTAATTATAGTAAATTGCTTGAACTTTTTACTTAATTTTTTAAGAAAAATAATCGTCTGAAACTAACTAAACAAATAGTTATGTAAAATCACGATATCTACAAATTATCATAATCAAATGCCTATTACAGATTGTTTCTAAATATTTGTAACCAAAGTTATTAACGTACCTGCTGTCTGCAGATAATTAAAAAATACAGATAGAAAATACAGGTACCTCAAGAACGATATATAGGCTGCTGAACTACTGACTAGGTACTTCAAAATATTACATGATAAACTAGCGAAATCCGTTCCCCTAAGCTAGGACATGGGGTGAATATGTGGCCGCTAGAGGCAAAGTAGCCTAACTGCATCTGCAAGCGCACATTGTCCGTAAATTGTTAACGTAATTAGTCAATGAAGTCATGTTTCTTGTTTCTAGCAGCCTCAAATACTGTCTTTTTAGAGACGGTAGCAGTTAATATGCGACCTGCCTGATCAAAACTTCTCTTGAACCTATTCTAAACGACCTTCGACATATGCCTAAGATGGGTGGTTGCTAATAATATATTTTTCTGTATAAATGCAAGATTTGCGTAGGTCGACCCACTTTTATGCCCGATGTAATTACAATATTGTGTCATAGCGGTCTACTACGATCGATCCATATATGGCGAGAACAGAAATGATGTCACACTCGCCCACAAAAGGAAAACAAGTTTTTAACCACGTAGGACTACATTCAAGGATTTGACTCGTTAACTGTAATTTCGAATAATGACATTAAATTAATAGTACTTGTTTCTTTATGATAGAGGACAGACGCGTGATGGTAGGAAAAATAGCCCAGTCATATAGCATTAAACAAGTTGCGCAACAACCTATTTTGGAATTGGATATTTGATAATATTCCATAAAATATACATATTGCTAATGTTCATTATATTTTATAAAGATTTTACATTTTAAGGCGTAAATAAAATTTAGGTACATGTGTAATTTAAGGACTATGTTGGATTGTAAAATACATTTCATAACCAAAAATCGAACCCATGTACGACAAAAAACGTATTCAAATTTCCAAATACAGGAATATCTTCAAGAAGTTTGATTTTTACCATTACATTTTGATAACACCGGTTAATTAAATTATGCGTAAACAATTAATATAAAATACATAGCTTTTGTTATATTATGTACTCGATACAACACATTTTTTTCTTTCCTGTTACTACCGATCAATACAGGGAATTTTTAATATATATAATTTTATATTACCCACTTATATGATATTTTATTTTATTACTACCTAGGTCCTATCATATCTTAAACAAACTTTAAAAACAACAAATCATTTTATTTTTAATTTCCTTTAAAGAAGAATGCGCTGCGTGTTGCAAGCTATTTCTATACTTTGCGTTCATTGAACTTCCCGTTTTTAGCTTTGCTCTCCCGGTCAGAATCGATTTTCAGAGTTCCTTCTTACATGTCTGCATCTATAGTTTATTTTTTGCGTTTGGCCAAAATTGGAAACAAATATGTCTTTCGCAAATCTAGTACCTAAAAATAAAGTCATAATGTAGTTTCGGCTTAAATTAGCTCGTTATAATGAAAATCAGTTTCGCTAAATACCTACAACTATAATTACAAGAAGGACACTAACACAAAATCGTATACAGTAGTCAGTAAGTGAAACGTCAAGTTGCTTGTTAATATCCAACGGCAGAATAGAAAACAGTGCCTTATTTAGAAGTTAAATATATTACAAAGCCTGTGGAATTCTTTCAAAGTGGGTAGATTCTGTAATTGTAGATTTAGAAATTCTATAAATATAGATAGATATTTTTAATAAACGAATTTAATAAAAGAACTTCAAATCACTTTTTTAGTCAATATGACTTTATTTTTTACAGGTACGTCTTGTCAGTATGTCTATAATAGTACACTCCATATTATTTACGATAGGGGGGTCTTCTTTCGGAAATTGTATATTAAGTTATAATGTATACTATATTTGCTTTGCCGCCCATTGCACTCCATTGTAGTATATAAGTTTTTATTCTGTATCATTATTATTTTTGCGCAATAAATAAATAAAATATATTTTACTGCTAACTATTTGTTTATATTGTTACCTTGATTGTAATGCCTTTCTCACAATTTGCGTAGATCTGACAAGACTTAAAAAAAAAGTTTCGGTGACGAAAGATGTCATTATGCATTGTTTGTTTGCTATTTTGAACAGCGAAAAAATACACTATACATAGATTACTAGACAAGAAAATCGAGTTATTTTTGTCAATATTTTAAAGTGCTTGCTTGTTGCCATTTATTGATATCAAGAAAAAATAGAGAAAATGGCGTTTATGTCTGAGATGTAATTTGCGAAACTACTAACTTTTCACGCACGAAACACAAAAATTTAAGATAGCTGAAAGTTATTTCTAATACGAAATTCGTTGAAATACTTACCGCAATACAAACGCGTTATTATCATAAAGTGTTATCTTACAGGGGAACAGATCGAGTTAAAGTAGTCAATTAAGGAAAAGGCAACTTTTAATAAAATGCTATCTATATGTTATACTTATATTGAAAGTAGAATAGTCTAACACACTATACCAGTAGTACAAATTTAAATAAAACACTATGAACGGTTTAAAATTAGTTCCGGCTTATTATTATTATTATTTCTTGTTGGCAAGCCTAATTAAAACATATAATTGTTAATAATTTAACCATATATTTCGTGTTTTAAACCGTTAAATTAATTTATAGAAAAAAAAGTTTGAGTTTGTTTGTATTCACACAACGTTTATTTAGTCTTCAGGCTTTTTAAAAGACAACATATGGCAAAAATGTAAAACCAAAATTACTTTCTTTGACAGTTCCGGCTAAAGTTTGGGTCCCAGTAAATAACTTAGTGTATTATTTACCACCTACAAACCTCAAACATAAACAAAACACTTCTTTACAGATAATATCTTATTCAGACATATGAATGTGTGAATAGAATTTCTATTGGTTATAATTTGTGAAGTGAATACATGATTCATTTTCTTCAGCAATCATATAATGATATATGAAAGTAAAGAGAAAAGTACATATTAAAATATTTATCAGAAATTTTAAGTGGATAGTATTACATATTATTACAGTATTACATACATACTTTTTATCTATCAAACTTTTTTTCTGCGAGATTTTTTTCTGTCTGAATTACTCCCGTTTCTCACCATTTCCAGTATGTCAAAAGTTGGAGCGTAAAGGAGGAAAACGAAAGAAAGAAAGTCTTCCCAAATGTATAGTTGCATTAATATTGTAATGTTTGAAAACATTATTATTTTTTTACATATTATGCACATGAAGGCACTCGGGCAGGAATTGAAGCGGCATCGTTAGCGTTGCGTCAGAGCAACAGCACGGAACGCTGACATGCCTCGAGTCCTGCCCGAGTCAAAATTTTTTTCAATTAATTTTCGATTTTTAATTTAATATTGTAATCATTAAAGTTATGATTACTAGTAAGCATAGAAATTATATTTACGGTCTCTTTAGACTACTATTAACACTTAGCAATGTGTGGCTAACAATTAACAGGTCGCGTTTCGATTTCCACCCAAGCATTTATGTTATTTTCTAATTTTCTTGTTTCTAATGTTTGGACACTAAAAGAGATAGAAGGAATGTTAAAATTAAAACCGGAAAACTGTAACTTATAAATGTACAGGGCTACCACCATACTTTGAATGTCATAAAAGCGGGAAATTTCTTAGAACAAAGCGAGTTTCTTATATTCAAATATTGTTCTATGAATTGGTTCAATTCTTTCGATATCAAACATTATCAGACGATAACGCATCGATGGTTTACTTCGTATGATATTAAATTTAGTACATTCAGTTAGTATTTCGTTAGTGTCGTTCAAAATGGTGTGCACATATTTCGTTTTGTTTTTCTTTACCGCACTTTGTGAGTACATGTTTTTTGGTAATTTGTAGGTGTGGTAATTGACTTAAAAATAATTTGGAAATTTGGCTAAATACTTTTAGTTAGGAGTAGTACACATTTAAATAAAACACTTTAAGCATCCGAAACGTCGGGCCGAAGTTAAAAATCATTTTCAAATGAGTTTAACTAATATGGTTAAACCGTTAAAGTGTTTTATTTTAAAAATATTGTCTAGTTTATCCGTGCGAGACGTACTTGACGAATTTTAACTGATACTGCTGGTTCTGCTTTTAAACCGTTTAAGTTTTATTTTAATAAAAACTATATTCCGTTTATTGGTGGTTTATTTTGTGGGAGATTCAATTATATTCTTCCGAAAGTGTTTATGGTATGAGGTCAACGCGTGTTTTAAAAAATTTTACATCGCATTGTCTGAAGTTGCAGCGAGTTACTGCAACAAATTTCTCTCCTAATATGGCATAGTGTAAGGTTGAATAAAGATGTGATCTTTGTGTCGTACTTCCTGCTTCTATACGTATGAAAATAATTTCAAACAAATTTTTTACCAATAATTTTAATAAGTTTTTTTTTTATCGTTTAAGTAAAACGCTTTTGCGTAAGTTTATCTAGGAACTACCTATATAGTATGTGATGTACTTTATCGAATGTCTAATCTATACTAATATATAAAGCTGAAGAGTTTATTTGTTTGTTTGAACGCCCTAATCCCAGAAAATACTGGTTCGAATTTATAAATATGTTTGTGTTGGCTAGAATATTTATCGGGGAAGGCTGGAGGATTTATCGAGAGAAACACAGCCCTGTTATCAGTAACAAATAGATCTAGCTAATCAAAAAAAATTATTCATAGTTATGGGTTTCCGAGGCCTACGCTGCGAAAACGGTACAAGATACCAAAAAAAAAAAATGTATGGAAGAATTATTCCTCCTTTACATGAACTAAAAAAAGGTCCACAACGCTATAACTCTATCTTTTAAGATTAACCTTCAAGAACGACGGGAAGGGACACGATCGAAGTCGTGGGTAACAGCTTAGGTTTATCAAGATGAAGGCGTTTGCAAAAACAAATTTGGATGCCCAAAATAATGCTCGCGGACGAGTCGCTGTCACAGCTAGTTCCAAAATAAGCAGACAAGGAATCTTCATTAGGCTAGGACATACCATTTTCCATCATGTGAGCCCCATGCTTGTATGTCAAGTGTCTTTAAATACGTAAAAAATATTTTGCTAGACATGGTTTTAATGCCATTACAATTAACAAACTATTTTTTTATTATTAACAGCGAAAGCAACTGTAACCGAATTGGATCGTCTTCAAGTCATAAACCTGAATGAAACAGCAGGGAGTCCAGATCAAAGGATCATTGGTGGTCAACCCGTGAATATTGAAAAATATCCCTACGCAGTACAGGTAAATCACTTACTTGGTTTAATGTTGTTTTTAAGTGATGACAAAAACGGAAATCAAACTTAGGATGATTTTTGGCGGGTTTGTGGTTAATAATGGCAATGTATGGCTAGTAACGGGTGGTGGGTTCAATTTTTCACCGAGTCCATTCTTAATTTTTCTAATCAATTTATATTTTTGGCCCCACATCCGCATCCGCACACATTTGTTCATATCTGGTTTTACTTTTTTTTCTTGTCGGCCTCCAACAAGAAAACAAAACACTCTAAAATACATAGTCATTAAATTCAATTTAAATATATTTTATAGCACAATAATATATACTTGGCTAGTAGATAAGTAGTCTACGGTATTTCCATGCAAAATCTTATCAATACACTCTTCATGACGCCCTTTGTTAAATATATCTATTACACCTAATACAAAATGTGAATAGCAGCAACATCAAAGGGGAAAATACACTAATAACTGATAGTGTTATCACTGAATTACATTTCAAACACTGCGGAAAACCTTTCATACGATTTAGATATGGATAATGTACGAGATGAATTGCTCAAGTGAAACAAGATTCGTTTCTATTGTTTTAATATTGTCTGAAGTAATATACATCAAGAAAGCTTCGATGGTTCAAAACGAATGACGAACGATGAAAGTAGTTGTGGATATTTGGGGACTACATACACTGCAACTATACTGTAAAGCTGAAGAGTTTGTTTGTTCATATGGTTCGAATAGAAAATAATTTTTCGTGTTGGTTAGAACATTTATCGAGACTTTCATACTGCCAACATTAGGAGCAAAGCAACAGTGGGAAATGTGGAAAAAACGGGGAAAATTAATCATCTTTGCGGGCTTCCGTTGCGTGCACTGCGAAAACAATTCGAGATAACCAAAAAATATGTACGATCCAATGATTCCTCTAAAATTTATTAAAAAAAACTGTTATTGTATATTATGTCTGTTTGGAAGATTAACTCGCAAGACCGATGGGACGCAAATGATGTCGTGGGTAATAGCTAGAATTGATTTATAACGATGAGTAGGTTTGCAAAAATAAATTTTAATGCCAAAACATTCTACGATGAAATCGCTGGCACGGCTAGTTTTATATAAATTGTAGTTTTTAGTAACTCAATATTTCGCCATTCATAGTGTTTTATTTATATTATCATAGGCACGTATCGCATTGTTATATCGTAGAGTATGTTAGTAAATATTTTCTTGATGTAATGTTACTTAACAAATAAGAAAATGACATTTGATAATCTCTTGCTCAAAAGCAAAATAAACAGAAATAGATACCTACATGATTATAAAATTAAGACATTTTACGCAAGAAATTTAGTCAAGAGTATTTATTTATGTTGTTTATTTGATCTTAAACTGGTTTTCATTAGATTCCTGTTATAGATACTCTTAAACGGTGGTCTCACATGTGGTGGATCATTATTGACAGGAAGACACGTCCTGTCATCTGCACATTGCTTTATTACTCAGTAAGTTATACTTTGATTATTATAAACTACTAATAAATACAAAAATCGAAATTATTGTGGCATATATGGTGTTAAGTTTGTTCCCTAATGCCCACAATCTAGTTTCCTAATAAGATTTTAGTGAAATAACTTTTACAGGTCCGGACAACTTGCTAGTGCGTCTCTCTTCACTGTTCGAGTTGGTTCGACAGTGCAGGGTTCAGGTACAAAAATGTATTTATTACACATATATTCTTTACAAACATATGTGTTTGTAAAGAACTCGACATGTTTTAAAATATTATTTAAGTATATTCGATAGATGGTGTCACTAGCATAGACAAGGGCCCTCGTACATAAAGAACCGGAATTCTTATTCTTTAGTCCCCAAAATAATAAACAATTTTTTTTCTTATTTTTTACGGTTATCTCTTTCAAGATGAAGTAAAAACGCCCTATGAACTCCAGAATCCTTAGTATTCTGCACTGAATACGATAGATACACCATTCGCTGGAGTCCCCTAACTGTAGAAAGTAATTTTCGCTATGCTAGCGCCACCTGTTTCTCTGTAAAAAAATTATAAACCGAAATTACAAAATTTCAGGAGGAAGAGTTGTAAAAGTGTCACGTATCGTACCACACCCAAGGTATAATACACCTCTACGTGACAATGATATAGCAGTGGTGTTTTTGTCGCGTCGTGTGACTCTTAGCGCGAGTGTGTCTGCTGCTTTTATTCCGGTACAAGGCCAATCTGTTCCCGATCAGGCTTCGGTTACTCACGTTGGCTGGGGTCAGACTAATGTGAGTTGAACGACTAGTAACATTACGCTAATTTTTTTTATAATAAAGGAGGACAGAAAAACACCCATGTTTTTCTGTCCTTGTCACTTGATGATAGTTGAAATACCTCATATAACATTTAAACAAGATGCGCTTGCGATTTATTTTGGCTTGGAATATTCGTTCGTTCGTAAGTTTTAATGAAAATGTTTTAACTTTATAATAGGTTACAACACACAGTTTATTGAAAAACTACAGACTATTTTGACGAAACTTCTAACTTTGATAATACCTTCCTAGGTCCTAAAAAAAGGATTGGTTATACACATGATGATATTCGTCAGATAAAAAATCGTAAATTTAATCGCGTTTCTTTCAGTCTGCGGATTTCCGAATGTCTAAAGCCAAACATCGCATCTTGTTTAGATGTTATATTTCAGAGGTTTTTAACCTACCAAAAAACACATCTGTAGTATTTACTCGTGCACAACCACGCTAGAGATATAGGATACAATTATCTTTAGCGGGCGTCGAACCCTGAATGATCAATATTTTTAGACATTACTACGATTATAGGTCGCCATTGACGATTTAGGTTTTTTGTTATAAATTATACATATATTTCTATACTAGTAAACTTAATTATTTACATTTCATAGTTACATACAAACAGACACTACACTACTGTTACATTCTTTATACACGTTTAAACATTGTAATTTCATATTTTTTTAAATTATCATAAAGACTTCGTAATCAGTAATTTAATGAATTAATAAATAAATTATTCTAATTATCTTCATCGAAAGAATATTTAAAGTGAAAAAGTTCGAATCAATGAAAATAATAATACGAAATTTCCCCTCCTCAGGTAAACATTATCGGCGGATCCCAAGTGTTGAACGAAGTGGATGTGCAAAAAGTGAATCTGACCATATGTTCGCAAAGATATACCCAGTTATCACAGATAACTGGTTTAGTATATATCGTGACCCAAAATATGATGTGTGCTGGCATACTAGACGTTGGAGGTAAATTGTATCTAAGCGAAATGAATTCTCATGATTTCGCTTCGATTTGTAAATATGTCTCTTAATTTCGTTATATACATTGATCTAAAACCTTAGTTCATAGTTGTATGTCTTGGCGGACGTAATTTTGTAATATAAGCATAACATTATTCCTAACGTGAAATCACGTTTCCCTCATACCGCAAAATCTGTGTCCTTTTACTAATCATGTACTAATCATATTACTATGACCCTAGCGAATATCTTCCCCTAGAATTCAAATCCGAGACCTCTCCTGCTTAACGCATTGCTAGACAAGGCGTTTAACCATTTGGCTACAGAGGCGGTCAACTTTTATCTATACTTATATAGCTAACTTGATAAATACTCTAACAAAGATCTTGACCATAAAATTACAGATTACAATTATAAAAAAGACTCTAAATATTATATTTAATTGGACCTGTCATTTTTATATTGAATTAACCAAATTGTGTAAAGTAGAGCAGTAACTATCACTAGTGTTGACTCATTGCTGTAATATATGTTTGACATTTTTTATTTGGGGATTATGTAGATCCTCTAAAACAATAGAAATATACCCTCATGCATATGAAAGCTTATAGATAATAAATATAGATTATACGAATGGGTTCGCTAAAGATAGCCGAGAGGTACAACTTCGCGTGAAGCATTACAATGTTCCTTATATAAAATGTTTCATCAGGTAAAGATGCCTGCCAAGGGGATAGCGGCGGTCCGCTCACCTATCGAGGAGTGGTGGTGGGTATTACGTCGTGGGGGCACAGCTGTGCGCATCCCAATTTTCCAGGAGTCAGCGCCAGAGTATCGAGTTTTACCAACTGGATAAATAGTACTGTAAGTAGCTTTGACCGTTACAATTTTAAATTAACTATGGCATACGAATCAAATTCTCTTCATTTCCATCTTCTACTATTAAAGGTGAGATATTTTAATGTACAGGTACCTTGGGTAATCACTACATAGTATAAAATCATTTTTTTAATAGGTAGAGTGATTCAAGAGGAAAGTTATTGAATGCTTACTTACTTTGCTTATAATTACAGTTTTTCTAAAGTGTATTTAGGTATCAGCATTGCACCCAAGCAAAGCCAGGGCGGGTCGCTTGTATAGGATAAGTTGACAACTTATAAATAAAGATTCTTCTATAGTTTCTTCGTTCTTTCTTCCTAGCAAACATTTCTGTTACGTTAGCTATGAGAATACTCGACTGTAAATTGTCTCCCTTTGTTTTAAGACGGTTTGTTCTAATATAAATATATCTTCTCTTTTAGATAACTACGGAACCCGAGACGACTGAGTCGACATAGATTTCCCCTTTTAGGAAAATAGTTCACTTCTAGAATAACAAAGATTTTCATGATACATATTTCTTCTCTTCTAGATCGATTCGGGAACACGAGACAGCGTCAGATCAAGCAACTTAGGTTTAACGATATTTTTGCTAAGCGCGTTACTCTTTAGTCATTTAAATACATTAGTTAAATAATATTGGCTTTTATTACTTCCATTTCTAAGATAGAGGACGACGCCCAAGCAGGGGGTCACTGCAAGGTGATATTTCAAACATCAAGTTTTCACACCATATAACATCTATACAAGATGCGCTGATATTGTGGCTTTGGATATTTGGAAATTCGCAGACTGACACCGTATTCATATCGCGATTAAACTTCTTTTTCATATTTACTAGTCGTTACCCGGACGAAGTTTCGTATTTCTACAATCCACGTTTTTGAGGTTTATAAAAATATAAATCGATCGGGGACACGCTGCTCTGGATCGAATCCACTACCAGTTAACTAATCATGTATATTATGAAGTGAGGACGTATTATTATAATGAGCACGTGAGAGCTGAACTAAATTGCTCTACTTACATCACCTATCACCAGTAATAGGGCAGGTATTTCTGTAATTATCCTCCGATCTAACTCGATGTGTGATCTCACACATATGTGAACTATACACATACTATCACAATAAACATTCATTTAATGTAATTTAATTAAAAATACGTTTAAGTTGTACTAGCGACCTTTTAAGTCTTTTTTGTGAAAAACTTAAAGGTTCTATTAAAAGTCGTCATTCGGATATCACATATGAATATAATTAACGAGTAATGATATAGATATAGTATGGTACAGTACAATAAATAAGGTACAGGTGACCGCGTCACGACGGGCCGCTGCGTACGGACAGCAACACAACTTGACGACACAACACTGCAACAAATAAAAAAAACTTTAAACAAGAGCGGGACACAATTCTTATAACATTATAGAAATACTCTCAATATTTTAAATAAAACAATTTTAGAGGAGAAAAACTACAAGGAAACAGATGGCGCTAGCGTAGCAGATCATTGGTGATCTTTAGTCCTATCTTCAGCAACACAGCAAACATCCGAAACGTGGGACCGTAGTTAATATAAATTATAAAAAAAGTTGACTTATCCATATCGCGTTTTAAACCGTTAAAAGTGTATTACACTCAATTTACAGATAATACTTCACTTCATTTTTACTTTATGCATTATGGGACAGTATCAATTTTAAGTCTTGGAACACTGTGGACTAACCTGCTGCTTGGTTTCTAAACATCCAAAACGTCGAGCCGTTATTCAAATCATTTCCAAATAAGTTTAACTAATATATAGTGCGTTTTAAACCGTTATAATGTTTTATTTAATGAAACATATTTTAATTTCATATACAAATACACGCGTTTTGGGCCCTTAAGTGTTTTATATAAACGTGTACTACTCGCGTAAACTACAGACAGTATATATGTTCCTACTAACAAATTCGGCTGATAAAGGCTAACCTTTATCAGTAAGAGCCTCGTCGATCATCAGGTCGGCAATCAGCGAGCCCGCGGCGACGCCCTCCAGCAGCCGCGGCCTCCCTCCCCCCTCCGCCTCCTCCCTGGCTACGCTCTTCCACCTCGCGAGCTCCTCACTCACAGGCACTGCTTCGCCCTCCACTGCTTTCATTTGATATCTGTGACATGTGTATATTTAAGATTGAGCTATGCGAAAATATTAATTACCCAGATATCATTATTGTTATCGGAATTAATATCACTACTGGACATTTTCTTAAGCGTTTTCAGTTTACAAGTATGACTTTTTGACCTACGATATTTTTTACGTTATGTGTATAAGAAAGTATACATAGTTTACTTAAACTACAAGCGCAAGGACTATGTACTATCAGTAAGATTACGTTACAAGACACTTTTGAAGTTTAAGACCCCCTGAATCTGTTCAGGGCAGTTTAATAAGTTTAAAAACGGTCAATCTGTCTTTCAAATAATTCAATGTTGTTAATTAATAATTAGAAATAATCCTAATTTTATTTTTGTGATTTAATTTGAAATACCAGTTCTAATTAATTTGCCCTCCATTTTATTATATTCAACTCGTGATCTTTATGAATATCGAAGCATTTCTTCGGTGGTCCTCACCTGCTTTCAACAAAGGGGGTGAAAACCGACTCCCGATCCAAGTGCAGACTGCGGTCAATGACCGTGCAGGTCATATCCCTGAACGGGTCAATTATTAAGTAACTTCGCTCGCTCTGCTCCGTCTCTTCTGGTGATTCCTCTGGACTCTGTTTTCTATCACTCTGAAATGTAATAAGTGATATGTTTAGTTTCAAAATAATTTTAAAGACGTACTGTTATCTATACTTATATTATAAAGCTGAAAAGTTTGTCGGTTTGAACGAGCTAATCAAAGGAACTGCTGGTTCGAATTGAAAAGTTATTTTTAATTGATATCATCATCATAATATCATGCTACGTCAATACAATATTGATAACACGGGGAAAATTATCTTTAAGCACTTCCGTTGCGCAAGTTTAAGAGACCAATTTTTTTGAAACGAAACAAAAAGTCACATACAAAACAATAGATTATAAAACCTTAAATTAAATATACAAGTTTTGTATTTAAAAATGTATGAAATAATGATTCTCCTTACTGATCGATTCTTTACTTAAAATTAATTCTAATGTTTTATTTTATAAAAAAATAACTCCATGTAGTAAAGATAAATTATTTAAAATAACCATCTTTATAATAATGTAGAATTTAATTTATAAGCTTTCTTTATGGATAAAATAAAATTTATATCCTAATTTATTAAGAAGATTTAAATAGTTCAAAAAGAATAAATCTAATAAAAGTGGTTCCTTCTAATTCCCTTGAAACAATCCCTTTTCAAAGCATATCTATAAAATACCTTCAAAATAAACATACATGTTACTTATTAATATACGTACAAGGTTAACTGGCGACGGATCCAGTATCGCGGTTCTCCGCCCACCGAGCACGTCCTCAACAACGTAGGTGCGCGCGCGCGTGCAGTCCGTGAGGACGTACGTGTCGTGCGCGCTCTCCTCGCACCACGACGTGTTGTCGCACGACGTCTCGCCCTCGCCTTCGCCGTCGCCCTCCCCCTCCCCGTCTACGTCACCATCGACGTCGCCCCCTTCTACAACTGTGCCTTCTTGCGATTGGACTAGATCGATTTTCTCTTTGCCTGCGGAGGAAAAAGTGCAGCGAAGTGTTAAAAGAATTACGTCAAAAAACATAACCTAACTTAGGCTTAGAGACGGTAGAACTATATTTTTTTATATATCCAAGTTAATTTAAATAAATTGTCAAAAAAAAAGAAATGCAACTGCGTGCAAACTGCACAAAAAGTTTCTTTTTGGAGTAGATCATAGGCCAGACAACATGGAAAACTGAAACTCAGATTTATAGGAGGCCACGAGGGCATGTTGCTTAGTAGGTCATCTGTCTCCATACTTTTTTTCGGGCAGTCAAACAACAGTTAGTGAACATGGCATAACTCACCATGCATATGTTCCGGTAGTAGCCTACAGAGCGCGTAGTTCCTGAGTGGCGTCGCTCTCGACACGCGAAACCGACGACTCATACCGCTACCCTCCAAATCGCTACTCAACTCTGGAAAAAAAGGCAAATCCACTATGGAAAAATTGTGTTTCTTTTCATCTATAGCAATTAAATAGGATTTTTCAAGTTCTCCTAGCTTGTTCATAACCCGGAAAATGTGCTAACACGTCTTTTTTTTATTGACTTATTGGGATCCGGAACCATCAATGCTACCCAGACGTATTGATGAGTACGTGTTTGCGGCTAGACCGACAGTGCCTCGAGGGGGGGGGGTTTCTTTACTGGCCTGTGTTTGGACCACCACAATGTGGATGGAAGCTTGACCTTTCGCGAACGATGGATTTCCTAACAAGTGTGACTATGTTAAGTCGTCATCGGGCCGGGTATAGCATAAATATTAATTGCATTTTTTGAATATTCTTATACTACATAATAAATGTGAGATATATCTAAATACGGTAACTTACCTTCTTCATATGTATTGACAGCGTTGTCGTTCATTCCGCTTGACAACATCTCGTCTGCACTGTGCACTTCACTATAGACATCCTAAACAACAATTTCTTTATTAATATTACTATCTATACATGAATATAATTTATGTATTTATTTATTTAACACTCACAAATTTACAGTGTTACAAAGAATTTACAAGCTTCTTTAATTTTACATGTATCACGCTGTGAGACACAATTACATTCAATAAATTTAGTTAATTTTTTAGGACAAGAACTTATAAAATTAAAAAACATTGATGTTAAGATATTCGTATATCAAAAGCCAAAATAGATTGACATCGCATCCTGTCATGATATGGCCCGGTTGTTCCACCTTCTATCATGTGAACCCTTGTTTTTCCTCGTCTGTCCTCCTCTATCACAAGAAAAGATATATATCTTTCTGAAGGTTGTTATATTCCCAGAAATATACTTAGATAACCCCAACTTGTTTTGAAATGAAATGTACATAAGCCCCATAAATGCATAAGACTCTTTTAACTTACAGTTTTCATAAACTTTTGTTTCATGTTAAATACTTAAATTACTTTTTACGTCATGTTAAAACTCGTTTCTACTGTACCTTATCTGTCCCGTGTTTATAGTGCAAACTGATTTTGCTGAGCTGATGGTCAAGGTGTGCCAACCTGGCCGCGTGCCGTGCAGCACCTGCCGTCTCACCATTCTCCACATCTCCCACCACTCCGTCCACCTGCGGAACATGTTTATTTATTGACTAAGGTTTAAGCCTTTTGCGTTTTGATAATGACATGATAATTCTATTTTAAGCAGCTTGATAGTTTTAGTTTTATTTTAGATAATTTTAAACGATACTATGTTGGATGATGGAAAACTAAACATTTTTCACATGTTGCGCAAGAGTTGCTTGTATCAATGAAGAGGTTGGAAAAAATCGACGATGACGTGTAAGACGCGGTAGCTCAATCGGTTACAGCAACAGCACGGAACGCTGTTGTGGATTCGGGTTCGATTTCTGCCCGTACCGTAACTTTTGTTTTCAATCTAAAATCAATTTTAATGTATATCATGGATGACGTAAAAAATCTTCAAACAAGATTAAAACTTGTGTTTTTTCTAGCAGACTTATTTTTTAAAAGTTGTTTGACGTCGGCAACTCGTTTGTGATACGCCCTAGACGCTAGTAAGGACCTGCAAAGTGCTAGTACAAACCTTGTGGTCGGGCAGCGAATGCCTTTGCGTCGGCGACAGCGCAGGGCTGTACTCGAGCGGTGATTGCGGCGACACGGGACCCTAAACACACACTAGCTGTTACCACACTCACGCAACTACGTGGATGATGTGATAGAAGGATGTTTGTGAACGAAGACCATTTTTGGTTATACACTAAATGCTTAACCTTTAAGTTTAAGTAACTTATTGTTTTAAATAATTTAATGATAAAAATACTTGTGGTTTGAAGGAACCCGTTCTAACAAGAAAAATATGCAGTGCACTTAAAGTGCGTGAAGACTGTAAAATTACTGATAAAAGTAGTGGCGGCGAGTTTCTTGACAGTTCTTCTTGTTCGTTCTACGCTCTTGATTTAAGAACTGGTATTATATGTAAACTTAGAGTCTTAGGTTTTTAACTGGTGTGACTTTAACAAGCGTATTTAATTATCTACGTGAATAATTAATTTTTTAACTTTGAAAATTGATAAAGAAATTATTAAGAGAAAATTACGAAGTTGAAATAGGAACTTTTGTGTAAATTAGTAGAAAATACTATTCTACTGTAATGGGTAAATTACAATATACGTTCACAAACATCCTTGTTAAAAGTGCAAAGAAGAATGAAAAAAGATAATAAAATTGTAAAGCAGGATAAATGCAAATATCACATTAAATTGAATAAATATAGCATTTTATTATTATATCTTTTTAATTCTACCCTCTGAAACATTTTTAATTATGATTGTTTAAGTAATATATTTAAATAATAATAGAAATATTGAAATAAGCTGGCAATGAGAATGACTTGCAAATCTGTACAAAGCGTTAGAAGCGTAAAACAACATCGAGCGATACTAACACTTACGCTGTTGGATATAGAGGTGAGTTTGTTCTGCAACGACAACATGTATTCACTGTAAGATTGGCTTTTGTTTGGCGTGCTCGGCTGAGTTGAATCTGTTGAATTGACATTGGTCATGCCTGAAAATGGAAATAATTACATCATAGAAGAGGGTTTTTAATCCAATCCTTCAGAAACATTGCAAAATACTTCAGTCACAAATTTAGAAAAAGGCCAGTTTATTTCTGTATAAAAGCAATTAAAAAAAAAAGGCGTATATTTAGTCTCAGTATTTTAGAAAAAGAATCGGACATTTCAAAGCTCAAATTTTAGTTCTGTACAACACAACAGTATTTCTTAAAGTTACAACCAATATTGACTTTGAGATTTTTCATGTATTAGTACATATACACAATCTTTGGTCTAAAGCACAATAAGTTTAAAAATATACTTAAAGAAACAGAACTAACCCATTTCCATACTTTGGACCGCTCTTCTCGCAAGTGCATTGTGTACAGCGCGTTGAGCGACCAGCTGCCCCAAATTTTGTCCCATCAGCATGTTCTGCCCGCCCAAGCCTAACGCCTGACCGCCCAGGCCCAAATTCTGACCGCCTATGAGATTCTGCCCACCTAAACCTAAGTTCTGACCAGCTAGACCTAAAAAAATAATGATGCAAGTTATTGTTAGACATTTAAGGTTAACAAAAGTAATATGTTTGCAAAGAGTCACTCGTGAATGGAGTGAGGAATTGTTATTTTGTAAAATTTAATAGATTTTAGTATACATATATTTTGAAGGAATAAAGAAAAATATTAAAGATTGTTAATGTTCTCGGGGTTTCGAGCTGTTCATAATTGGGAGTTCGTTTTCGATCCAGTGGTTACGGCGAAGCGTCAAAAACAAAATCATATAAAATAAGGTAAAAATAACTTTTAAATAAAACACTTTAACAGTTAAAAACGCGATTTATGCTTTGCAGTAGCCGTGGTCACGTGGTCTTCGACTGCTGCAAAGCATCCGCAATGTCGGCTTGTAGTTAAAATAATTTCCAAATAACTTTAAACTAATATATATCCCATTTTAAACCGTTAACGTGTTTTATTTAAATGTGTACTACTCGCGTCAACTAAAGACAGTATTTAACAATGTTTTTTTTTAGAATAAAATCAACATATTTTACCTTAGACATTTTTTTTTTATTTGTTTAAAATAACAATTTTATCACGCGGGCGGTACTGGAAAACACTTGACAGCAGCATCCGTGTTCTCGTTCCATCAATTTAGCAAGACAATCGTATGAAAAGTAATAATGTTTCAATCAAAGTCTATTTACCTAAATTTTGTCCAAGATTCTGCCCCATAAGATTCTGATTGAGCGCAAAATTCTGCGACGCCAGATTGATATTCTGCTGAAGGCTCTGAGCCAGGCCGGGCTGTAAGGGTGCGTTCAGACCGAGTCCAAGACCGAAACCGGCGCCTATAGATTGGCCTACCCCCGCCAGCTGTCCGACGGACGTCGGTAGACTTTGCTGCTGGACTGAAATAGGGAATTTAATAAGCTTTTGAGAAACGAAACAGACCGTTAAAACCTCCATGCAAGATATACTCTATATCCATAGCTAGCTTTCAACTAAGGCACTACGAGACATACAAGCAATATACAGTTTTAATTGTATACGCCAAAATCTATTGAGATTTCATTTTGATAACTCTTCTTTCAATTGATTTACATTGTATTTAATTTATTTGTTAAAGATATGTTTAAAATAAAGACTAGACATTAAAACAAACAAAGATAAAGCGTGATACATACAGCTAAGTGTACACTAAAGATGGTGACTCATCATAAATACAACTCCCATATATAACGAATTATTAGACAATAACACAAACTTGGTGTAACCTTTGTCTACTTAATTTATTTTGATATTATCTTCAATATAACGGTTTAAAATTCGAAATATATCTGGTAACATTTTTAACTCTCAGAGTTCAAAATGCCTTGCAGCAACCGGGAGTTCACACGTTCCACATGGTTCCTGCACAGCATCATATGTTTTCCTACTCACGTTAACTACATCTTAGCTGAATCTAAGTCTTCATCTTGGATGAAGTCTAACCATATTAGGTGTACGAGGTGCTACAGGCGTTATGTAGTGGTTTACCTATGAGGTCGTTAGCGGTGGCCAGCATGGGCGTGTAGTATCTTGGCGCGAAGAAAGCCAGTCGACCGCCCGCCGCGGCTGAAGCAACGGTTAGTCACACACACGGTCAAGCAGACGCCAATTATATATACGTATCAATTTAGTTGAACATCGCGAGAGGTGGAATATCCTTTGGCTTATGTTTCGCCTCGTTGCTTCAATGCAGCATCAGGGGAGTTCAAGTATTGGAGAAGCACTTTAGGAGATTACGTCAGCAGTAGCTAAGATTATTCATGTTTTTTGTTTCATTATTTTTAATAGTCGATTGTTTTTTAAATAAATAACATTTCTTCTATCATACGTTAGTATGAGCGGGTCGGGGGAAACGGCGAGGGACGGACGGACGGTAGGGTTTAAGAAGATTTTAGTTAAATTTTTACAGGGAGGGAGAGGGGGGGAAATTAGCTTGCAATACAATGGTTTGATCACTGAATTAAAGCCCAGAGGTGAATATGTACTCTGAACAGAGTTGTACATGTACTATCTAATTAATTATATTATTTTGTGTATAGTATCTAAAATGCAAAATACACAGATTTGAAACTTTTTTACGTACATGACGCTATATGATATTCCACCTCAATCTATCGATATGCAAATGATAACAAATATAATATTGATACTGTAACGATGTTGGTAGAGACATCACAAAGCAGGGCTACGAATCTAAATACAGAACAGAATCAGTGAAGAGAAAAAATACTTTAAAGCAATATATTGCATTGCTACTTTACCATAATATTTTCAACTATAGAAAAAATAGGTGTTTAATTATGCTTCAGGCAAAGCTGTGTTTAAGAGATTATTTTATTTGAGAAATAATTAAAATAGGGCCGTGCTAAGCGTGCAAATATCAGCACATTTAGAAAAGACAGTACTTAGTGTTCCCAAGTCTTCTTTAAAGGAAACGGGACAAACATTTTATTTATCATTAATGACAACATATAACGACAAACAAACATACAAAAAATTCAAATGCGAAGACTGAAGATCGCATTTCAATTTATAGGATATGATATTTTGAGCATTATTTCCGTTGCGTTAAGGTTTATATTTGTCTACGCGTAAATATTGTATCGGCATACCTTGTTGCCCGCCTAGCAGATTGTTGTGTAACGCAATATCTGCTTGTGGGAACTGCGGCTGATTCAGCAGACCCAACAGGTTGGGACCTGTTAGATTCTGTTGCTGGCTGGAAAAGTTTACAAAAACATGTAACTGATGAGCTTCCCATAAACTTTTGGGGGCCAAACACATTTCTGTGTCTGTTTCACTGATTGGTTCTTTTATAAGTTGACCAGACTCTTGCGCCCCGCGCGACTGAAACGATCTATTGTTTCCCCAGCATTCGAACCTAGGAAGTCTCGCGCTTAACGCAATGCTAGGCAACGCGTTTTACCATTTAGCTACAGGGGTGCTATCGAAGACAGTATAAATTTATTAAAATACATATAACAAAAATAAATTATGCTTTTTTCAATTAAATATCTTTCGTACTTACTTAATGATATTCTGTTTCAAAAGCATCCTCTGTATATTCTCCGCATTAGCCAGTGAATCGCTCACAACTGGTGTTGGGGTGAGAGTGGGTTGAGTCAGCTGTAGTCTACTCAACACTGGATCCAAAGCCGGAGTAACAGGCAGACCCAGATTGAGTCCCAAATCGGTCCCCATCCCCAATGGTGTACCAACTTGACTCAAACCCAACAACGGAGTGTCTGTCGCTATTTGGAGAGGCGTTGTGAGATTTGGTTGCAGCGTGCCATTCAAAAGTGGGTTAATAGGTTGGAAAGGTATGGGCTGAGGGATTGTCGCCTGTAGGTTGATAGGTATCGAGGTGGTTATGGGAGGAACGGTACTGTGGGCTGCGGGCTGTTCTTGAGGTTTGATCTCCACAGGCCGATGATCCGTAACTGTTTGTGGCGTATGCGACGGTAGGGAATACTGGTGGGTAGGAACGTCTTGTGGAATGACTGGGGGTTTTGTGTCCACTATTTCGGACTCCGGTAAACCGTTCAATTGCGGCTCTATTACAGTTTTCTGTTCGTTGAGATCCGGTTTCTCAGCTTCGGTTACGGTTTTCTCCGACTTTTCGTCGGGGACGTCCTCGCCGCGGTCGACGACTGGACTGACTAGAAATCTCGATATTTTTCGAGTGGGTTTTTGTGATTTTTTCTCGCCGTTAGACTCTATGCTGGCTGCACGTTCTGGCGCCATGGGCCCGCCATCTGACTGATTTGAACCTGGAAAACGTATTGTTTCCTCTTAACAACTAAACACTTTTATTCTGATTAATAAAAAGCTCATTAAAGTGACAAACAGTGTACCTAACGCTGAAACTATACACTTTGAAACAGAATATTTTCATGGCCATCGTTCAGCTTATATATCCTTCGTGCTGTTCGACTCGACATTTCGCCATCACGAGCGGACGTCATGATCAGGAAATATTTTGAATTTATTCTAGTTCTTTATCTAACAAAGCAGTTTTGTAATAAGTCGTATTATTCTTACCTATGGAGGAAGCGGTGCTTATCTTCCTTGATAGCGTATCCAAGACAGTTTTGGTTTCCGGCGCGGGCTCTCCGTCCAATTCAAGTGCGATGTTATCCTGCGAAGCTGTGGGGGTGGTACACTCAGAGTTGTCTTGGTTAGAGTCAGTGAGGTTCTCTTCGCGCTCTGTCGTTTCCGAGTCGTAATCCGTCTGTGAATAATATGACATCTTCAAACAAATGGTGAAGACATTTTTAGTGAAAACCACGTTTCATGTCGTTTAAAACACTGGTATCACAGGCAAAACTGCGAAATTCGATTTATTTAAAGAAGGTTGTGAAAATAATGGTTAAATTTCGAAGCAAGTTTCAGAAATAAATTTTAACAAGTAGTTATAAAATACCTTTTCTATTTGCAGTCGTAGTGTAGCGTGTGTGTGAGGTTCAGCTTGCAACTGTCGCACGATATCCCGTATCCACTCAGTAAACGCACCGCTTTGCCATTCCGGTAATAAATTGTTTGTCACCTGATACAATGAATAACGCTAGGATCATTTCAATTTATAAGTATAGACTTGATATGCAATATCAGCTAGAACACGAGCTTAAAATTACACGTAACGTACAAATTGTCTAAAGTAGAATGATAAGTTTGAACGTTATCAAGAAATTTTCACATGATCGAACGATATAATGTAAAAATCTATTTAGATTTAAGACAAGGGCGGTATTTAAACCGGCATTCCTATTGTTGTGCAAGAGATGTGGCTTGAAAAAAATCGATGATGACGAGAGGCAAACAGTAGCTCAATTGGTAAGAACATCAGCACGAAGCGCTGTATTCCCGCACGTGTCGTTCATATTTTTAATGTAAAATTTTCTTTTTTAAATTTGGGTGTGTATAGATTTGATTATTGGCCAAAAAATTCGGTACATATTTTCAAATTAGTTAGAGATTTAAATTTTAATGTACTGTCAAACTCATCTACCAATATTGGACAAGGTATAATTTAATGGATACAAAGCTATTCAAGAATTTTCTAAGAAAGTTGAATTCAATATAGAAAACTTTATAAACTTTTTAAGTAAATACTGTCTATAGTTTACGCGAGTAGCACACATTTAAATAAACATTTTAACGATTTCAACTAATATATCGCGTTTTAAACCGTTCAAGCTTTTTAAGTATAGGAATATGTTTTATAGTTTTATAGTTGTTTGGCTGCGTTTTAATTATACTATAGGATACTCACCAAATTATTAGCCAGATCCTCCGGATTAACGTCGGGCACATGGAATTTGAACGTGACGGTCTTGGACTTAGATTCCAGCTGACATTCCACAACAGTCCCGTTCTCGGACACCGTGAGAACGGTTAGTCGCGGCAGCTTGTCCTTTTCCCGCGAACGCTTCTTGGAGCCGCGTGATTTCTTTTCATTCGAGATCGGCGACGGTATAGCTGCTCCAGCTGGAAGAAGATATTAATTAGTTTCTTTAATGATAGAGGACAGACAAGCAAAGTCACTTGATATGCCATATAACATCTAAACACGATGCGGTATCGACCTTTGGGCTTTGGATATTCCGAAATCCACAGACTGAAACCGAACCGAGATTGAACTTGCCACTTCGGTGCCCCGAAGTTTCGTGATTATCTGGTACATTTAATACTCCAGACAAAGTCCAACATTTTTTAGAAGAATGATATATTAAGTAGAAAAATGTTGGAGCCTTTGGTATCGAACCCTCGAGCCGTTGATAATGAACAGGTCCGTAAATAAAATTAAATATGTATATTACTTACACAAATGTTTTTTGAATTAGTAACTTAAGAGAAGATGCAACTAGTAATAGTAAAGCGCATAATGCCATCCAATGCTATTGTCAAATACTCACTCTCTTGTGTGTCGGTCTTCTCCTCAACGGCTCCCAACTCTGGCTGCCAAATGCCCTCGATTTGCGCTCCAGTTGGCAAATCCGTCATTGGTGTGTGGAACTGTTCTTTTCCAGAAAGCCCATTCTCCTCCGGCTTGATGGTCAATTGCTGGGGCAATTCGGGCTGAGATTGAGAAGCAACCGTTGTCGTTTGTTGTTGAGATTGAGTCACTTGAGGTTGTGGGGGGAGGGCTTGTTGTTGTTGCGGTTGGGGCTGCACTATTTGCTGAACCTGCTGCGTTTGCGGTTGTTGCATTTGTGCTGGTTGCATTTGTTGAGGTTGCGCTTGATGCATCATCGCTTGTGGCTGTGAATGTGGTTGTTGCATTTGCTGCGGTTGTTGGATTTGCTGTTGAGCTTGTTGTGATTGTTGTATTTGTTGTTGCGGTTGTGATTGTAACAACTGAGGCTGTGATTGTTGTATATGTTGTTGGGAAATTGGTTGTTGAATTTGCTGCTGGGATTGAGATTGTTGAATCTGTTGCGGCATCTGTTGCTGCTGGTTTTGGGGATGTTGCATTTGCTGCTGTATTTGCGGGTGTAGTTGTTGTTGTATATGTTGCGGCACTTGTTGTGATTGCTGAATATCCGATTGAATTTGCTGTGAGGGTAAGGACGTGGGAATGGACGATTGAACTTCTATATACTGTGTGACAGGCGGATTCTGCGTCATCGTCGCTGGCGCAGAGGACTCTACCTTTTGATAAGCAACGTTTTGCATTTGCATCTGCTGGCTCTGCTGGTACATCATAGGGTTGGCAGAATAATTTTGCACAGGAGTGCCTTCATGACTAGAGATCTGCCTATCATTTTGCACCAAGTTAAAATTTTGAGCCAAAATATTGTGGGGCAGAGATTGCCCTTGCAACGGATGCATTTGAGGGTGATAATGCTCATCTGAAGATTGTTTCTGGATCTGTTTCTCGAGAAATTGATTCTGATACATTTGATCCATGGACATTTGCGGTTGAAGAGGCGGTTTCTGTTGGTATTGATCGGGGACTAGAGTTTGTTGCTGATCGTGAACATCCGCAGAGCTAATTTGGCTCTGTTCAGATCCTTGACGCGTGTACATCGGCCGCTGCGCCCTTAACATTTCTTCAACTTTCTGTTGTTGTTGACCCATCAACTGTTGTTTTTGCGTCAACAATGCTAGATTCTGTTGGTCAATTAAATTTTGTTGTGTTTGTAACTGCAACTCCTGTTGAGCCAAATATTGTTGCTGTTGCAGGTTCCTAATATGTTGCGGAGAGAGCGTTTGACCAGGCATTTGTAATTGTTGATGTGTTATAAGCTGTTGTTGCAGGACGAGTTGTTGTTGGGCGAGCATTTGCTTTTGCATATTTAACTGTTGCTGTGCCTGCGCAACATGGTGTTGAGCTTGTGCAACTTGTTGTTGCTGTGCCAAAATTGTAGGGTCGACAGCTGCCGAAAGTAAGTTGGGCTGAATGAAATTTAAATTCTGTTGATTTTGAGTGAAATTCAAGGTTTGACTAGTATGTTGCGGCATTTGCACATTAAGTAAATTCGTGTTTTGTTGAATAGTTTCCTGTTCATGCGGAACTGGTTGCATTTCGAGCATTTCTGTCTGTTGGCTGACAACGGGCTGCGTTTGCTGCATTGGTTGTGGCTGTGGTTCAGACTCAGACTCCTTTCTCGACTGCAAAGCTTCAGGCCTCTGAATGATCTGTGCTAAAATATTCTGCAGATTCTGAAGAGAGGGATCTAACACTTGCCCGGTAACGAGATTCGTTTGTGGCCCAGCCATAACTTGGTCTTGGACTGTAAGTTGCTCCTCCAACTGCTTCTGCTGTATGGCGGCTGCCTGCTGAGCTATAATATTCTGCTGCTGTTGGATGATTTGCTGCTGCAGTACCTGGTTTGTGTTTGTGATTTCGTTCGCAACCAGTTGTTGATTAAGTAAGTTTTGCTGGAGAGGTTGAGGCTGGTGTTCTCGAAGGTTCTGTTGCTGTTGATCCACAAACGCTTGGGCCGGCACCGTCTGCTCTAACATCTGTTGACTAAGGAGATTCTGTTCCATCATCACCTGCTGTTGTTTGATATTATGTTCAATGAGTTGCTGCTGCTGTTGCAACAGGTGTTGATCAGAGCTGATGGAGGGTGACATCCGAGCTTGCATCAGATTCTGTTGAAATAGTTTCATGGCTTTTTCCTCGTTCGTCAGGTGTTGTTGAAGCAGCTGTTGCTGCGCTTGTAAGAACTGAGATTGTTGATCAAACCTGTAAGAGGAGTACGGAATTTATATATACGAAACATAATATACTTTTAATAACAAGTAAGTAATGATTGAACTTACTGGACGGCTGCCAGTGCAGCTTGCGGCGATCCTACACCGTTCAGAAGTCCAGATTTTACTTGATCCACCGGACCAGCTTGTTGCTGACTTTGAATCATCTTAACCTGAAATCAAAACGTTTCGTTACAACATGCAAGAGGATGTTCAAAAGGCGAATTCTTAAAAATAATACCTGTCTCAGCTGTTGTTCTAACAGCAACTGCTGCTGGCGGTTTTGTTCGTTAAGAATTTCTTGGTTGAAAAGCATTTGGGCTTTCTTCTCACTTCGTTCTCTGTGAAGATGAATTGTAGATTAAGTAACGTTCCCTATTTTTGTATTTGTTTTTCTTATTAGAAACATAGTTCTGCTTATAACATGTCTATTTTGTATTATAAATGGTCGTTAATTGACGCCTCAAGTCTACATGTATAAATAACGATGATCGTTTTGTCTCAAACTATTAAATACAACACTGATTTCACTTTCCATAGAATGAACTAAATTGAAATACACTATGTAAAATCATATTGAAAACTGGGGCCAGTAATTTTCTTTCAACGTCTGTTGGCTGATTTCGAATTCAGTGATCCACATATTTAACAATGACCTTAGACATGCGAGTTTGCGATAACTATTCATTATTTATCCTAGCGACCGTTGCCTGGTCGACGCGACTCTTCGAAGATGTGATAAATTCAGTTATAATACTCAAATACTTTGCGATGTTTATTGGGATCAAACCACAATGAGTCTGTTGTTTACGCGAGTAGTTCAGTTTAAAACCAAAAATATATAGCTACGACCCGACGTTTTTCGTTGCAGTTGTGGGCACAAAACGCAACCAAAATGTAGTTATAAATAAGCTAATATATATTTATCGTTTTAAACCGTTCAAATGTTTGTTCAAAAAGGAATTAGGTACGTGCGACATCAAGTATATGTGATAAGAATGGTAAAGCGTATTCATTAAACTTTATGGACCCTGTTTTAAAACTAAAATCTCGTTTTTCTCTGAGGCATGGTTTAAACACTTTTTTGTGTCTGTTTCACTAGCCTACTTTATTTAGAGGAATAAAGTGCATTAGTTTTTATTCTCTATCTGACTAAAATTCATAATGATTCTCCTTAACTTCTCACTTTTACCGCAACAATTTGTAATGTTACGTTATAAATTTGTTAATAAAATTACACGACAGACTTATGTGTACATAATTAATTAATTAATTAACCGTTCCGTAAATTTTCTGCAAACATGTTTTCGTTTTGTAAAGAAAAGCAATTTTTATCCGTCAAAGATAATTTAACTGGAAGAACGTACATATTTTAACATTACTTAAGCTCTGTTCTTTATTATGTCGCGACACGCACATTTGCTGTCCCGAGCAGTGACTTGTGTCAGCTTTTCTTTATCACAATCTTGCTGAATATCATTATGAGAAATGACTGCTCCTTTGCCGTGTCTCAACTATCACAAGTATTGATTGTGGAAGAATTGCTTTATTATGATAGAGGAAGACAGTTAAGCGTGGACATCATTTGACGAAAAAAAACCCAAGTCCACATTTTCCAGACGAATTTTAATAGACAGTAGTTAATTTATTATCAATATTTATTTATGTGTCTTTGAAAATTTATATGCCTCAAAAAAGCCTAAACTCACCAGTTATATTTATAATAAAGTTTTAATTAGATGTCAATATAATGCTTATTTACGTACTAATAGAAAATGACGTGAATACTGTCTGTAGTTTACGCGAGTAGTACACATTTAAATTGTTTTATTTAAATGTGTACACTTTAACGGTTTAAAAAGCGATATATAATAGTTATTTGAATTAACTACGGTCCGACGTTTCGGATGCTTTGCAGCAGCCATGGTCACGAGGTGAATGTTGACTGTTGGAAGGAGACTTTGTAAACGCGGGCCGTAGTTAAAATAATTTTCAAAAAAGTTTAACTAATATATATCGCGTTTTAAACCGTTAAAGTGTTTTATTTAGAAAATGATGTAATTATGTTACGAGTTTGAAATAACTTCCAATAACCAGTACGTGTGTCGAATATAATTTTGCACATTAATTTTATGTTTTGAAAATAATACTTTATTATCAATAAAATATGAATACTAATTAACTGTTGCATTATACTTATCAAAGAACAATATCCATCTAACATCTTTAAAACGTTGTTTAATGCTAGACAACAAAGCATTTTTTTACTTGAGATGCTTTTTTTACAGCCTTATATATAAATTACTATCATTTGGAATGCGTACATATAAATAATGACTTACATAACCACCATAATGTCACTAATATCCCAGCGAGATCACTTTACGAACACAAAAAATCTCATATACCAACCACAACACATATAAAGACACTGGAAATTTTTAATCTATACACATATACACTAATTTCACTTATTTGTAAACATTACACAAATGTTTTGTTTATATCAAAAGATATAGTACCGGTCAGATACATGTCGGCTTGTGTACTAGCAAAATCGTCATAGCAATTACACGCGGGCAGTGATGCGTCGATATAAGAATTCAAAAGTGTTATGCGAGAGGTGGACAAGATTTATAAAGAATATTATCTCTTTATAAATACCAAAATTTAAAATGATTTAAATGGAAATTATAAATAAAGACCAAGTTGCTGCAACAAAGTAACAAGTCACAGCATAAGGAACAAAAAACACACTTAACGGTTTAAAGCGAAATATATACGTTTAATTATTTAAACTACGATTCTGTTATTTGCTCGAGTATTGCACATTAATTAAAAATATTAAAATTTTAAAATGTAACTTTCTAATTTCATCATTAATGATTTTCTTAAGCTGCACAGCATAAGACATTAAACTTTAAAATGCAAGTGTTAAGAGATGAGATGCATGTATCAATAAGTTGAAAAAATTCGAGGATAGGGTGTAGGACTCGGTAGCTCAATTGGTAGAGCAACAAGCATGGAATGCTGACGATACCGGTTCAATTCCTGCCCGAGTCGAAAATTTCTCAATTTGTTATCGATTTTTAAATAATATAAATTACTTTCAACGGTTTAAAACGCGCAATGTTCTTTCAATCGATCGATTCTATTTTCGCGAGGGATTCAAACCCAGTCCTTAGTTTTTTAAGATAATCGTTCACCATAACCTTGAATTACCAAGCGCGTCACGGAGACATGAGTAGTGATTTTATGCGAATGAAGATAAGGCGGGGATAAACCATTTATAATCTAATAATGTATTGCATAATGCCGTCCTCCATTAAGCGATTTGTGTGTACATAATTAGAAATACGTATCACGGCCAGTTGCGACGGTACTATGCAATTATAATCGCATGCAACACTAGTAGACGGCGATATCGGCGCCTCGTTTGATATTGCTATTTATAGAATTAATTAGCGCCCCTACCGGGCGCCACTTTCGCAGATTAATCGAAGCTGTATTGGCGACTAGTTTTTGCCCGCGGCTTCGTCCGTAACACGATTTGGAACAGAGAAGGGATTTGCCTAATTATTGGTTGGGTACGGATTATCAAGCACGTTTTTTTTTAGTTAGTGTAGACAAATAGTCTGCATACCACTTTTTACTGTGAAAATTGCTTCCACCCCACCCCCCATTTTAGACTAAAAGTGGCCAATGTCGCTCTCTTCAATTATCTCCAAAAAAATAACACGTCTATGCGTCCTGTGTTGCCGCGTAAGACGGACAAACAACATTTCACATTTAAAACATTAGTATAGCAATCAAATTAAGAAGAAGAACATTTGTAAAGGTTAACTGCAGTTCGATTATATACTGGAACTTTTTTCTTTGATTATAACTGTGGAACTGATTTCTCGACGTTTAACGCGTATCATCGAGTCTCAGATAAGTGTGTCGCCCTGACTTTCGCTACTTAAAAAGTAAATCCGAGTTTTGTATCGAGATCTAGTTGCTTTTAGATTATATAACAAAATAAGAGAAACATCGTTTGCGCTGTAGGAAGGAAGTTATGGGACTAATCGTGTTTCACTTGCAGACAAGTAGATATAATTAAAACACTTAACGGTTTAAAACGCGAGATGTATTAGTTATTTAATGATGATATTAATAAAAAAAATACAAATTTAATATAAAAAGATCAAAAGACTAGTTCATGTTGATTCCAAAAATGACAGTATATGTAAATTTTTACTATTTTCGACATTAAATAGTGCAACAAACAGGAATCAAACCTAGGCTACACGGTATTATATTCCTTTTGGTGACTTAGCTCTAGTCATTCTGTCATCTCCTTCAAATGATAATGCACTCACCGATTAAGACTGATCAGCTGTGACTTAAGCAGCTTGAAGACGATCCTCGCATCCTCCTCCATGATGAGACCAGCTTTCGCCATATCTTTGGCGACTTCTTCACAATCGTCCTTCTCCATATCAAACTCAAACTGAATGGCTTCATTCTCCTTATGCGTGTAAGACCTATACACAGAGTCAATATATAGCGAATGTGCAAAAGCGACAACATGAGAGATCGACGAAGACAAGAGAAGTCATTAGTGTTAGATATTACCGTATTTGAGTATACTTCTCTGAATTATAAAAGGGGAAAAATATTTAAAACATTTCCCCACGGATTTAAACTGTGAAGTTTACATATGTATATATAATAAATATACACTTACCAAATCCATTCGTAAGCTAATATAATCCAAATAGTTTTACCTTACCGTTTCTTAGGGTCGATGATTTTGAGACGGAACTGTATCTTGGTTATGTCCGATGACGTCACGAGATCCCGGCTCACAATCTCCAGGCGGAGGCCGATATCCTCGCCGAAGAACTCGTGGTTTAATAGGTCTTTTACTTTTGGTCTGTCGACGAACAAAAGTAGACTATTTTAAGGAAACGACTAATGAGAAATCTTATTTCTTTGATTTTCTTACGAGACATAAGTTTTGGACGTAAAATGATACCCGGTAGCCTTTGCCCTTAAATTAACAAAATATAAGTCTTCTCAAGCGACCACATGAAACAGGAAAATATAATAAAAAGTGGCAAATACCTGTCCGTTTTGTTGGGTCTAATACACTGCTCTATAATATCCCGAACTTCTGGAATGGTGACCTTCTCCAAGCTCTGAGGCTTAACTCCCTGTTAAAGATTAGTATTTAAGTATAATCTGTAGCTTACGTAAGTAGTAGACGTATAAATAAAACATTTTTAACAGTTGAAATGCTTGTTACACATTTAATTTCTACAAAAATCAATTACGAAGGAACAGAAGGAACTTTGACTACGAATGGGTACTGCAAAGGACGTCGGGTAGTTAAACTTTAAAGTAGGTGTTTTTTTTTAAATCACAAGTATTTAAATTAGCTTAACTCGGCCTATGCCATCATTACCAGAGACTTAAACTTTATAAAACTCGAATTGGGGTGACACTTATTGCTTAAAAGTTATATTAATCAAATCGACTTTAATAACCACAATTTAAGCTTTAATTTCCAACGAAAAACTTTGTATCGTTTGCTTAAATGTTTCGCAGCTTCAATGTGCTTACCGAAACGACCTTCTTGTAAATCTGCGCCGGCCCACTGCACTCGCTGTAAGGGTATTCCCCCGTGGCCATCTCCAGCATGCACATGCCGAACGCGTAAACGTCCACTGACTCGTCGTAGTGCTCTTCGTACATTTCGGGCGCCATGAATTCCGGTGTACCTGGACAAAATTCACCCATTAGGAAGAGCGTAGGCATTTCCCTACGGCCGACAAACTTAAGTATAAGGGATATCGGACTGCAGCCTATAAGATCACCTTAATAAAACAGCATTATATGTATTGTATGTACGGCGATCCGGTGCAAAAATATTTACAGGTTTTCTACCACATTGTACTCAGATCGAATTAAACGGCATCAATGATATATGATAGTAGTGATAGTGGCGAACAGACAAGTATGAGGTTCCCTTGATGGACCTATTTTGGCTTTGGATATTCGGAAATCCAGAAGGACATCGAAACGAGCATAAACTTGACAGGTTTTTATGGTTCGTGACCCGGAGGGAATCTCGATACTCTCACAACCGATTTAATATCAAAATTTCTATACGAAGTCTAACATGTTTCATAAAACATGAGAGTTGAAGTCCTTACGCTTCTCTGTTCCGGACCGATACGTGTGGAGGCGATTACGACCACCGTTACTTGCGCTACCGTACTCACGCACCAACTTACTGATGAAATCCCCTCCTGTTCGTGCTTAGCGTGTTATCAACATGCTGCTGGAGGGGGATCGACATTTTTACGTGCAACTTGGGTGAATTGACAAAAACATCACTCCATGAAATATGTTCTAAATATTCTACAGTATTAGCATACATTGCGATATTCCTACAAGCCATTTAATATCCAGATTTCTAAACAAAGTGTTTAGCAATTTTTTTTTACCCAGTGTGGGGATCGAATCCAAAACCGGTAGATAATTAAACCAACGAGCCCGTCGGAATAGTTTCCCCTTAATTTCTACGTCTAATGGTAATATGTTAAACCAACCAATAACAGATTTGGCGAAGCTCCTATTCTTCAGTGTTGCAAGTCCGAGGTCCCCGATTTTCACGCTGCCCGTCGTTCCCGTGATAAATATATTATCACATTTCAGATCTCTGTAATAACAAAAAAGAAATCATTGGGAGATCTAAGTTTTGTCGATAGCTTTTGCGAGTAGTTCACATAGATAAACCCTTCAGTTAGGTCATAGTTAAGTAAGTAATATATTTAAAGTAAACACTTTAACGGTTTAAAACGCGATATATATTTTGGGAAAATATCTTAACCAAATAAGTATAACCAATATATGTTTTAAACCGTTTAAGTCATATACAGCATTTAGGTAATATGTTTTACGTTTTATACCGTAAAGTAAAAATTGTGTCATGGTAGAGAAAGAAAGACATGGGCATCCCTTGATGAAAGGTGTACAACCCCGACTATATATATATAACCAAGTAACACTCAATAGATTAAAAAATAGATAAACTTAACAAATAAATTATTATTATATTAATTAGCTACATGGGCTATCGACCTATTATAAAATATTTCCAATAGAAAATAAAAGCTGCAAGTTCTTTGTGTTTAGTCACCTGTGTATTATAGGCGGTGTTCTCGAGTGCAGAAAGTTAAGTCCCTTCAATATTTGACGACACCACGACTTGAGGACTTTAGGTTTGAGCCGCTTAAACCTCTTTAGATACCTGTAACGAAGTTATATAACTGTGTATTAAAAACTGTTTATGCTTTCACAATTAACATCTAAATTTATTAAATCAGTACCTAGCCGATCTCAAAACCTTATAGACAACTGGTTGCGACCGCCTCAATGGTTACACGCATTGCCTAATCTATACTGATATATAAAGCTGAATAGTTAGTTTGTTTGAACGCGCTAATCTCTGGAACTACTAGTTCGATTTAAAACAATATTTGCGTTGGTTAGAGCATTTATCCAGAAAGGCTATAAAATATAGCGCCGTGACGAATAGGAGCGAAGAAACAGCGGAAAATGTGAAGGAAACAAACGGGGGAAATGATCCTAGTGATACCAGATACCAAAAAAATATGTATTAACGAATGATCCCCCCTTTAAGTGAACTAAAAAATGTCTGCGACAGAATATCTCTATAGTTTAAGATTAATTAGCAAACACTACGGGACGCGGCCAAAGTCACTGACACAGCTAGTTCATAATATATTAATATCATTTGCAAGAGTACATGAAAGTGAACTTTTTTGTGTAAAAACATATATTTCTATACAAAAAAATAAAACTATATAAATAAACGTACGTCTTAAGCGTGCCCGATACCATAAGCTCGGTGATGAGGACAATGTTCTTCTTCTTAGCGACAGTCCCCTCCCAGTAGTTGTAGAAACGGACGATGTTCGGATGCTGCAGTTTCTTCAGCATATCTGCCTCCTCGCGGAAACGTAGACGCTCCGTTTTGTTTAACTTTTTCTCCTAAAACATAAACGATATTGGGTATTAGTTTCCCCCCGTGTCACTTATCCCTCAATCACTAGTTAACTTTATACAGTTGACTAAGGTCTGCATTATATTTGTTTATTCAATATGGTAAAATATATTATTAAATAAATTTTTTATCCTCATTTATTTGGTTTTCAAGTATCATAATTGTTCATACCAACAATTCACACCAAGCAACAGCGACGCCAGTCTGCGTATCCAGCCCGTGGTATACCGTCTTGAATGAACCGCGTCCAACCTCTTTGTCGTATTTGAAGAATCTATAAATAGACAATCTCACATAAATACATTGCGTTTGTTTACCTTGTCAATATGAAAACTTCTTGGCGAACATACTAATATATGTATTATAGCCCAGAAAGAGTTGAAAGTTCTTTAAGCGATATAGATAAAGAGTTAAGTTTAGCCATTACTACAATGTTACTAAATTACCTTCCACACGGTGAGACACCAATAGGTTCCTCTTCATCTTCCTTATCCGCCTTCTCTTTATCCTTATCCTCAAGCTTATCCAGTTCGTAGATAGGATCGTAGACTATACCTGCAAAATAATCGTATTTGTATTAGACGAATGAAGTTCAAAGAAAGAAGAATGATGATTAAGAAGAAAGAGAAGAATAGAGTAAAAGGAAGATACCATTCTGTTGTTTCTGTGACTGTTCTGCGCCGGCGTCGTCGTCTGTCTTTTCGGTGGCGGCTGCAATGATGTTATTTTCTTGAATGTTCTCTTCCTGTAAAAGAGGAATAAAATTTAAGCATGTAAAGTCATGCTTCGAGTTACGCCAGTTTTGTTAAAAAAATTGGTTAAGTGCGAGTCGGATTTGTATAACCGTAAGTGTACAATCGATAGTCCCTTTCAAAGTATTAATACTGTTTTGAGAATGGGATCTAATCGGATATAAAAAAAATGTGTTATAAATCCAAGCTAGCCTAGTGTTTGCAATAAAAGAGCTTTAGGCTATTTTTATTGTCAAGCGCAGTAGCCCCTTATATACATATATTTAAAGCTGACTTTGTACACTTAATAAATCCTCATTTCAATTTAAAAATAAACTGTAGCTCAATTTGTATAGCAGCATTGTAGTGATCTACAGCGTTCAAAGAGGTACTTACCAAATCTTGCTCCGAAATAAACGCGTCGTCTTCTAATCGAGCGACCAGCTTGTTTCCGCTGTCATCCAGCTCAGGGTCGCATAGAGCGCCCTGGCCTGAACTACGCCTGCGATAACCACCAACTACCGGTTGACTAGCCTGCAAGATACATTTTTATATTTAAACTCGTGATTACAAACTTAAATTAAGATATTAAAGAACTTTATGAGGCAGATGTTAGGGATTACATCTATACTTTTGAAGAAGAATTTTCTGTGATATTTTTTTTTTTTTTCGGGGGAAATATTTTTTTTAAAAAAATTTTTTTGTTTTTATTTAAAAATTTTTTTTTTACTAATTTCTTTTTTCCTTTTTTTTTTTTAAGAAAATATTCTGTGATATCAGACTATATTATTTGCATTTTTTTGTGGATTGCCGAATATCTAAAGTCAAATTAGACAGACAGCGCATCTTGTCAAGAACTTATGACTAAGCTATTTCACCTTCCATAAAGTGAATAACATGCTTGTCTATCGTCCTTTATCATAAAAAAATAGATGAGCCTCAGTAATTTTTTACTGTTTGTTTCATACAATACAGCAGTCTCATAAATATGCAATTTAAAGTTGTTAAAATGGAAATATCTACAGCATTAAGATTAAGTCAAGTGAAGTAAGAATATGCTAAGCTAAGCTAGTAAGCTATAAAGTAGAATCTTCTATTTTCTAATTATTTCTAGAAACAGCTTATTTCCTTCTAATAATCACTAAAAGGAAAAAGCTCTCCTCCATTCCCAAAGTCACGTTCAACTCAATTCGCAATGTATCGAGAAAACGATATTTCATTTTGTTTACAATACGCAATGAGTCCATAATTCGCCCAAGTATTCTAATAATTAAGTAATTACTATGAATGCCAATTTCTATCTGACCAACTCAAGTTAATAATGTGTTAAGTAATTACTTAATAATATTATTGTTTATTTGTAATATTTAATTTGTTTGTTTATCTATATGAGGTTTTCTAGTGTTAAGACATCAATAAGCTATTAAAAAACAACTAACTATTTTTTTTTTAATTTGCAAACACAATTAATAAGCATTTTGAAACTCAAGGGCCGCGATTTAAATTATTATTTTTATTATTTAACCTCAACTTGCACGGTTAAAAGGCTATTCTAAGTAATACTTACAACACTGGTAGTTAAGGAGTTCAGCATATCAAATGTGTTACTCTGCTGGGTGTGAATGATTGCAAGAGCATTGTAGGGTCTCGGCCCCAGTACGGGGGTCTTCATGACCCCCACTTCGCTGCCCACCACCACCTGTATAATACCATATATTAAAAGTTAGTTGTAAATCAACAACAAAATGTTATCTCAGGATACAATTTATATCCTGAGATCTTTTGGTCGGAATTTTGGTAGGAATATTGAAATTCCGTCCGGGTCACGAACCACCATCCTCAGTTGAAAATGCGTGAAATGCAATCGAAGTTCGGTTTCAGTCTGTGAATTTCCGAATATCCAAAGTCAAGAGTAAATGGAATCTATGTAGATTTATATGGCTGGGGTATGGCTACACCTACCATCGAGTGGACCCCCTGCTTGTCTGTCTTCCCCTAAAAAAAAAAAAAAACCCCCCCCCCACGGAGCCCAATTCGTTAAGATCTGGGGACCTATGAAGTTATAAAACACTATCTCCGACGATTCTGATCAAACGCAAGCGCCAAAAAAAGTTAAATTTTAAACGACTAGACTAGACTGAAATTAAGGAGCCTTAAAGTAAAAATTTCGTGTGCACCTTGAACGTTTTCTCCTTGACATGCACAGTTTTTTCTTTGGCCGGTAGAACGGAGGAGTCAAGATGGTGAGACGGCTGCGAGATCTGGTGGGCGTGCCCGTGGAGACCTGATGTCATCTGAAAATAATATAATCCTTTATAAATAACGATATTAATTTGAACAAAGACAACATTTAAGATTGAACAACATTACAGTTAATTAAGTTCTAACAGAAGCTGTCGGATACATTAACGTTTCAAACCGTTAAGTGTTTTATTTAATTTACAACTCAGTAAACAGACAACTTACGTACCTATCAATTTTAATCAGTGACAAAACCAGTGTAACATAATTGTAACTTAAAAGTAAGCGTTCCCCGTCATGTTTTCTCAGAGATTTCCTCGAAGGGTGTTTCTCCGGGTTAGTCTTACGGTAAATGGGGGTGCTACGTGCAATATTCACGTACATTCTGTACCTTACGGTGACCAATATATAAATACTTATGATTTTATTCTAATTTCCTATTATTATTGACATGGATGATCACGATGGAGGTTGAAATCGCCTTGTTTAACATCGATTGATTAAGATGATGTCTTATTACAGATTTGTTTATTCGGGAATTCGTATATTTAAATGGACGAATTTAAACCTCACAACACTTCACAATAACGTCTTTCACGGTCAAAACCTCGATATTCCTTTAACTTTCATAAGATTTCAAGACAATATTTTGAAAATTATGCTGTATTCTGTTTTGTGGGAATATAGCGTTACATTAAACTATCTTGAATATGGATTCAATTCTTCTTCATAAGATTGAATCTATTAAGAATTAGTAATGCCTGCAAACTTGCAAAAGAAATTAAATATAAGTGTCGTTCGTTCAATCGGTGAGAGCCGAAAACCCCTTATCATAAGCAGTACATAGGCAACACATCTTTTATCTACCCAATTCAGATTTATTCTATAAAAAAAATATCAGTAAAGCTATTATTTTCCTCATACTAGAAAATAAACACTGTCTGTAGTTTAAGCGAATAGTAGGCATTTATATACAACACTTTAACGGTTTAAAACGCAGAAATTAGTTAACTTCCTTGTTGCAAAGCATCCGAAGACGGCCCTTCTTCGGATGCTTTGCAACAGCCGTGGTCACGGGGTTTTAAATTTCGAGTACTACTGCTCTTGTGGCTCAATGATTACAAGTATTGCGTATTAAGGTTAATGGTTTGAATCCCACATATTTAGTTTTAATAGGCAGGGCTCAGAAACCAGATCTAAACTTCCTTATGAAAAGAGACACAGAAAAGTGTCCATGCCCAATGTGGCAGAAACAGGGTTTTATTTAACATATAAGTGCTAAGTATGTGCAAAGTTAAATCTTTTGGTATAATTATAAAAATCTTGATTCTCAAAGTTAACATAAGTTTATTAGTGTATAAAGATTTCAAATATTATTTGTTCGAGAATATATTATCAAACTGCAGCGTCATATTTAAAAGTGCCGACGCGTGCAGTGTTGCACAATACAATATCAAATGACAAAAGTTATATTTAACTTAGGAGATTAAAGTGTAAACATTGTTGACCTTTCAAGGCACATATAAGATCGAAACGCGATATCACTTTTATATCAACATGTGAAATCTTCAGAGGTTTTCTTTATTTTTTCACAAAATACAACATAATCGACTTAAACTGTTGCTATGCTAATCTGAGTACTTTATCAGAAAACTGAAAGATATGTTTCGTGGGCATATTTTAATGACAGGCAAGATGTGTTAACTTATAATGATATAACCCATCTTTATAAGATTTAATTAACCTGCCGACCTATTTTCGCTTTGGAAATTCGGATATCTAGAGACTGCAACCGAATCGCCGATTTACAGTAGGTACACGGATTTTACGCCGATTACATTTACATCCTGTGATTTGTGACTGGGACAAAATGTGCAAACCCCGGCTCGTTGGTGTAATGGTAACGAGTAAAGTCTGCGGTATGGGTCGTTTTGATCCGCATCACCAATAATTTGTCAAAAAATTATAATATTTCAAAAACATGGTGGCCTTCGTATGGAAACCTGGACCTGGATGGATAATTAATGGGTGGTAAGAATATCGAAATAGCCGTCAAGCTCAATCGCATGTCGGTTTCAGTCTGTGGATTTCCGAATATCCAAAGCTAAAAATAAGGTCGACAGTGCATCTTACTTAGATGCTTCACCTACCATGAAGTGAACCCCACACTTTGTCTGTCCTCTTCTACCTTAAAAAAGACCCCACCAAAACATTTAAATCTCACAATCATATCACTGTTATAATTCAGTATTTAACATATTCAGTATATACCGTGATATGTAAAAAAAATCCTTCCATCTAATTAGTCTTATTACGACCTTGAAAACACCTAAACTATATTGGAATGTCTGACCTAGGCGATAAGTTTGAATCATGTATTTTTTTTTCACTCATATATCACGTACTATTTTAAGACTCTAGGGTTATCATAAATACTGTGCGTAAAGGCAAAAATATCGTAAACAATAAAAGAATAAGAAATTAAACAGACCCAGTTATTACAAATCCATTAAACACACACTATAAACACATAATATGGCACAATGTTTTCGACAGCTCATCGTCGTAAAAATCAAAACAAAATAGAACCGCGCGAAACAGGTCCTGAAAGTAGCACCGCTTGAGTGACACTGGTCCATTCATAACAAGCACGCGATAAAGGTTCAAAACGCATCACCAATAAGGCTGTTTACCAACTAAGCAATTTACACACCGATAACAGGTGCCAATATGCCCATAGAAAATGAAAAGCTCTTTCTCAAGATAATAATATTAATAATAAAAAGTATATTGTTTAAAACATATTATGTAATATTTGGATATTTCAAGTTGTATTAAGTATGCTTATCTGTCATTAAAGAAACTGCCATTAGGACGTTTAAGTAATGAAATTGTCTAAAAGAACTCGTTTAATATATATATCTTTTCGCATATCATTTTAGATAGTTTTATATTAAATTAAAATGTCCATATATACCTTATTAGCATGTTGTGTAGTATCACGTTTTTCTGCGGTACGTCTATTCGTTACAAACATTAATTCCAAAGATAAAATTACCGTAACACGTAGAAAAACGGTAATTCGCTAATACTAGCTTACACAACGTATTTAATCAAATGTATCGATTGACGCTACACGCTCCTAATTAAATATTCTCAGACCGCAATTACTATTCACCTAAGACAACAAATTTGCATTTACGTACCAAAGGAACGTAACGAATATATACGTACGAATAATATAGTCGTTAAATATACGCTCTTGAATGAGTTATTCCGTTGCTCTACTATTGAATCATTGCTTCTAGACATTTACCATATCGTATGGAATAAAAAATAAATTATTTGTAAACATTTATACCCAATAAGAAAATAAAATAATACAAAGAGAGAAACCGCAGTATAGTGTAGGCTGCAGGGGTGGTTTTCATATTTCCATGTTTACAAGTAATGTTTATCACACATGCTTCTTAGAGGTCGAGAACAGCTGTACCTTGAATTTCTAGAAATTATTGGGAAGTCTATTATGTCCAAAATAACATCTCGTTAAAATGTATTGGATAGGGTATTTGCATTATCACAAACATATTACCTGTTTTTAAAAACTGCCATGTAGGCCTTTGAAGTACTGAAATATTCTTTCAAGAACTTTTAACGTTTAATTTATATTTTTACGCCTCATAACGTTTGATGAAAGTTATGTAATTAAAATTTTAATAATAAAAATAATCTCTAATTCGAGCGCCAACTCCAAGCGTTTACAACGCCACGTGTGTAACCGGCCTACTAGACAAAACAGTGCAATATCCAAGCGAGTGTGACGACGGCGGCACAATCTTTCCCGAGAATGAATTTTGATAAGTTTTATCTTACCTAGTGATGTAACGGCATTCCGAGTGACAGAAAAGGTCGTCGTTATCGTATGGTGTACAAGTAATTAAAAAACTTTATCAAAACAATGATGTTACTATAAATATCGCAAAAGGCCTCTCAGATTCGCGATAACATCGCTTCGCGGGACTTTTAAGCGAAAAGGAATGGCACAATGGTATATATGAACGGAGATATACGAAAAAATACTATGTAGAAATAGATATTATATGTTGTCAGTGAATGTTGCCTACATTATCTTTGTCTCGAAAAATGTCTACAAAAAACTATTATAAGGTTTTACTTTGTATGTTGATTTAGGTAAACAAAAATGATATTCTATATCTATTAAAATCAGATGAGTAACTTCTATAATACAGTATTTTATGAAAAATGTTAAATTTAGTATTTGTGCTTAAAATTTTTGTCCATGTTGTCAACGTCAAATATACTACATTAGCGCCATCTGACTTGCTGTTGTAAAACTTTTGAAACGTCGGAGCGTGGTTAAAATAAACTATAAACAAGTTAAATAATATATTTCACGTTGTAAACCGATAAAAGTGTCTTATTTCATTGTGTACTACTCGGGTAAACTACAGACAATTCTCAGTTATATCTAGGCAAAATGTTCTCGAACGACAGAACCGAACTGAGTCTTAACCAGACGAGTTCAAACTGGCCATTACAGCACGTGCCATTCTTAATCCACGTGTGTGTTACCCGCCTTCGATGAAGGTCGACAATGAAATAGTACGCAACGGTAGATTACTTAGATCTATATGACAGGTATTGGGAAAATACACCCTTTTCATTATTGTCCTTAAAATAGTACCAATCTTAATGTAATAGTGACTGAATTCTCCCTATTCTCAAAAGGTTCACTTTTTGGCGGCTCTTATGTATTGCAAATCATCCAAAACGTCGGGTCATAGTCGAAATAAATAAAGAATAAGTTAATTATTCTGTATCGCGTTTTAAATAGTTAAATGTTTTAATTAAACGTGTACTTTAAAACGCGATATATTAGTGAAACTTATTTGAAAATGATTTAACTATTATATCGCGTTTTAAACCGTTAAAGTGTTTCATTTAAATGTTTACTACTCGCGTAAACTAAAGACAGTATTTACTTGATACTATATTGACATATTATTATAGTAATATAAACAATGAAAATATTCAAAGCTGAAAACGAAATTGGCGGGGACGCCATCTATATTAACGAATGTTTTTATTTTATAATTGCTCATGAGTTATTTCTAATTCTACATTTCGTTTATTCTAAAACGTTAAAAAAATAACTGTATAAAGAGAAATGCCCATTTGAGGCCACAAACGGCCAATCGACTTATACAACGAATATTTAGCATGTTGGGGATACCCCCAATAGGCTAATAGGCAATACATTAGCTAAGAAAATTAACTCTAACTAGCTAAGACTAGGGAAGCCACTCTGGGAAATCATGAACTGACGGCAAGCCGCCCGAAAGATAGGTAACTAAAGACAATAAAAAAATGATAATAATGTATTAAAATTGATTAATTTTAGTATTATTAGCGGACCGCAGTCAAGCATTGCTCCTTTTAATGCATACATACTCATACGCAATTTTAACTGCGCCAAAATTTCAATTGAATTTCAGTTTCGCCTCTTTGCATCGTCCGCGAATTTCGGTGCGATAGATAACAACCTATGCAAACATCACGACCAATAATAAAAATAAGCGTCACACGATTTTAATACTTCCTCGGAAAATTGTGAACGCAATTAGTGCATCAGCCTGTCTCCCAGAAAAAGATTGTCTTATCATTATCGGTAGATCATTACTCAAATGTAAACAGCTATTAAACTCTATATTATCTCTATTACTAATATAGTTTTCCTTTACAATACTAATCCGTGCTTCCATACTTAGTATTACAAAGTTGAAGAGTTTGTTGTATTATAAATCGATTATAGGACGAAAAAATTTACGACGCGGACAGGACTCGAACCAGCATCCGCAGCGTTCCGCGCTGTTTGCTCTAACCAATTGAGCTACCTTGTCCTACACATCATCGTTGATATTTTCTAACATAATACACCTCTCGCGCAATCATATTTTCGATTGAATTCGCTTTTGATTAAATTCTGAACTGACGGTCTGATTAGAAAATGTATTTGATGTTGACCACCTGAAAAAATGTAGATCCCACCATCGATAGCCACCGGTAAATGGTTAAAAGTGATACTTAGTATTGCGTTAGGCAACAGTGGTCCTGGGTACAAATCTCAAAACACAATAAACAACACAATACATTATACAATTAATTATTTCGATTGGGTAACTAAAAAATCTCTGTCTATAGTTTACGCGTTTTAAACCGTTAAAGTGTTTTATTAAAACCAAAAATCTCGTTAGACACAACAACTGTAATTAAAATCAATTACAGAAACTGGCAATGAAATGTATTCCTGATGCCCCACTGGGGGAAATAGCGCGCTGGGACAAGCAACGTAGAGATCGTATGATGTACACGTTTGAGAAAAAATTGAGCGTTTTAATTGCCCGGCGTGCACACAGTGTACAACGTTTTAAAGACATTAAAAGAAATATAAAAAATAAGGAGCCCAAGATCACGGGCTAATATTTATATACAGGAACTTTTACTTTTTTTTAGCTAGTGTTAAAAGTCACCTAGTTTACGTCTGGACATTGACGTAACGAGAAGACAAAGCTCTTGTAATTATTTGACACAATGCAAATTAAAACAAGTGCGTTCTCTAGATGTTTGTGTAGTTTGAACAAATAGCGTTCGGCTATAAAATATTAAAGTTAGTTTACAATGTTATAGAATTCCTAGAAACGTGTATACAAAACTTAGTATGGGACAATGCAACATCAAAGTTGGCCGATAGTTCCATCTAGATGTGTCAGGTGGAGTTATATAAGTATCTGCACTGCGATAAGTTTTATTAAAAGGCAGTATGCATACTTAGAAGTTAGAACCTGTTCAGGCAAAACGATACAGCTACCGCCAGGATACTTACTATCAATTCCTTCTATATATGTAATATGTATAGGTTAAAAAAATCTCGACGATATTGTTTAGAACGCGGTAGGTTAATTGGTTAGAGGACGGAATTCAGGTCCTACCCATGTTATAATTTTATTTTAATAAAACATAATTTTTTTAATTAGTTAAACATAAAACACTTTTCAGGTCAAAAATGCCAAATTTTCACCCACACGGGGTCAAAATCTAAAATTTTCTAAATTTGTCATCAACGAACCACTGTCCACAGTTAAAAGCCCAAATTAATAGTTCTGTTCAGTCTAAAGAATTGCGTCAAGTTAGATCGACATAACGATATTTGGCTGTAATACTGTCTATAGTTTCCGCGGGGGGAAACCCTTTTAAAAAAAACACTTTCCCGTTTTTTAACCCCTTTTTTTTTTTTTTTTTTTTTTTTTTTTTTTTTTTTTTCCCCCCCCCCCCCCCCCCCCCCGGGGCCGGGGTCCCTTTTTTTTTTTTTTTTTTTTTAATATATCGCATTTTAAACAGTTAAATTCAGTAGTTAATATAGCTCGCGTTCTAACCTGTGCACAAACGGAGAAACAAGGACGGATAGAAGTCTAAAAATAGACATATTGTCTTCTACTGGACCTATGAAATGGGACTGAATGTGTTACGTCATTGAATTCAAATTTCGAATCGTGTGTGTGCGAACCAATAATGAATAATAATGCATTGATTAACATAAGTCTTATCTCAGATAGACATCGCAAGCTATAAAGAAGGTATCGGGCGCCCGATCTTTGAGGTGATTAGATGGTACCCAGCGACCTTTGCACCATATTTCCAAGGACTAGGGACCAGCATACATCGGAATTGGGTTAGTAGACAATTTATTTCGTCACAAGTGATGCACACTGTACATGACATAAGGAAAATATATTTATTAGAAAAGCTTCTTAGTGATATTTTGTAAAATTTAATTAAAAGGTATTTTTTTAAGGTAAACCGAAAACTGTAGGGATGAGTAATGTGCCACACAACGCAGTTAGATTAGTTTGCTACTTGACGCTGTATTTCTTGGATATCCAAAGCACAAATAGTTCGATAGCACATCTTGTTGAGATGTTATGACTGGGGTATAACCTTTCTTTTTAAGTGAACCCCGTGCTTGTCTATCCTCCTATCATAAAAAATATTTGATTGAATAGTCCACTATATTTGAATAAAACACTAACGGTTTAAAACGAATTTACCGAATTTATATCGCGTTTTAAACCGTTTCACTACAGACAGTATTTAGTTCTATTATAGTTTTTAGTTTAGTAATGCTCCTGTCTTGAGTTAAACCAAGATCGATTCACAAGATGCAACATCGACTACGTACCATCATATTAAATTAATGATAGCATATCGCTGGAAGGAAGTGCATGTTCTAAAACACTAATTCTGATACGACCATTATCTGTGGGTCCGGTTTCCTAGCGAACGATCATAATTTTAGATTGCGCAGTGTCACTTTACTTGGAAAATTAAACCGTGTTCTAATTGTAATTCCAGGCGATGGGCGATTCGTGCTTGACCAGTGAAGATATCAGAAGTAACTGAAGTCTAGGTTATATTAAGGACTAAGGTACTTCATACTAATATATAGAATTTAAATGATGTTAACTTCATTATGCATTCAAACTAGTACAGTAATCTGTTTTTAGATCTAAAACCAAATAAAGAATTTAAGAGATTACGTTGAACTAGAAGACAAGTAATGCCAAAGGTCTGTTTAAGTTGCAGCACAGTTACACTACAAGACTGGTATGCAGCAAAAACTGAATTTATAAATAAAACACTTTAACGGTTTAAAACGCGATATATGTTAGTTAGACTTATTTGAAAATTATCTTTGCCGCGGCCCGAAGTTTCGGATGCTTTGCAAACTGAAGTTTGCCGTTAAATTACTTAGGAATTAAATAAAAGACAACAAACTACTGGTTACATTTACACACACTACAGGTCTCGTATTTTTATATGACTTGTATGCGACCAACGAAAAAATGTATGGCTTTAAATTGCGTACATAAAGTTTATTTAATAACATTATTATGTTTTAATACCTGTCGAGTAAAGAAGACAAACTAGAGATTTTTAAAACTCGGCCACTTATGTAGGTCACTCATTTTTATACGTCCAAAGATATCTGTACCTCTACACAAATCCAATGTACCTTCAATTGACCCAAACCGTAATACGGGTCAAACTTAAATGTAATTGGACGATGAATAACAAGTAGTACTATATATATATATTCTATGTAAAGGAAAACCACTTCCATGTAAAGTCGAGTTTATTGCCCGATATACAAAAATAATTTTCCCCTATTTCTAATAAAATATATGATTATTAATGTGTGTTTATATTTATCGTCTACTATATCTTTTGTGGTTTTAAAAATTTCGTGTATTAAATTTTAAATGTACGATTAAACGCCAATTTAGTTTATACTAAAGTATAGAATTTTAAATTAATTAAGGCAAATTCACGCGTAAGTGCGGAAAAGCGAACGAATATCCAAAGCCAAAAGAGGTAGACAGTGCATCTGGTGTAGCATATCTGACCGAAACGCAGCCTATATCCTTGGTGCTCTTATTTATATATAACGGTAAGGCAAAACAAGCAGTTGACATTACCTATAACTCTTAACTGTTTAAAACGCGTAATGTCAACTTATTTTAATTATGGTCCGACGTTTCGGATTCTTTGTCGAGGTCGTTCTTTGAAGTTTTAAACAGTTAAATGCGTTTTATTTAAAACAGATCCTCAATAGAGAAATTCCACTGACCTGGCCATAGCGTGACGAAGCCAAATGCACGTTCCTATTCTTCAAGAAGTCCGGCCTCTTTCCCAGACCGTAGCCGCCCTTGTTCTGCGACATAAACTTCTTGGGCCGGTCCAACCGCTCCGTAGACCCTGTCTCCGTTTCATCATCACGCTTCGACGTCGACGGTATGCCCCTATACGCGCCGCGCGTCCCCCGTATAGTCTTCTCTGGACTCTTGTCCTGTTTTCTGGCTATAAGGTTGTCCTTCCTCTGTTTGTTTCGCATAGACACATTGGACGACATATTGTCCATAATCCTCCATCAGACAAAATTGAAAAAGTCCCCTATCAAAATAGTTCGAACGCGTACATAGTCGTAATCTCAAAACAAATGAAAAAATCTCGTTGCAAAACTTGCTTTCTAACTTACAGGATAGTGACACAAATTCGACTAAAATATAAATGATAAATTGTAAAATAAATAAATAACTAGATCCGTCTTTTTATTCTCTCTCGCGTTGGCATCCTTCTCTAGCGACCGACCGAAACTAAGCTAACCGAAATAATTACTATACTAGATACACAGTCTTGAATAAATTTTGGAAATTATTGCAGAATTGGGGGTTTTTATGATGTTATCTGAAACAAAGTAAATAGTGTTGTAGATAAATGCATTAAAATTACAAAATCAACAAAAGTATAAAGTTCAAAAGGTTAATTTATTTAAGAAGGCTCAAATACAGTAGCTCAGTTTTAACTAATGTTTAAAGAGATTATTTCCTTCATAGAAAAGCAGACTCGAGAAACATTGAGCCCTATAGTCCATGTTTATACACTATTGTAGTACAAAACTGTTTATCATTTAAGTAACAGTTAAGCGATTAACATGAAACAAGTTACTGTAAAGCAAATCATAAGTACATAAACAATGTCTGTGACCTTGTAATAATCTACTTCATTAAAGGGGCAAAGGCCTCATTTAATTTAATCAACCACTTAATGCAAATATAATTGAATATAGCTTTATCTGACGTGAATTCCAAGTCTCTCCTCTAACGTTTACACCCTGTGACTTATAGAAATAAAATACTTAATAGACAAAATCTATCTCTCAGATAGCTCGATAACAATAATTCTACTAATCCATACAGTATCAGCGCCCGGTAGCATTCCTTAAATAATAAATTCCAATGATTATTATCAATATAGTGTCTAATCTTATCATTAGTTGGCTATCGGTGAGTTATTAAATGAAAAAGTTCAAGGAAAAAAGTGGTCAACTGCATTGAATTCTTTCCTTCAATTTGGCACTTTGCCACAGTTCAAAACAAAATTTCACTAAATGATAGAATGCAGATTTATACTGACAATTACTCGTAATTCATGAACATCATTTGAATATAAGGAGTCCAAGGACTCCAGATAACCAATAAATATTTTTGATGATATACTGGATTCTTCTAAAATAAAATTTACACACAACAATTTGCTGCTTGGAAATTGATTATCTATGTAATGACATAGATTAATTTATATATAGCTCTTGAAACATAAACTAGGCTATGTAACTCAATCCTTCATTAATATACGTAATTGTTCTGATTATAATATATATTCACCTACTCACTCTTGTTTGAGATTATTAAGAGCTATCAAATTACTTTTATGTTATTATTTTGTCAACCAATGGCCTCTATATTAAAAACAATGTTTACTAGAGGTCTTCAAATATTAGTGTTATTGTACCTAGCTACCTATCCTATCCATGATGTTCTCAGATAGCAGTGTATACGGCATGATTGTGCTTGCAAAATCTCCATTCTTTGAAAAAGCCATATATATAGGCCATGGTCGTAAAAGACATAAACAACATAGAAAAACTACCAAATAGTTTTTATGCCTACAAAATGCTAACTTCTTCTTCTTTCTTCTAGTTATAATTAAGAGTTAGAATGTTATAATTGCAAAATGAATACAGTAAACATTGGTTGGATAATTTATGCACGGAAATAGTGTTATCATTCAATCAGGCCTCTAGTTGCCATATGATTGTTATCAATCAAATCATCATCCACTTTAACTGGTAAGCTGCAGTCTATATTTAGCTCTGCCAGGAAATAACAAGTATTTTGAGCTAAGGCTAGGACTGCATGAAGCTAGAGACAAGCATTCTAAAAAATATCTTCAATACTTAACAAGAATCTTGGTAAGGATAGTACAATTATATGTTTGTATTAAGTATGAGAGAACAATACTTTAGATGCAGTTTTATCATGCAGGAAGTAGTGTTTATACTTTGACAAATATGAACTTGATATTGAACCTAAAAACAATCTATTACTTCAATAATTTTGCTAATTAATAGCGTTTCAATGAGCACTTAACACATATTTCCTAAACAGTCAATGTCATACAATACTATGTTAATTTAAATTGCAAATATTTTCAATAATAAAAATCAAATGAATGCTTTTAAGTAAACGTACAATCGTGCCTCAGTATAAAAGATTATACACACAAAGCATGAATAAACTCTCAATTGGCCTCCTTTGTGTATCATTTAGACGTTATTTACAAATCCTATCACGAAAACAGATGATGTACATTTGGCCGACATCTAATTTGATTACTGATATACGACGTGGGTCCATACACTGTGCCAAGGCAAAGGTATTCAAGAGGTCAGCATTCCACTTTTGTCGTATACGTAATAAGAAAACGTAGGTTTTACGATGGACTAATAACTACACCCATTTGCCGGCAGCGAGAAACACTACGAGAGAAAACACGGGCTGTGACGAACGATTTTTGGTCACGGTAAGTTTTCAGCCATTGCACTTACGTTAGTGAGAATTTTGCGCTCTTAGATTAAAACTTTCATGCATTAGCCGTTTTATTGCAATACGAATGGCGCATACTTGAATCAAGCTGAATAAATAAAGTAAAAATTACATTGACAGAACGTCAAGAACAAGTTCAATGTTTTATGTAAAATATAACTTTTGTACCTCGAAATCCACATCTCCGCTTGCGTGAACTTTTTAATTGATTCACAAATGTTATTTCTACTCGATTAACGTTGGATTCTATAAATACTTACAAATAAAATCTGGAATCACACCATTGTTTTTTCTTCTGCAAAATCAGTATAAGCCAGTGTTGCAATATTTCTACTTGAAAAAATACCTCCAATGTAGGTCAAAAAAGTCATCGACTTTACAGACTTTCACTCGTTACAAAGAGAATGTCTTCGTAAAAAGTTTTAAGTACTTAGTACCAAAATTGTACGTTCATTTAAAATTTGATAATTATTTATTCTTATTAAACATAATTGTGTTTACAGTTGCTATTTTTTTCTCATTTCTGACAAGACAATGGCATATTTTTAATCTACTATTCTCTTAAAAACCATGGCTTAATAACTCTGGTCAAATTTTACTCTCTCTACCGAAACCAGCGTTTTAATTTTTTAGCTGTATTATAAAATGTAGTTGACACAGAAACTACGTAAACTTTACGACATTTCGTAAGTTGTGTCATTTGTTTATTAAGTGTCACATGTTAATTGTCATTATTTAAAAGTACTTGATTGTGTACATGGCAAATTTTAATTAATTGTTTAGTAAATTTAAAGATAATCATGAAATAGTTGAATTTCTACATATATCATGGCATTTGTGAGTGCAGTTACTGGTGATGACTCCACGAAAAAATTCATGGATGTCTTGCAAAATGACTTCAAAACACTCAGCTTGGAAACCAAGAAAAAATATCCTCAGATTAGGGAGGTGTGTCTATAATCATTTAATTATATAGGATATTGAAGTTAATACAAACTTATTTTCAACTATACTAGTACCTATTTACCCCAAAACATTGGAAGAATAAATATGTCTTCTAATCTTCTGTAGGTGTCTTTAATGAAATGATTTTAAATCTAATAAGATTTATAATGATAACATTACATATTTATCTTTATAAAATTATCAGAGGATTTACAAATCTTTACAAATCTGTTTTGAATGTAAAGAATGTAGTTTTGAGAAATAATGTTGATTCTATATATTTCTACAAATTTTAAGGCTTGCGATGAAGCTATAGAAAAGCTGTCTTTGGCTGCCAATAATCCTCAAGCTTCCCTATATGGGGTTGTGAATCAAATCCTATATCCTTTAGTACAGGGATGTGAGTCCAAAGATGTTAAAATAATCAAGGTGAGTTTAAATAACTACAAAAATATTACATATAATAAAATTTAATGGTTCACTATTAATTTCATTTAGCAAAAAATGGAAAGTCTTGTAGAGTTTGAGTCTTATACAATATTTTTCAGTTTTGTTTGGGCACTGTTCAGCGTCTAATAGCCCAACAGGGCATTGATGCTAAAGGTGCTAGGCACATAGTGGACTGTTTGTTCAATTTGGGCCAGGCAAATATGCTTGAACTAAAATTGCTGCAAACAGCTGCTTTATTGATGACCACATCCGATTTGGTGCATGGAGATACATTAGCAAGAGTAAGTAATCTCTAATCAAATTGCTTAATTATCAATCTAAGAAAACGCAGCTTACTACACAATCCTTTACTTCCTAAGCATAAGATAAAGTATATATTATTTTCTATTGGAGACCCCGATAGAAGGCTGGGTGATCAGTCCAGACCTCCTAACCACTCCACCCAATTCCCCATAAGACATTGTCTAGTTTTAAGGCCAAATCTCATTTTGAATCTACATTGTTGTCTTATTGAAATGGTTATGTTACTATAATAGATAACAGTTATTATATTCTCTTTTCAGACTATGGTATTGTGCATGAGAATGGTAACTTCCAGTGAGAGCCGTGATGTTAGCACAAGCCATGCAGCAGCCGCTACTGTGAGACAACTTGTTGCTTTGGTCTTTGAAAGAGCTCTCGCTGAGGCAGATGGTAAAAATCACTCAATACTTTTGCCAGTAGAAAACACTAACTACAGTATTTTCTATTTACAATCAGATGCAATAAAACAATTATCCAAGTAAATTATCATTAACTAAGATTTCTTATAGGTACTCTCAAAGTTAATCCAGCCGATGTTAGAATTCAGACTAATCAAAAAGCCCCAAAGGACCTTAAGCCTTGTGCTGTAGATGCGTACCTTATTTTACAAGTAAGTATATATATAACTCTTTTTTACTAAGATCCTTTTCAATTCTTAGGCAGAATAAAAGCCTTCTATGAATATTACATAAAAAAATGATTATAAATTGAAACAATGTACGACTCGGCAAGATTTGAACTGGCATCCACACTGTTATATGCACCTCTCGCATTGTAATTTCAATCCTAATACTTGTTTATTAACTTTTTCTTCTCAATTTATAATCGAGTTTTAATTTTTATAGTGCCATTGTGTATTTTGTGCAAGTTTTCATATGTTTTACATTTTCAGGATATAATACAGTTGATTAACGGTGATGCTGCAAATTGGCTCTCAGGTATCTCCGATGTTCCCAAAACATTTGGATTGGAGTTATTAGACACTGTACTTACAGATTTTTCAGCAGTATTCTTTAAGGTACAGTTATGAGTATGAATCAATTGTTACCGGAAATAATAATTAAAATATTAAATTATATAGAAGCAAATAAGATAAAAGCTTTTTAACTTTTCAGATAACTGAATTTAGATTCTTATTAAAGGAGCATGTTTGCGCGTTAATCATACGTCTTTTTTCACCCAACGTGAAATACAGGTAAGCCATTTGTTCCTACGTTTTAGAGAATAGCAAATTAAAATCAAGTTAATAGTATTGTTGTAAAAACTTCAAAGGTTATTTGTTTATAGGTTAAATAAGGGTAAATTTGTTTATAAGTTAAGTAAGGGTAAAAATAATTTTGCTATAATTTATAATTTCTTTTACAAAATATCTATTGTTTATTTCAGAGCGGCGTTTACAGCCCCCCATATTCCAGGAGGTGTTAATGCAAGTGGTAGTCCTGCTGCACCAGATCGACCTCATTTCCCTGTCACAATGAGACTACTTCGACTTGTTTCTATCATACTGCATAAGTACCACGATCTCTTGGTGAGTTAATAAAAATCAATCTTATCCTAGCTATATTTCAGCTAGGATTAACAGTATTTTTTAACAGCTATATTTGAGCTAGGATTATCAGTATAAAGATTTTTTTTGTCTATTTTGTTTTTTACATTTTTTATACATCTTAATACTTTATTGACATTTTATTACACAAAAATTTCAGGTTACCGAGTGCGAAATATTTCTCTCTCTAACAATCAAATTTCTTGATCCCGACAAACCGTTATGGCAACGAGCGCTTGCCCTCGAAGTGCTGCATAAGATGACCATACAACCAGGTAAGGAAGGGTTACAGTATCTTTATGTATATAATACTAAAATGTTAATACACATAGTCATGTGAAATAAAAAATATAATGCTTCAAGACAGGCAAAAATGATTTTTTAAGAGGAGAAACACGTATGAGGTCCACTGGATATCCAGACTGAAAGCGAAGCGCGATTCGGCTCTTTAATCTGTCGTTGATGGTTCGTCACCAGAACGGAATTTAGATATTCCTACCACCCACTAAAAAATCCTGATTTATAGCTGTAGTCCGACAGGTTTTAAAAATATAATAAATTAATTAGAAACATATTGCGCCCGGTAGGCGACCCCTTGAGCCCTATGTTGACGAGCTATACTTTGCTACCATTACACTAACAAGCTGTTACTTTCCTCTTCTCCCTCACGTCGGTCGAATTGCCCGAAAGACTGATATTATGCTGAACGATGGCCGTGAAAGCCTTACACAATTTATGATAAACTTCTTATATTCATAATTTTCTTTCAGATCTTCTGAAATCGTTCTGTGAATGCTACGACATGCGGCCACATGCCACAAATATCTTTCAGGACATAGTGAATGCCCTTGGTGCTTATGTACAAAGTCTTTTTGTTGCGGCCAATGTTAATACGCAACCAGGTATGTATATCTGATGAATCTGTATGGATACACGGCTCATTAAAGATTTGCTTTCAAATGAGACACTGTTTGACGGTTTAAAAGACGAAATATATTAATTCAACTTATTAGAAAATAATTTTAACTATTGCCCATCGTTTTAAATAAGTTTAACTAATATATTTCTGGTTTTAAACCGTTAAAGTGTTTTATTTAAATGTGTACTACTCGCGTAAACAACAGACGTAAAACGTGTAAAAAACGTGTTGTTATTTTTCTACCAAGCATCACTCAACAAATTCTATACACTTTCAAGCTTATATAGAGCTTGTTGTATAATGCACAACAGACGTGATTTATTACGAAAGCTTTTTCGAATTTTGTTTGACTAACAATTTTTCTCATAAAGTTCTTCTAGAATAAGGTTTATTCATGTATTCGGCGTTACATTTGTAGTCGTCATACATAAATTTACCCTCAAAATATGTATTTATTACTCTAGTTACTTTTCATAGCTTCAATGGTTTTAATTTATTTAATTTAAATGTTTCAAATATTTGAATCATCCATATCTTCTAGAAATGCAAATTCCACGTGATATTCTTTATCGTTACAAGCGATATCGGATATTGTATCTTCCATGTCCACAATGTCTTCAATTGTAGATTCGTCGTATGTGTCATTTTCATAATTTTCCTTATTGTCCTCGTAGTGCAATTCCAATATGGTTTCATCGCCTTCACGCCGTGATGTGTTATCTGTGGTGATTAAAACTAAGTGATATCTACCACAGACAAAAAAAAATTTTTTTTAATTATATCAACTTACTCTGTGGCAAGGAACGAATTTCGGTCTCATTATTATTGCCACTAGCTAGTATGTGAGTGTAAAGATCTATTAATCCTTGACAGTGTCTCATACACCTTGAGTGGGAGCGGAATCTATTAGATCGAGGGTCTCTTGGACAACCCAGACGTTCCCTGTAAATAATCTTGTTTAATATTGGTACTATCTAGTATTTGGACCTTCTAAGATGATCTATCTTTACACGCAAATTTTGGTAGACTATAAATGTGGTTACTTACGTGCAATTTTGTACTGAAAAAGCGAAAGTCCACACAGGTCGCACGGGTGTAGCGCATGCGCCGGGGGTAAATCGGCGCGTGCACCGCATATACTGGTGCCGTAGTTCGCGGTCGCGAAGTAATCTGGCACCTAAAGTTAACGAATCAAACTCTCATTACCCTTCAACCAACAAATGTCTCTTGGCCCTCTATCTTGCTAATTTCAGTATAGGATATGATATAATGCGCTATTTGACAATGCGAAAAATATAGCGTCAATTACCGTTATAAGTGTTATCCAAAAATAAAAATGAACTTTTTAAACATTTTTCACGTGACACAAAACTCTTCTGATTAGTCGGGTTTATGACGACGTCACTTGCTTTTAAGCAGTGCTATAGACCTTGCTTCCTAATGTTAAAACAGTTGTATTCTCTGCATTAATACATAAAAAAAGTATTAAAATGTATTATTTCAATCACTGTTAAAATGTAAATGTTTGGAACAAATGCATGTAGACTGTAGATCGTATGATGTATATTCACCAAAATTTCAATGTTGGGTTTTAATTGGATGTATTGCAGCAAATATATACCAGAATTTTAAAAAATAATCCTTTTCTGGGTTTTTTAGCATCTACCAAACAATATAAATCTCGAATACTTTACAGCAACCTCAGCTAACAGTACCTTCGTTATTGTTATCGTAATTTAGGTCCCGTGCAACTGCGAAAACAAATCCATGGATAAATATAAAATTTAATAAAAGTTTTGACACGTCACGTTTTGCATAAGTGGCCATCTTGAATTGTCCATCTAGATATGCATGTGGTGCCTTCGGAAATAAGTATTTACTAACATTACATTATATTTTAGTTAAATTTTTATTTCAATAATCTTTTTGTTACAATTGTTTTGGTATCTGTAGGCTCAACCGGTGTACCACAACAGGCCGGCTTCTACTGGAAAGGAGTATGGCTACCACTTTGCGTCACTTTTGAACCTGGCACAGCAAAATCTATTTAGTGAGTGAAATTATGTATATATAACTATTCCAACTGTGTATAGATACGTTAAATATAATTAAAGTTTCGTATTCGCTCACAACATCTATTTTGTTTATGATAACTATATTAATATTGTCTATGCTTAAAAAAATACCGTCAACTGTTTAAAAGACGAAATAAATTTAATTCAATTTAAAATAAAATTATTTTAACAAATACATATGACGTTTTAAACCGTTAAATGTATGTTACTTAAATTTGTACTACTTGTATATAACAAACAGTTGTCTTTCCTTTTTAGTATTGAGATGCTGGACCGAACAGAGGCTCCGACTATACAGGAGGGGTATGGCATTTCAGTCGCGTACGCCTGTCTTATAGAAATCATACGATCTATAGCTATAAGCGTGGAAGGAGACGAGTATTATAGGTAAGGATTCAATAATAATATTATTGAATATAAGTGTGTGTGCAATATACTAAAATGTCGCCATGTTCAGGTTACAAGAACTATATGATGACACGCAAAACGACAATGATGACAAAGAAGTCAACTCTAATACCAAGGCTATTAGCAATAAAGGTATGACGATTACGCCTCTTATGTATCTACTTCTGTAATGCATATTCTTAAGCCTCATAATGTATTCACATCGAGGTGAAATACTATAGTGTATTTTTTCTAACTTGGCATTTTTTGCAAACAAACACAATCTTCATCAAATCGTGATTATGTCCCAAAGTTTACATTGATTTACACTAAAAACACTTTGAGATATTGCATTACGTACTAAACTAATAATAATAATAAACTCTTTATTGCACAAACATAGACATAAGAACATGGATACATAGAATTACATATACAGTGTAATTTAAATTCACTAGTAAAAACCACAATTTCTCGGTAAAATTATTTAAAATCCTTATAATAAATTTACGTAAATTGTTACTGCCCCTGTGTCTTCTGTGGCATCTACTTGACTCTATAGAAGATCACTATCACTAGTTCTCTATGGTTTAAAATCGGCCATCTTTGTTTTGGTCTTTTGCCAAGTAACAAAAAATACATATACGCACACATCCACGCAACTACTAAGTGTGTATTTTTCAATTCTAGAGTCAGATCAAACTAAGACTGATACCAAAGAAATAATAAACAACGGTCACAGTGAGGATCAGAACTCGAATCTTGTCCAGAAGGACTCGGAGGCTGATGATAAGGATCGTCAGTTAAGCTTACAGGTAAAGGATTATATTTGTGTTCTATATCATTAAATAAAGTTAAAAATACCTTAGCATAGCCTAATATGTAAAATGTGTATGTTTCTACATATTTGTGAAGGGAATCTAACAAGTATGGTACAAATAAGACAACAATTTACAAACTAGCTGGACCCGTTAGGAATCGAACCCATTGGTACTACTGGACCAACATAAAAAATGTGCCTCGTGTATGTTGTTATCTACACTAATATATAAAGATAAAGAGTTTGTTTGTTTGTTTGAACGCGCTAATCTCACTACTAGTTCGAATATAAAATGTATTTTAGTATTATTAAATTTATCGAGGCTATATAGGCTATATATTAGCAAAGAAACAGTGGGGAATATAAAATGGGAAACAATATTATAAACAAAGGTCCTCTTGTGTTTATCCTGTTGTATTTATTTATGTTTGTCTCCAATCGGCAGCTGATAAAATCGTCGTGGTGCGGGCTGGTATGGGGGCTCTCGGTACTTGCGGAAGCCAGCATCGGGGAACTAGAAAATATCTTACGTGCCATACAGACTCTTGCTAGAGTTAGTGGAAAGGTAAGTCAATTTAAAACAACTAAAAAAGTCCTATAGCTTAAAAGTGTTATTTATAAAGCATTAAAAATAGTTGAATAATTATCAAAAACTTCGAGTCAAAGTAAAGTTAGTTACTTGCATTTTACCATTAAAAGTTAAGTAACTTGTATATCACGCGCATTAAACGGTTATTCGGTAACCGGTGAAGTGTTATTTTTTACGATAGAGGAAGGCAGATAGACAGGGTTCCACTTGATGATAGGCTCAATACCTAAGCGTTTTAACATCTAACCCGCACCCGGGGATCGAACCCGCAACCCGTTGTTTATTAGCCATACATTCTACTTCTCTTACTATTACACCGATGAGCTTGTCCAATTTAATATAATATAGAAAACGAGTCTTAACTTTCTGTTGAGTTGAGTTATTAATTTCGATAGATTGGTGTCACGAACGCCCGTGACGCGTGTATAGGTGCGCTGTGCCGTTGTGCACTTCCAGCACAATACTGCGTGCCTGTACTCGGTGCGTTGGCGGCACTCGCTTGCCCCTGGCCAGCAGCCCGAGCAGCACCGGCCCCTCAGGCAGATTTAAGGCACCACGTTGTCTGGGTCGGTACACCGTTGCCGTGTGCACAACCTCCTGGTATGTATGTTTATTTTGAAGAAAAAACTACAACACTTTAACGGTTTAAACGCGATTAAAAATCGCGGTATATTTTATACTTATTTGAAAATGAATCTTTAACTACGTCCCGACGCTTCAGATGCTTTGCAGCAGTCGTGGTCACGGGGAGACAACAAATAAATTTTAATTAAATGTGTACTACTCCCGTAAACTACAGATAGTAGAATATTTTTTTTTCACTTAACCTATTTAACATATTTAACCGAATCTACCAATTGCTTATATAAATATTTATATAACATTCACGAATACTGGAAATAAACCAACTCAACGTCTGTTGTATTTTATCCAAAGAAATTTTAAACTAGTAGTTGAGCTTAAGAATGGATTTTAGATTGAAAAAATTTAAGACGCGGGCTGGACTTGAACCGGCATCCACAACGTTCCGTGCTGTTGCTCTAACCAATTGGGTTACTGTATCCTACACATCATCGTCGAATCTTTCTCAACCTGTTGATACACGCATCTCAACTGAAAACCTCAAATGAAATCAACACGTGCGCATGTATGTTTATATTATGTTTGCAGGCCAGCAGCAATCTTTCGTGATGGTGACGTCACGACACGTGACAGCGATGCGTGCGTTGCTGCAAGCGGCGCGGAGGGACGGTGACACGATGCAGCAGGCCTGGCTCCCAGTGCTTACTACTTTGCAGCATTTGGTAAGCATAGAAATAAGTCGAAAATTACTATATACTTATCTATCATCGTATTTTATTTTAATGCTTTTACGAGTTTACAGTTTGTTTAGTGAAAGTGTGATAAAATTCCTACTCATTCTTGTAGATTCTACGAAGCATCTGTCAGTATTAATAATTAAATAACCTGTAAACACTTGTAACGGTTAAACCGCGGGCTGCGGCTAAGCATCCGAAATTAACTAATTATTTTCGAGTTTTAAACCGTTATAAGTGTTGTGTTGTTCAAATGTGCGCGTAACTTCTCGCGTAAACTATAGACAATACTTAACTACATACACATCTTTGGGGATATTATTTTTTAACGCATCTGTTTGTCCTAAAGGTTTGGATCTTAGGCCTAAAGCCATCGACTGGTGGCAGCATGAAGGCCAGCCGCGCAAGCGCAGACGCGAACGCAGTTATGAGCACCTCCGCTGTCATGGCCGACTTACCTGGTAAGTTTTATAATACGTGCAAAGAACTCGTGAAATGTAAGAAACTTATGTTTAAAGAATCTCTTGTAAAATCTTTAAACACAAGAGGGATGTCCATTCGCCATCAGTTTCCAGGCTAAAGATGGACAACAAGGCTTAATTACTTCCGGGATTTCGAAAACATTTTCAACTCTTACTTACCTTGGTATCAAGTAGATTAAACTAACGAACGAAATTGTTTATTATATTGCCCACTTATGGCCTGAGATGGTATTTTTTCCAAACTAGCTTTAAATACGAATTTATTTTGTATGTATTTCCATTTGTGTCATTGAATTTGGTTGCAGTGTAAACTGGTTTCAGGTCAGCAAGTTCCCGTGGCGGATTCCCTTGGAGTAATGAGCGGTATTGATATCTGTAATACCAATATAATAACTAACGTAGTGTGCTTAATTGGAATACGTGTTCCGCTAGATGTCAGGTGTTTTGGGATTTTTGTTTTGCTTAAAGATACGTTTCGTAAAATTATTCAAATGACGTAATAAGTAATATAATTAACAATCAGATGGTGAAATTTAAAAAAGCAATAAAAATCGTTATAAAATCTTATTTTAGTGGAGTTTCAAGAGTATATCAATCTCAGTCGTTTTTTTCAATGAGGGTAGTTGTAAAATATTGTAATCAACCTGGCTACTTCAGATTCCAAATAGGCTCACAGGTGAGAATTGCACGTCTAGATTCAAGCTAGATGTCGCTAGGGGTCGCTTATGTCCGTCCAATGCACGGGTTGGAGCTTGCTGGCCTTATCACGCGGTTTTGTTTGAATTGCACAGTGCAGATGGCTCCTTTAGCAGGAATACATTGGCTTTGGGCACACAAAATGCTACAGCGCGTTCTATAGTGTCTTTATCAGATGTATACTGCGTATAGATAGGATTTCAAAGCTTATATGCACTATTTTATTTAATCTATGGGCAAATCATAATGTTTAATAAGTTCTCTACGCAGTATATTTGGCTTCAAATTTTCTTAAGATGGTACCCAAATTGTTATTTGAAAAAATGTTCCTAATCGCAAGTAAGTTACGTATTTTTTTGACTCGAAACATTTTTCTAAATTAGAGTACCTATCTTCCTGTTGGTGATACAAATGTTTGGCTAATTTGAAGCTATACCTAGATGGAGTGTTGTTACGAAGGTGGACACTCTTACAAAAAATGTTTTGTTATTGTTTGTACCTTATATTTTCAGCTCTTTCGGCAATGTTATCCCGTGTCTTTGAGGCGTCCAGAAACTTGGATGATGTGGCACTACACCACTTAATAGATGCTCTATGTAAGCTATCCAACGAAGCTATGGAGTTAGCTTATTCAAACAGGGTAAAGACTATTCTTGTTGCTTCTTGTATAGTAAATAGTAGTGAAGCTTTTCAATAACTCTCTGATTTTCGTAGGAACCGTCATTATTCGCTGTTGCGAAGCTATTGGAAACCGGTCTGGCGAACATGCATCGGATTGAAGTTATGTGGAGGCCTATCACAAACCACCTTCTTGAAGTAAGTAAAAACGTAGTCATTTACTTTGTTGGTTACTATTACTATTAGGTGCACAGTATATCCAAAAGTACTTAAAAAAACTTTGGGTGAAATACTGACTGTATTTGACGCCAGTAGTGCACGTTCAAATAAAATACTTTAACGATTTAAAACGCGAAATATATTAGTTCAATTTATTTACAAAATATTTTACCTGCGGTTGAAATTTAAAAAAAAAATGTGGTGTACGTCAATCTATTACACCTTTATTAGTTCTAATGACTATGACATATTATATCATCATGACGATTTACGGATAATACGTACACAATAAGCGATACTGTAAAACACAAAAATAAGGCGTAGTTATAAAGACTTATACATTGTCAAAAACTATTTCTAGGTCTGTCAACATCCCCACATCCGCATGAGGGAATGGGGTGTCGAGGCTATCACGTATCTAGTGCAAGCAGCTTTTCAATACCATCACAATAATCCCACATTAGTCACCGAGGTAATTTCATTCTTTGAATAATTCCTGCAAGTAAGATTTAATAAAAAGTATTTAAACTGAACAGAAAATTGAAAGAGAAAACTACTAAAGTAATAAAGATAAAAGTAGCAATTATGATTACTTGTTTTTTGTTTTTTGGTTTTTAGGCTCGTGAGCGACTCATCCTCGAACCATTAGCGGAGCTATGTAATGTACGACACTGTGACGTGCGCGCGCGGCAGCTTGAGTGTGCGGCTCGACTGTTGCACTCTAGGGGGGAGCAGCTTGGCGCTGCATGGCCGCTGATGATGGAAATTATTTCGGCTATATGTGATCAGCACAGGTAACAAACTAAATAGGTTTTGAGAGTTGTGTTGAAAAGTATATAGAAATGTCGCTGAAGTATATTGACGGGCTCGGTTTAATGGTTGCAATTTATTGCTTATAATCATAGTTGTGGCTTCGATCCCTACCAGATCCAACATTGTTACGATCAAGTCTGTCTTCCTCTATCATAAAAAAAACATTATCTAAAGAAAGATTATTAAAATAGAAGGACGTACGCGGGCGTTTTTGGAACGTGGTACATTTATTATGCTAATTGGTACTATTCAATATTGAAATTGCAAGCCAGGCTAGTGCTGTAATGCGTTACGTAACTAAGCGGTCTACCTTAACATAAGAAAATATTAAATTAAATATTTATACGATCCCTTTTTCTTTCAGTGAGCAACTAGTCCGCTCGGCGTTTCAGTGTGCACAGCTAGTGGCTGGTGATCTGTTAGGCTGTGCTGGGCCGCGGTGTCTACGACGTGTGTTGGCAGCGGCTGCAGCATTCGCCAGGCAAACCAAGGAGCTTAACATAAGTTTAACGGCTGTTGGACTCATGGTAAATTCTTTATATATTTATATATATATACTACTAATACATAAGGTTATGTACATAACCTTATCAAAGTAAAAATGATTTTATAAAATTAGGCAATACAAAAAAAATAGACCCTACTAAAAAAATGACCTAATTAAAGAAAGATTAGATTAAATTATTAAAATAATTAATATTAAAAATTTATCACAATAAAGCACTTTTTAACAGTTCGAAACGCGTATTTTATATTTTCTTTTGTCTGCTTATGACCCCTGGATGCTGTAAAGAGCTGTAGTTATAAATTAATTAACTAATATAAATCGCATATTAACGTTAAAACGTGTTTTCTTTGTTACATGTTTACATAACGAACGTCCACTAAACGCTTCATATTTTGTAATTTCACAGTGGAACATATCGGATTATCTATACCATAAACGGGATAAACTGTCGGTGTCGTTGGCGAATGAAGCGGCAGCTTGCCCAGAATACCCGGATTTACCGCCTCTGGATAGACTGTGGATGTGCCTTTACGTCAGGCTGAGTACGTTATGTTGTATATACCTTTTATGGCATTTCCCCTAACAGTAGTTAATTATAAGTGAATGATAAAGAAGCGAAAATTACGTTTTTGTACTATGTATGCAAATATTTTTATTTTTTTTCAGGTGAATTATGTACAGAACCGCGTGCTCCTGTCAGACGCGCGGCAAGTCAGACGCTTTTCAGTTGTATAGGGGCGCACGGAACCCTACTAAGTAAACCTGCGTGGTGGGCTCTGCTTAATATACTCTTCCCTATGTTGCAGCAGGTTTGTTAGATTGCATTATACCTTAAATCGCCATTTTGATCGACATGTGTCATATGTATATTTCCGAGACGGTCCTAAATACCGATAATGACGAGTGAATCCACTGCCTTACACGGGAACGTTGGAAGATGTCGTGACGGCCGAGCCATACTGCCATCTATTATATTTACTAAATCGACTGGATAGTTTGTTTAACACCTATAAAAGATATGTGGAACGATGGAACACTTGTGACTTGACTATGATCGATATTGTGGCATTGACGTTTGACAATCTGTCATTGACAGATGACCGGTTATTGACAAGTCGTTATTTTGAAATATAGTATAGGTAAAGATTTCTGATAGTGAGACACAGTTTCGTGTACGTCGAGTCCGGTTTTTATTCGCCTCACGATTTTTCAGGTCAATATTTGTCATACACGGTCGGTCACGATGTAGGTTGCTGCCGTATCTTGTATCGAATTTAAGGAGGGGGTTGTTTTTTCTTTAACGCGTAAAGTATTGACGAGGCGGTCCACTATTAATTCCATATCGAATGATTGTCGGTCTATATAAGTCTGATAAACTATTATTTATCACGCTCTTGTGGCAAAGTTTTATGAAAGCATAAATAACATTTAAACAAAACACTTTAAACGTTTAGCGTAGAATTATGTAAGTTAATCGACATTTTCCTCTACATGTCGCATTATTACATTGCAGGTTCAAAAGCAATCAAACATAGCGAGTTCAGAAAAGGTTGACACTGGCGAACATATACTTATACATCACACAAGGAACACTGCGCAGAAGCAGTGGGCGGAGACACAGGTATATGATATGTGGTCATTAATATATTATTTAATGTTATACATGTTGACGTAAAGATAAATATGAATAATTTTTACAAGAGTGACGTAAGCAGTTCTGTTGTTACTATTATTACCACGATTTTTTATTATTACCTAAACTGACTGTTATACATAAGCTTAATGAATTAAACCGTTCATTTGAGCTACTGAATATGGACTAATAAACCTAATGTTAATCCACAGGTGCTAACATTGTCTGGTGTGTCGCGAGTCTTCCATTCCCGATTCCAGCTCCTCATCACAGTTGGAGACTTCAACAGGTCCTGGACGGCATTGCTCGATTTCATTGTTGACTTTTCACTACGGAAGAGTCATGAGGTATATTTGAATGGAGAAAAAATAAAATCAACCCATTAGAATCACCATTGCAAAGGAACCAATTATCTAATTAAAAAATAACGTTATAACGGGTATAGTCTAGAGTAAAAGTAATTATAGGGTTAAGTATATTATTTCTTTTTACTTTTTTATTAATAACTAGTCTGTTTAGGTCTCAGTTGCAGCGTTAAAATCATTCCAAGAAGTAGTAACAGCTGCAGGAAGGGTAGAAAGCGATAGTGTGGCGACACAAAAGCGGATATGGTCCGCTGCTTGGTCTGCTTGGACTAATGTTGCATCTAATTTGCATACCGACACCGCTCCTAGAACAGGTATATAACCCGTATTCTGAATTGTTTTAAACTCGGCAGTGGATCTAAAGCTTTACATCATATACAATGGCAGTAAGCAAAAAACCGGAACATTTGTAGGATTATAAAAAAAAGACATGTTTTATCTTTAAATGTTTTTAATTAAAACCCCTATTTCATAGCCCCAGAAGACGCCAAACCAGCAGAGGCATATTCTCCTTCGTTAAACTTCCTGACAACTTTGGTGCAAATATTTCCGTTGATCTTCCAACATATAAGACCTACGTAAGTATGAAAATTATCTACGTAAATGGTTCGTACTAGGATATCTGTACTGGTCTACATTACCGGTGTATACGAAATAAAAAATCTAAAGCTTTTTAAAAATAAGAATATGGAATTTCCACCCAGATCACAGATTACCTACTGTAGACAGAGAGATTCTATTTCAATTTATGGATTTTCGAATATCCCAAACTAGCACACCGCATTTTAATAACACTTAGAGCCAACGTATTTCACTTTCCACTAACATAGCTTCATCATAAAAAATATTGGTCTAACTAACTCTTATCGAACAAAATAGTATTAGTATTCATTATTTATATTTCATTACAGGTTTACACCAAAAGACGTTGAACAACTTGGGCAGTGCTTGTGTAAGATTTGTAGCGTTGAGCCGTCCGCTTCCCTTCTGGATGGCATTGGAAGTGGAACACCAGCTAGTCTCCACGCTTTACATTGTCTGGATACTGTACATAAGGTCAATGAAACGTTTTAACTTACGAGTTTATTAGAACATCAAATAACAGGCCATATTTATATAATACACATTAAACTTAGCCATTGTGTGTTGAATTGATGATTATGAATTGATATGGTCTCTTTTTCGACGTTTTAATTTTGAAATAGTATTTTTTTTAATAATAAATACACTAACGTGTCAATTAAAAAATAGGACGTTACGTTGACGCAATATCAGCTGTTTAATGATTGTATGAATTTATTTAAAACTACCCGCATATTTAGTGAAATACAATTAGGACTCGGTAGCTCAATTGGCGGAGCAACAGCTCGGAACGCTGACGATGCCGGTTCAAGTCCTGCCCGAGTCGAAAATTTTTTCAATTTATTTTCGATTTTTAAATTATACAATTATAAAGTAATGTATACCATTATTTGTAATTTAAAACTATTTATAGTAATTTATTATTTTACACAGGAAGCCTTAGTCCGTCACGAGCTTCTCCCGGCAATGTTCTCGGCGCTGACATCATTAGCTGAAGTTGTAAGCTCTCAGCCGACAGCCAGTGCGCGCTGTCTATCAGCTGCTGCTGGTTTATACCGCGCTGCGCCAGCTCCCAGTGCGCATATCTTGCCGCACTTGTTACAGGTATTCGCTTTTACAACTTACTTAAAGACCTTTAAATTAAATTACAATTAAAAATAACTTGCTGAGCTTCCACAGTAACCCACGGGTTACAAATAGGGATAAAAAGGCAAAAGAACGAAAGAGACCCGAGGTTTCTTTAATCTATTAGTTTAATCAAATTTGAATTGATATATACGTACTAGCTGGTTCAGCAGACCTTCTTTGTTGTTTGCAAGACTAATATTTATCACAGTAGCATCTATTACGATTAGCAAATTTACCGAATAGTTTGTGTAACACCTATACAGGGAAACGTCAAGTAACACTTGTAACTTGGGTATGGTTGACGTTTCAGAAACTGTCATTGATGGCAGGATGACAGACGGATACTGACAACTAGTTATTTTGAAATACTCCGGGGTAGGGTTTTCGGGTAAGACAGTATCGTGCGCAGCTGATACTCTGGTTCCAATGGTAAAGCGATCGAGTCTAGTTCAGAGTTAATAAAAATTACGAACAGCCGCGTTATAGTTTACTGCCGCTGTGTCGGATCGATTCATTAATTGCGTATTTTGTGTTATATCGTTTTGTACTATTAAAATAGTTAAATCTATATATTTACTATTATAATAGTATATATTAATATAAATTTTCAATTGGAACCAGTACTTCCCGAGATTAGCGCGATTCAACAAAAACATTTTCAGCTTCATAATATTTGTTAAGGTATAAATCGTTTGTAACACAATCTTACATTAGAGAAGATTTTTAGAAAAAAAAAAACAAATTACGATTTAATATTAATACAATCACTGGGGTGTAATTTAATTAGTACATATTTTTTGGAAACACGCGACCTAACTTATTATCTATTTTACTTTATAACAGTTCAGATTAATTACTAAACAAGATATTTTTAACAGGCTCTTCACACAGCCGTGAAGAAATGCAGCCCGGACAAACGTCGCCGTAATAGCGAACGCGAGAGAGATCAACCGGACGAAACTACGCAGATAGCCACTTTGCTGTTGCAGGTACCAAACATAGATATGAATATGAGCAAGCCGTAAAAACCGTGAAACAGGAAGGACTTGAATCGACTACCTCCCATAGTGGCTGTAAAATTTATAATCTCTAATGAGACAATGATAATTTAATTGTGATACGTTTGTTAAGTTTCTAGAAATAGTGAAAAAGAGACCAATAGTTATATGGTTTGGTTTCGTTCACAGGTCCTAGCCACTGGGTTACCCCTGGCGAGGGAAAAGCCCGATGACTACAAGGAGTTCTGGGAGACACTACCCACTGTTTTGGAGACCTTTATGTTCGAGCCTCCGTAAGTATAGATTAGGTCATAGACCGCAGTCTTTTCAAATTTAACAAAAAATTTGATGTAGGCTAATATTTAAATTATCGTTATCCATGTTTATATTCATTTGTTTTTTCTTTCACGCAATTTAAATATGTGTTTTTATAATTATAGGGTGGGCGGTAGCAGACAAGCGCGAGAGGTAGTTAGTGTGGTACGTAGAGAAGTCCTAGGAGCGACGCCGCGTGCGCCGGCGCAGGCCGCTCGCCGCGCCTTACATCTTGTGCGAGCCGGATCTCTTCATACACATGCCCATAACACAGCAAGTGCGTCATTAAACTCTATTTATTCATAGATTCATTATTAAAAGAATTACATTTTTTAAATAAATTTGCTTAGAGTAGTTTTGGATTTTATGTTGCTTTATTGAAATTGTATTTGAAAAATAGTATGTAAGTGAAAAATTAATGTGGCTTTTAGAAAACGAGCAAGAATTACGCGAGAGAGAGGAGTTTGCGCGTGCGTGTTTCGAGACGTTATTGCAGTTTTCGATGTTGGAAGATGTAGACTCTATTGCAGGGGATGAAGGTATACTTTGCATTGTTACATTCAATAAAAGCTAACGATTTCCCACGCGAAATATATATCCTCATAAGTTCATCTTTGATCATGACCAAATCGAAGTTACCCAAGTAGGGCAACAGATGACAGCAGCGTAGCAGTTTTCACATTGTCATTAGTCCCCCCTGACTGAGATTAAAATAATTAACTAATATATTTAGCTCTTTGTATAAAATTGTTATCCTAAGCTTAAGCTAGCAGTCATTACTGAAAGAAAATTGAGTTACAGAAGATGCAGATCCACTGGCCATAATGCCGTTACTAGACAGATTTCAAGAAGTCATCTCTAAGTATAGTTCAGAGGATGAAACGGAACCACTCACGAGGTAATTATTTTTACAGAATAAATAAATTGATTGAACATGTCTAATATATTTACTATAGCATTCAGCGTCTCCTTTTTATGGTGTATTTGACGTGGGATTAAACAAGTAAAACAGAAAGTACAGGTGTTCTTTGCTTTTGCGGTACCCTTTTGTGGGGCATGGGGTAGATACTCAGTTTAGTGTTTCACTGATGATGTTGTATACTGGTTAGTAGAATTTATTATACTTTATAACGTTTCGAACCCAGGCTATCTTTATGTGAAAGCCCGTTTCCCCCTCGTGGGGCAAGGAGCGAACACATTTCTGTGTCCGTTTCACTGATCCGTTCTTTCAACGGGCAAGTAGTTGATGCCCTGCCCGAACGAAGCAATTTTATGTTTCCCTAGGATTCGAACCCAGGACCTCTCGCGCGTAACGCAATGCTAGGCAATACGTTTAACCATTTGGCTATTGAGACGGACGTTTTTATGGTTAATACCAAATAATCACTAACCGAAATATAAAATTCTTTCAGGCATCAACTATCTGAGATTTCGTTCGTGCTGAAGGCGATAGCAACGCTCACAGATGCGATGAAGCGAGCACCCCCCGGCAAAGTGGACGCGACGGCTTGGCATAAGTTAATAGGTCAGTATTTGATTAACTAGAATGTTGTTACAAGAAATAATTTACTCTATTTCCTCTGTCACATTATCCTAATAAAACGAAGTGCTTGTTGAAAGACTAAGGACGAACTGTCCATAGACATTTTAATGTAGATAGACAACACGACTTATACAATACAAGAAAATATACACTAAAACTAACATATCTATTAGTATAATAATTACTCACATTTTAAATAAGTTTTAATTTTAACAGCTTTTTAAAGAAAAGTAGGTAATTTTTAAGACTTAATGTTGTCTGGTCTAGGTCTACTGTTAAAGTGTGTTTTTCCCTCAGGCATATATCCGTTGATCGTTGGCCTAGCTGCAGGTGGGCGTGTCAGCGGTGTGGGCGGGGCGGGCGGCGCGATCCGAGAGGCGCTACTCCAATTCGGGGGGCTCCTCGCTGCACCCCTCTAGCGCCTACTGTACACGATACATATCTAGAGCACGCGCCTCTAGACACATGTCGTCAGCCTGTATTAGCTTACAATAGCTTATTTGTTTTAAACATTGTGTTTAAAACCGTCTCTAGACTGATCTACGAAATATTGAAGTTTATTAGTACTATGTAGGTTTTCAAGCTGTTCGATCATCGTAAGGTTTAACGAAGAATGTTGAACGTACTTCACGACGACCGAACAGCCCGAAAATCCAAGCTATTTTGATTACTGTTTTTGACTTTGAATTTGTTTTTTATATTTTTCTAACCTTGTGGAGATGTTTTACTTCTTTTATTTCAGTTGACTTACAACCAAAATATTATCTCTAAGGCATATCTTATTATTCCACACATTAAAATCAACTTAATAGAAATAAGTCAAGTCAAGTGTCAAGGGGACGGTACAAATTTAGTGACCAAGTTAGGCTGATAGTGTTTAGACGTAGGTTGACGACATGTTATGCGAAGCCATAAATGTGCAACATAGACCTTTAGTTGATACCAGCGTATAGTGTTTCCATTATTAAAGGAATATAGTTTCGTTCGCTTGTACGTAGTCAATTTGACGAGTGATCATCTAACAGCGATTTGTTACCTAGACTAAGATATTGTTGTATAAGTATCAACAGTTACACGTGTTTAAATTTGTGTGTATATTATTGAGTTGTCTAAAAATCATTTTTGTTTTTACTTTATAAGATGTAAGTGATGCGTCTTAATATATTTTTGATATATTGATTTAATTGTAATGTTGTTTGTTTGTAGGCGTGATTAAAACCGGGCGTTACTTCATTTCTATGATGTTTAAATTATTCCAAAGAGACGACTTTTTGGCGAAATCTATTTTTTAGTTTTACTAGGAATTAATGCTATAAATTATTTGACGGCTTGATTTTAAGTTAAGTATTTTTTCACATTGTCATTTGTTATCCGCATTCTGTCACGCTTCGCTTATATCAAAATGGTAGTTACTAACGATTTTGCAACTAAATTAAAAATCTACTTTAGATTAAAAATATTTTACGAACTTGAACCGACATCCAAGCTTTTCGTGCTGCTGCACTAACCAACTGAGCTACTAAAATGGTTTAAGCAGCAGCACGGAACGCTGTGAATGCCTGTTCAAGTCCTACCCATGTCGTAAATATTTTCAGTCTAAAGGGCATTTTTAATTTATATAATACCATCTTGTCAAAAATGTTAAAGTTTTCAATTATAAGCCATGTTCCAAATTCGCATAGTTATATAGAAATAGAGTTAAATGCCTCATAGAGGTTGGAGCAACATTAATACTTTTATACGTTAGATACGAAGCTAGAATCGCGTAGGACATAGAAGTTTCCAAGTAACGGTTAATTGTAGAATAACGATTCCCTTTGTGGTACTGTCTATACATTGGTTATTTGATGGGCGCTTTGGTCCAAAATCAATTAGACCCCGTCTAGACATTTAATGAGTAAGAACCACTACATGTATGCAAAAATACGCGTTTTGGTTGCCATCTGTGGTTTTAGAAAGTTCAAAGCCAAAATAGGTAGACAAACCAACTTAGATGTTTATTAGATTTCTCTCCATCAAGCGAACCCCGTACTTGTCTGTTAACCAATCTGTAGCGAATAGAATTGTATTATGTATGCGAGGCCTAAATTTTGCCTTACAATTTTAATGGCGGTTTTAATTCCAATTGTGTTGTCCTATGTTCTCGAGTTACCGAAGTGTTGTCGTTTACATGTAACGCAATAATAAATACTCGTAAGGATATTTGTTTGAATGTGATGTATTAAGGATTATGAACGTTATTTTTAAATATTCTATTTAAGTTATATTTTATTGTGACTGAAATTAAAATTATTGAAATTGGTAAAACTAGGTTTTTTTTCTGAGGTTTTACTGCATATGCTAGGTGAACTTTATAATTTCGGAACAGATTTTTTACATCAATCTAGTTTGAATCCGGAAACCCATGGTAAATATATGTGCTAGGGTTTCCAGCTCTTCCATGTAATTAAATTAAATTATTTCATAGTCTTAAATTAAAAATGCATGTTTAAAAAAAAATATGACTTTACCAGACAGCCCTGTCTGGTAAAGAAGTCGGGTCGGTTTTTGTGTTTCGAAGTCCCAAATGTTTGCCACACAACTACCATTTATGTTTAATATTAAAAACTTTACTTATTTTAATTATATCATGCCTTTACATGGTAGACGTTTCGACGATTACAGGTGTATAAGCTGCATCCCTCTGGCGCAAACTGTGTATATCCTTAATCTTAGATATGTCCACATTACAGGCAATGTCTCCAGAAAGACGTGATACCATGGCGATCAGGTCGTCATGAGTTTAGTTTAACTTTTTGGTACATTTTTTATTTCAAATTTTCACTTCAAAAGGGACGACCCTTTTTATATTTCTTCAATTTTATCTTCTAGAGATATTATATGTAAACAATCATTTTGTGATTTATGTTCGAGTGTTCGTTTTATTCCAATATTCATGGTTTTGGCCCAAGAGTTCATATCACTTCGATTCGTGTTTTGTATCTTTTGAGGGAAGGAGCTATTTTTTTTTTTCCTTCTGTGCTACTGACATATTGGCGACAAGAAGTTTTGTTTCTTACTTAATTTTTTGCGTGAGGAATGTTGTAAATTTCCTATTTCTAGCATTGTTTCTGATAACGTTTTATTAAATTGCTGCGAAGCACTGCCATTTTGAGACGCCATTAACTAATGATGCCCCAAGATGGCGGTTTCCTATTGTCAAGTGACCTCCGAGAAGCTTCGCGGTGATTCGCTGCGTTAGTTAATAGTAAAAATGGAAGACAGACTTGCCAACCTGTCAGGTTCATGAAGGTGTGCCAACATAAACGAACCTGATAGGTCGAAACGAATTATAGTACAAGTCGTAAGCATAGACTCACGTAGTATCCGGGCCGCATGAAATCCATTGGTTTTAATGTTCCGCTCTTGTAGTTAATATCTAAGTAAGAGGATCAATCTCATCGTGTCATTGAAATAAAACACTTAACGGTTTAAAAGGCGACACATATTTATAACTACGACCTTTCGAATGTTTTATTATCATAAATGGTCGTGGTCAAGAGAGGATCTATGCTACTTAATATGTTTAGTTATTGACCGTTCATTCTTTTGTATTCATATATAGGTACATATTTTGGTAGGTATACTAACATCAAAAAATTGAAATCTTTCTATTGTTTTAAATTTACGTGAAATGAGGACTCCGACATACATTACTGGAATCCAAGGCAGGGTTTTAAAGATAGACAAATTTTGGTTTTCCCAATCGAGTTTGTATTATTTAGGAGAATTGAATTAGACAAAAAATACTTGGGTTGCCTGGAAGAGATCGCTCGTTAGCGATAAGGCCGCCCATTGCACTCCATATATTAGTATATAAGTTTATATTTTTGTTAATTTTTTTTGTGCAATAAAGTGTATATAATAATAATAATAAAAATAAGACAGAATTGTGCCATATCATTTATTTTCCGTAAACAAATCATGATTGCAGTATCACAAGAACAGTTTACTACTCTACTTTCAACAATAGATTCCAAAATACAGGTCTGTGTATAGGAATGTAATATATAAGAGAAAACGTGTATATAAGAATAAGTAATAAAATAATACATAAAATTACAATACACCATCAAAATATTTAAACAGTATTCTGTCATTTATATATATTTAGTAATTAAAAATTGCACGCGGAATGTATATAACAACGAAGTTTAGCAAAATTTGTTGGTGAGTTTTTATTTACAAAATACAGACAAAAAAACTAAATAAATAATATATATCTTACCGCAACATCACGTTGGCACTGTGCTTTGTATTTTTATATCAAATTATAATTGTTATCATTAATAAAGAAATTCGAGCAACTCGTACTTAAAATATTTCAATATAAAAAAGTTTATGTGAATACCCACGACATACTAAAAGATCAAAGCTCAGATCGTCACATATATGATCAAACAAATAAAAAAAAATAACAAATTTATACCCTAAAAGGAATATATTGAAATATAAAATTCCAGTGTTATTTCGTAAATGTAAGAAAATTATTTGTCTGTCAAATTAATAAAATAATTAAAAAGAAATATCTCTTTATCAACTTCTCTTACTCTCTATCAATTATGGATTTATAAGTTTTTTATGTTACTTTTTTTAATATTGTTTTATACGTCTTATATTTACGAAACAACATACTACCTATAACATATAGTAAGTTAATGACGTCATTCGTGAAGTAGTCAAACTCTTATAATTATATTTCATTAAAAACAATATGTTAACAGCGTCCATATATCTTCTCTTGACAACTTTAAAACAACCAAAGCAGATCATAGATATGTTGGTGACATATATACAAAAAATATCTTAAAACATAACAAGTAAAGTGGATATAAGAAATACTCAGATCTCGATAGATTAAAATTTTTAACAACTACATATAACATTTTACTAGCTACTATAGGTAACGGATTTGAGCTCGACGTATTGCACATCCGCGTTAAGACTGTAGACATTTAAACTTACTGCAAATTACGTTAGGAAAGTAGCTTTTATGAATTGTAAATTCCCACATTGGCAAAGATCTGCTGTAAGAGGTAAGTTTTAAGAGTACTGAAGCAGTCCGGTGTGCTACTGTTAAAGTTTTCTACGAGAGTATGACTTCCTCTATCTGTTTATGTAATTTTCCGATTAATTTTTAAAAGCAACTAGTGAGATGTTTTAAATTTCAGATCGAAAATCGTTTATGACAGGACAAACCGATTGAGCTGTAGTATTCCCTTCGCGACTGTCATTCCTTAACGTGTGAAAATAAAAATGATTTCAGGTTTTGGAAACCAGGTTCCAGATTACCAGAATACGTTAAAAACTTTTTTAAAGGAGTATTAAGACAATCCTAACATAATTTGCGCATTGCAAACACTACTGTCAAACTAAGTTTTGGCTTCCTCTATTTTAGGTAGGCACATTTATTAAATAAGAACTGTAAATTAAGATTTGAATTTAACGCAGTAAGAATCATCTTAATCACTAACTCAAGTACGCAGCCTCAAATAAACATAGATTTTATAATAGGTTTGGTCAAATAAGCTCAAATTGTGTAAATAACGATAGTATAAATAGACAATTCAGAAATTCGTTTAGTTACAAAGTTAGGAGTTAGGAGAGATAAAATTCAAATAAGAGTGAGTTACAAACTGCAAGCAGAACTATTGACAGCTAAATTTTTTATAACATGGTAACCCTGACGATAAAAATTATATATCTATGAGATTTGAGAAAGTCGAGAATAGAAAGTTCAAGTAAAAATATAACAGTCTGCTTGACGTCTGCAACTAACTTCATATCGTAGTAAATACAGGTAATTAATTTGTTTCTAATTAATATTAATTCTTAATTACATTGGATATGACTGTATATGTGTATCACTAGATTCTCTAGAACTACTCAACTAAGTAGGTTGAACCTTAAAATATGTATTTTAGTAAAATTATTGCTATTTAATATTATTTAGAATGGATACGTATATATCGAGCGCCCTCTGGCGTGGAATATTGAGACGTTACAAAATTGTGCGATTTCTAGTCAAAGACAAGAAAAAACAAACAGAAATTATATTATTGTCCTTACATACTGTCAGTGAAAGATCAGATATCGATATGAAAAACTGTTAAAAATAAGTACAAATACCAAATCCTTGAACAAAATGAGATGACGAATCTATTTTTACGCCTACGTTCAGGGCGGCAAGTTCATTTGCAAGTTGTGAAGATAGGCAGACGTCGAATTTAGCAGACCGATGCGTTGCTTCTGCTTTCGTTGTTCCGTCATCTGAAAAACGTTTTATTTTATTGATGGGCTCGTTGGTGTAACGGTAGCAATGTATGTTCTGAAACATATAAATCTGGATACTAAAGAGGTGGTAGGAATATCGGAATCTAAATAGGAATTTCGTCCGGCTCACGAACTAGTGTCCACAGATGAAAAACCCGTCAAGTTTAAACACGTTTCTGTTACAGTCTAATAGGTCGACAGTCAACTCGTTTAGATGAGGAGATGTTATAGAGTTGGGGTAAAATACCCCAGGTCTATAACATCTCCTTCCATCAATGGAACCCCATGTTTGTCTGTCTTCCTCTATGATAAAAATATGCATTATTGCCTTCGTTGAGGCCCCGAAAACCACGTGGAAATAAAAAAAGTTTCCTTTTAAATGAAGGTACTATTGCCAGGTCTAATATTATGTAAATTCAAAAACGGTCACCTGATCCCGAAGTTCAGTGAGCAACTCTGTAAGTGTACGGACAGCTTGCTGTGCTCGTTCTAATTGAGCTTGCAGAGCACGCACTTCTAGTTCACCGCCTTCTCCTTCACCACCACCCATAAGTGACAAAGCACGGAGTCGTGGAAACCAGTCCAAGTTATTTGACTGGAAACCAATAAATGCTCATCAGTTAAATCTTTGCTAGAGATGGTATTTATTCCTTCTGAGTTAATAATAAAAACAAATAAAGAATCACATTTACATTTTTTGTTAAAATGCAAGTTGTTATTATTCAGGTTTATTATACTTGTGAATAATAATTTAAAATTACAAGTCACTATTAAATTGGAGGCCTGAAAATAACTACGTATTGCAAAAATCTAATTGAAAAAAATGACACGGTCGGGACTTGAACAATGTGTGTCTGCCCAACTGAGCCATGCGCGCTATAGTGTCTAAAACAGTGTACTACGAAACGAGATTGAAAAACGAAGTAATAATATTTTATTTTGCAAGAAACAACTCTGGGTCCACTATTATTAATTTATATTATAATTGAAATTATAATAGTATTACGGTTGATATCAATCGGACACCTTACCTTAATCATAGAATGCACGTAGCTCTCAGGACCTGTGAATTCTGTGGGATCTTTGACTCTGACGAGGACCATGAAGTGCAAATAGTGCCACATGTTGTGTTCGCTCTTTATATGTTCTTCGAAGGACACAGTCTTGTTATCGAAGGCTGATCTATTCAAACCTGTAATGAAACCACGTTTACCAGTCGAAAGATGAAAGAATACGATTTTGGTCAACTTAAAAAAATATATATTAAAAACTTCTACTTAATATTAATTTTCAATTTAGGTTGAAAAAAACCTGTAATATTTATGAAGCTGTAGTTTGTTTGAACGTGCTAATCTACTGGTTCGAATTGAAAGATTATTTTGGTGTGGAATAATAAGATACAACATTGTAATAATTTGGTATTTAGATTTAAAGAAATTTTAAAATACATATATTATTGCGTCCATATACTGTCAATTAATATTAAGAAATCTTACCACAGACAAAACAGGTACTTTTAAGTATCGACTCCTTGAGCTGCTTCTCACTACGTAGATCGGCAAATGTGTCAATGATCACACCGAAAATCAAGTTCAGTACGATAATAATGACCACGAAGAAGAACAGCAGGTCGTACACCACCCGAGCTACATACAGAGGTTCCTTAAAACGTAAATATATTTTTAATTAACATTTTCTAATCTATTTCAGTGTACGATGATCTTATATACACTTCTGTCCCACAGCTGGGACTCTGTCTAATCCACACTGGCCAAAGGCGTGGTGATAGTTGTAGATAGACAATTCAATACTTTCGAGACAATAATAAATAAGGCACTTTAACGGTTTAAAAGGCGTTAATTATTTTATTTAAATGTGCACTGCTCGCGTAAACTAGAGACGTTATTCAATAATAACTTACAAAGCTAGCTGGTGCCCGTAATATATCCCCGATTCCGCCGCCATTTCGCAATCCTTGGTTAAGCGTTGTAACGATACACATGATCAGCGAATCACAGCTGCGCTCGCGCAGATCGCCTCCCACAGATACTATACGAGACGTCCGCGGCCGGTATTTTGCGACCGGATCATTTTCATCACACTTTTCTGTCTCGAACCGGGGATCGTCATCATCTGAAAGAGGTTTTCAATTGAAAAACACATTTTTCTGAAACTTCCGACAAATGCGTGTGCCACCAGAGATTTGCTATGGATGCGTTTGTTTTCCACCAATCATATTAATTGCTTAGCACTGGTGAAAACAGAGTAAATTAAGATATGTTTTTTTTGAAGGATGCGTGCTATAGATTCCTGCTATCATATTCTCCATTACCTCTCTGTTAGCCTAATATAGTATAATATCTTACAAGAGCATCTTCTTCGCACTATCCGACACATATTTTGGTAGCGTAGATTTCACAACAGTTGTGAAAGTTACTTGGAATTCTCTTACCATCAAGTCTGTCCACGGTGACGAGAAAGTGATCTCGGAAGAACATATACCCGACGATAGAGAACATGTAGATGAGGACCAGGGCTAACACTGCAGTGAGGAGAATAGATCGGCCGTTTCTTGTCACAGATCGCATCACGTTCAGAAGAGTCTCTTCGCGGTATACAATGTCCAATAACTGTAAAATTGATAATATTATGTATTAGTTTTGTTCAAATTTTAAATTAGTATTAAATTTGATAATATAATAACGAAATTTATTAAACCCTTATAATTATCACACGTATAGCACAATGTAATACAAAAAAATCTATGACGCGGACAGGATCTACTATCACAGCGTTCATAAAAATATCAAATATGTGTGCATTCATATATAATGCATATATATGTGCATACATGAACAAGTTTTCTCGATGTATATAAATATACCATGTAAACTAAAAATCGATTATAAATTGTCAAAATTTAAGACACAAGCAGAACTTGAACCAGCATCTACAGCAATCCGTGCTGTTGCTGTTGCCCTCATGTGCAAAAAACGTGAAAAATATTACAGTTTTTAAAGCTATCACATGCAAATTACATGTTACATCAGTTTATTAGGGAATAATCCGCAGTTTACCAGAACAGAAAAGAAGAAGGGATGGCAGCATATGCCCAAGAAGCAGAAAACGAGGTACACTCCGTGATAGAGAAGCTCTGGGTCTGTGATGACGTGCCGCGCAGACTTGGAGAGGGTTCCTTGGTTTCCCATTATACTGACAAGGTGAACGCCCTTTACTACCACCTGTAGGTTTGATACAAAATTAAATTTAATTAGTAATTGTGTAAGGCAGTCACGGCCATCGTTCAGCATAACATTCTTTCTCGGGCTGTTCGGCCGACGTGAGCGAGAAGAGGTTTTCGACGTTTCGCCATCACGAGCAGACGGCATCATTAGGAGATGTTAGCTCCTAGATTGCTCGAAGAGTTCATTGTTTTTAATTCTCGCTTATGTGGGGCGAACAGCCCGCAAAACAATTGAATTTCGTTGTTTTCGACTACATGTCTGAGTCTCATTCATTTTATTTATGATCAAGTACTTGATAGTATTCCTATGCTCTTCCTGACCGAAAAAATAAAGTATGTTACGAATTTTCGGGATTCGAGCTCAGCACAATGTTATACAATGATAATATATATGGCTAAATCGATTCTTCGTTGTATTTTTTTATTACATTATACAATGATAATATATATGGCTAAATCGATTCTTCGTTGTATTTTTTTATTACAGAGGAGGAAAAGCATCACACACACGTTGTTGCGGATAGCGCCATCTCTGTGTGTTCGTTGAAAACTATTATCATTTAGGTGATTTGCCTTGTACGTTGCAGTATTGTATTAACATCAATTATCTACAACATGATGGAAGGCACCTTCCTCACGCATATAACACCTTAACGAGATGCGCTATTAACTTATTTTGGACATGCGGGATCTATAGATTGACCTTCGCGGCTTTATCATCCGTGGACGGTAGTCAGGACGGAAATTCGACATTTCTACTACTAAATTAATATCCAAATTTTTCTAGACGACCCCTGTTCTTGGATCCGGTGGAGATCAAACCCACGACCCAATATTATTAGAATTATACTGTTACCGTTACATTAACGAGAACAGAGAAGCAAGGAGCGTCTTAACACCTTTTGTTCTCCTATTAATATATGTTACATCAGGTTGTAATAAACCTATGTATATTTTCATACCTGCGTATCGATAAAAAAAACATTTTATTTATTACTTGGCTTATGATAACTTACTGTAAGCATCCCGAGTAACCAGAGCATTGGTTCCGGTCCAAGTAATGATATGAGTAGGACAATGATACACCCGGCTAGTGCCCGTAAGCTGGACCATCTTGGAGACCACGTGACAAGTGCACCAGAAGCGCAGAGAGCTATCCAAATCACCAAGGAGAGATGCTCGTTCAGTTCTATGGATATGATTAACATTTAGTAATCATATTAATTTAAAGATGACATTTGACATTAGGATTCAAACCAAACCACAGACTATTAAATATAAAATGACAAACTTAAGTTTAAATACTGAATGTAGTTTACGCGAGTAGTATACGTATAAATAAAACACTTAAAACGGTTTTAACATGAGAAATGAATTGATGAAATTTATTTACAAATTATTTTGATTACATCCCGACGTTTCGGATGCTTTGCAGCAAGCATGGAGCACGGCGTAGTAAAAATAACTTGTAAAGTTACATACATACATTTCGTGTTTTAAGCCGTTAAGTGTTTAATGTTAGTTTGAAGGTTCTTATAAAGTGTTTTAAGGTCAATATATAGTTTTTAACGAAGTAGTTACGTATGCATTAAAGTATTTTTCTACTCTAGGTATAAGTTTTTAATACTTACTTGGAGTTTCCTCTTGGAAGGGGTAAAAGAAAGCTACTATAACATTTATTAAGACAGCAAAGTTAAACAATATGTTACTCCAATAGGACATGTACGACGAGACCCAGAAGAGAAGTGGCTGTCCTGAAAAAACAAAAAAACTTAACCTTATACCTGATATGAAATTAAACTCAAAATAATAGGATCTTATAGGAGAATTAAATGCTTCCTTAGGTAACGCCTTACCATACTACTCAGCAAGCTACAGGCTCAAATTATTCTTAATTATATAAATTTCACTAGTTGTTCCTCTACGCCAAATTCACATTTTTATATAGTAGATTACATTCTAAATATAAAACTGTGAAAACTGCTTTGTTACAATTATAATTTGTTTTTAATGTGTTAAGACTCGTAATTATTATAAAGAATGGAGTTTTTAATATTACTGTATCCAGTATACCTCTTAGTTTCTTCTGCCATTTCATTTCGTGGAAAAGGTTGTCGAGTCTCGAAAAGAAGTCCGCTACTTTGCTGCCTTGGTCGTCCCTTTCTGCACTTTGCAAAACTCTGTGCTTGCTTTCATCCGGGAGGTATTCGCATATTTCCGGAATCGGGAACACAATTTGCTCCATACTACGATCGGTTCGCACTATCTGTAATTATTCTTTGTTATAAGTTTTTGTACACAAAAACCGATATTTCTAGTATATCGGTTTTTGTGTACAAATGTACATACAACATATGTTTAAACCGTTGTGACGGTCTTTTCTAATTGTTACTCGTATATAGCTATATTAACTAATTTTGACTAACTTTAAAATTAATTAAACTGAAAACCCCCTTTGGGCCCTGGGGCGCACACATACAAGTGTCTGTGTCGATGTTTGGTTTTAGTAAATCCACAACGGCTTTTTTATTCGTTACTCGCATCGCATTACCAATATAGCACCAACTTTAGCTAACATAAAAATGGATTAAAGTAAAATCTCGTTTCCCCCAGTGGAGCATAGACGCACACATTTCTGTGTCCGTTTTCCTAACACCTACACACAGGTAAATCGTTGATCAGACTGCTGTACCTTGCCCAACCGATACAAATCTATTGTTTTGCTAGGCAATACGTTTAACTATTTAGCTACAGAGGAGGTCCGTTGTATATTTTTTTATATTCCTAACGCTAATTTTAGACTCAACTTTAAAACATGTGCGCCTGTAGACGAGGCCAGTGTCGATTTTTTAATGTGTATATAACCCTTTGAGTAAACCATTTTGTCAATATACAATTAAAAATTTCACCATTATTACATTAGTTAGATAAAATAGGTGTAATATTAATTACAATTATTTCGCATGTATACATAATATATAATTACCTCAATCTGTGCGGTATGTGAACGGTAGTATTGCAGCGCAGGCGCAGCCGGACCCGTCGGAGTCGATCTAACTAAGGCAGCCAGTTCTTTATTATGAGCAGCCAGTTGATGGCAAAGAATGTAGATGTTGTGGCCGACCTAGAATAGAATAACTATGTTTTTACAAGTAGGCATAACTTTGTGTGGATAGAAAGCGGTAAGGATTGTTAAGTTTAAAAAAAGACTGTTAGTTCGAAAACTTGATTTTTTCAAATGATGGCATTATATAATATACAAAAAACTCCAAATGCAGCAACACACCCAACGCCCCCTTTTCAATTTATAGTTTTTAATTTAAGACTGGTAGTTTTAAAGTACATAGAAGTAATCTACGTATATGTAGTAAGTTGATAAACGTGTTACCTCCTTAGGTGAAACTCCTGCGCATGGCGCGTCATCTTCGCTGTCAGAGTCCGCGTCCGCATGCTCTTGGTGAAAAGCACTGCAAGCAACGTCCACCTGAAAATAGAAATAGTAAAATGTAGAGAAAACTAGTCTACATTTTAAAAGTATCAAAAAGAGATGACATATACTAGACGAAAAAATTAAAAATCAAATATTAATATTAGTTAACTTATTTAGAACAATTCCTCATCTCTGTTTCGTTTGGTTTGCAGCAGCCATGGTCACGGAGAAGACTGAAGATGTATGGTGACCACATGTCAAATTAAAACCTGTTACGATAAGCGCCATCTCTCATTTTGCTTTTTAAACTGTCAAAAGTGTACTACTCCCGTAAACTACTGACTATATTTAATACATAACATTTACACTTACCAACTGTTTAGGGTTCATGTTATAAAGAATTCTTTCAGCATTATTCTCTGAATCGTTTCTAGATTCCATGATAGCCAATAACAGCTTAGAAGCATTGTTCTTCAGTTCCAAGACTAGGTCCATTCTAGTTTTTCCCAGAGGATTTATATCGTTTAAGATGAGCGCAGTAATGATATCCAATCCGTTACTTTCGTGTGTCGCTATGCAGTTTTGGTTTTCGTGACAGGGGCCTACAGTAAATAAAAAAAGTATTACATAACGCCAATTTAATTGGATATATTTTTATACAATAATTATAAGCTCTTTACGTCCTACGTCTAAATTCGCCATCTTTGATCTCTTTCTCCATCCTTTTCACACATATCTCGCTCGTTCTTACATTTCATTCCACAAATTCTTAACTAGAGCAATGACTATACATATATTACTATTAAAAAGTTAAACTTAAATACGTTTAAATTATGAATTTCATCCGGCTGTGGTTTGAATGGCATGAATGAATATAGTCAATAGAAACGACCATACCTTGACAATATTCCGTGAGCGTTTCCAGGGTCTGGTTAATGAGAGCCACGTTCCCCTCGTTGATGTACAAGCCCAGCAGTCCGAGACCACCAGTCGTAGACCCACAGATGCAGTCCAAGAACATGAGTGTTTCTGACACTAGGTTATAGTTAGACTTATTGTTTTGGTTCCTAAGAAGGTTCTGAAAGACAAGAAGATAGACGTTTAGTTTTATAATCGTAAGCATATTCGTGTATTTAGTATTAGCAATATTACGGTGTCAGTGATAGCGTTTATAATCTGTGCTTACAAATGGGATCCTCCTTAAAAAAATATTTTTTTAAGCGCGTAAAAAGAAATAGCTGTATCAAAGATACTTTTTTATACCTTTAAGAGAAACTAAATTAATTATTACCTGAAGATCTGGATTGTGATTTTCACATAGAAGCTGTAAGAAGCGTAGAATCGGTTTCATCACAGCAACCTTAGCTGGTAACATTTCGCCGTTGCCATTCGTACGCTTCTTCTCAGCCATTATCTCTTCTAACACGGTAGTGCCTGGGACAAAAGGGATTGATGATCTATATTTATGAACAATCAAGTTTCTACTATTTCTGGAGCTAGCAATTTTAAACGACTAACTATTTAAAACGTTTTTAGTTTTAGTGTGTTACTTTGTAGAAAAATACTTTAAAATTTTGCTGTGTTTGTTTTTTTTATAGAGGTAGACAGACTAACATTGGGTTCCCTTGAAGAACGGTGAAACGGCCCAGCCATATAACGGAAATCTGATCAACATTTTTAATTAAAATTCCGTCCTGGTCTTTGCTCGCAATTCAGACGAAGTTCAACAGTTTTAGCGAAATAATAAACTGATAAGATTTAAGGTCGAACCCTCCACCGACTATTATCTAGTGCTGCTAATAAATTTATCTCTTTTATTCATTACAAATCAAAATTAAAATAAAGAAGTACTTACCATGCGACATAGTATGAATATCCGAGTAGGCGTGCACCGCGGAACCGCAAGCGCTGCTCACTTCGTCATCCATATCTTCGCCAACAACGATTGGCCCTTGGGCTGCTTTTCCTGTAAAATATTATAAATATTTCTTTATACGACACCGTGCAGTGCTGGTTGTTTAATTATTATCTCCTCTGTAACTAATTGGTTAAAAGTGTCGCCTCGCACTGCGCAAGCGCAAGAGGTTTGGAAGCCCGGGGAAGCAATAGATGTTTCAGTAGGGCAGAGCACATAAGTCTGATCAAATCAGCAAAACGAAGACCGAAATGTGTTCGCCCCACGAAGGAAAAAGGGATTTCATTATCATATAAGTATCGTTTGCAATATTAATTTTTCTTTTTATTTATTCGACACACAAATAAACAAAATGGTGGGATACCACTCAGTGTTTTTATAGCTGAAAGTGAGCAAAACGATTATTTTTCAGTGGGCCACGTTTAACATTTGAAGTAGTACGAACATACATATAAACATAAACACATTAAAATGGTGTACGTACAATATACCTCAAAACCTCACGGTTCATTTAGGTCACCTGTAGGCGTTTATTGGTCACAATGATACTTTGGACTATAAGGAAGCTTTACCTTCTGGAATGGAGGGCTTAGGTCGATCAGTAGGACTGCTACGCTTATCAGTCGGCGCTCCAGATGTACTGCTTACCGCTAGAGAACGGATCTCCTGTTGCGCTTCACGCATCTTATCGTAGAACACCTGTTAAAATACCTTAAAATTATATTGAGTAAAAAATGGAGCTTTATACAAATATTTTCTTATTTTTTTTTACGTTTGATTGCACATGGTGGCAGTAAATAATTTAAAAATTCGTTTTGTTAGTTAATCAGTTAAACTTTAACAATATTAATATTATAATACAGATTTCTTAAACTGAAGAGCGTAAGATATTGAACCTCGATTAACCAGTGTTAAGGTTGAAATTTTGTTGAAATACACTGCGCGAGACGTGCATGTAAGAATACCTACAAAAAAATTAACGATGGGTAGGTCACGGTAGCTCAATTAGTTAGAGCAAAAGTAGTAAAATAATTCGTAAATAAGTTTTCATGTTTATACCGTTACGAATATTTTATTATATTATAAGTTTTTATCTGCTAATAGAATAAAAAACAACGTGACGTCACCTTTAAAAATGCCTGTGATATTTCACCGTTTTGTAATTTCGTAAAAATGCTGTTCTGAATTATGGGGTTGCCGCCTTCAAGTAGCGCGATACCTGTTGAAATAAAATTGACATAATCCCATATATTTATTTAACAACAAAATACATTAATATCATGCACTAGCTGTGTCCGCGTAGAATAGTTATTTTTCATCCACATTTGTTTTTGTAAATCTTTTCATCTTTATAAATTGCTGTTAACCACGGCGTCAGTCGCGTCCCGTCGTTCTTGCTTAATAAATGTTAAAAGGTAGACATATAATATCGCTGATATTTTTTGGGTTATTCAAAGAAGAATTATTCTTTCGTACATTTTTTTTGGGTATCTTGAACCGTTTTCGCAGGGTACGCATCTAAAACCCGCAAAGATGGTAAAAATCCCACACAGTTTTTTCCACATTTTTTGCTGTTGTCCCAGCGTACAGCGTTCTTTTTATAGCTTTCCTCGTCATATGCTCTAACGGACACAAAAATAATTTTTCATATCGAACTAGTAGTTCCTTAGATTAGTGCGTTCAAACAAACAAACTGTTCAGCTTTATATATTAGAATAGAAGACAGATAAAAACTCTTCTTACCAAGTTGAATTGCCTCTAAGAAAATAGCTGGTCTGTTAGTACTCTTGATGACCAATTCCACCACAAGGTCCGAAGCACCTTCGCGATCCAAATGAGCCTGAACTTGCGCAAGAGTCTGCCCGGTGCGCATCAACACCTTCGCTGTATTAACGATTTTTAAACTTAAAATATTTTTCGATAAAAAATAATTTGATACATTTATAAGTCTCTAGAAAGACAAGTATATCTTTTTTAGGCTCTATTCTAGTGTAATAAGATATATATTTAAATATTACCTGTAGTTTATTCGAGTAGTACACATTTAAAAAACACTTTAACGGTTTCAAACGCGAAATATGTTAGTTACTTGTTGAAAAATTATTTTACTGGCCGACGATTCGAATGCTTTTTAATAGCCGTGGCCACGGGGAACGTTGAAAATAATTTGTAAACAAGTTTACAATATTTCGCGTTTTAAACCGTTAGAGTGATTTATTTAAGAGATTTATATTTGTTTAACTTTAATAAATTAACCTATAAACGAAATGAACCAACCTGTTTTCACTTGTGGTTGTGATTCAGCTGCGCATGAGTGATGAAAAAGAAAATTGTTCTAAACTAAGATTAAGCATGTAATCACGAAGGCATGGTGTATTAACTTTTTAAATGTGCTATTGCTATAGCTCTCGATAACCGTTGTGCTTACTAAGTAACTGAATCTGTTTTTAATATAAGCAAGATGTTAAAATTAGTAAATCTATATGAAAAATTTAATACTCTGTAAGTTTAACCGATGTTATTGTCTTAAAGAGTTGACTCTAATGTTAAATTAAAGGCTATCAGCGTAAAAGCAACGCCACACAAAAACAAAGTGATTAGATGAAAAAAGCAGAAATTTCCCAAAAGAAAACTCTCTTGTACTGTTATTGAGTTAAGTCACATTTTTTATTAATTAGAAACAAAAAATAACGGCTAGGTCTTTCTTGAGCTGACGCCCTATATCTTCTAAGGCCGTAAGTAAATGTGTAGACTAACTTACCCCCGGGACCATGTGTAACTGCAACAACCGGCGTTTGAGGTAAAACTTTTGGCTCAGACTTTCGGTTCACGAAATACTGAGATAATAGCTTGTTGCGCAATTGATTGCCCTATAAAAAATATATCGTTTATAGAGTTGCCGTATTGTACAAAAGTAGTGTTAGGTGTAACGACTAAAATTGTATATTTACTATATGCATGTAGTATATTTTTTAATTTTACATTTTTGGTAAACAAAAACCCTATTTACATGATATCGTGATTTTCTAACAATTTAATTGACACTTGATTATAATATGTGAAACTACCTCAAATTCTCTTAGTAAATACCACATTAATAAGCACCTGAATCTTATGAAAAATGCAAACACATGCAAAAAAAATCACATGCACGATGGCCAAAACAGCCTTTTAAACAACATCGACATTAGTAATAATGATATAAACATCGTCTCAAAGTGATTTTGTATATTAAGGTCATTTTGTCCACATACAAACGATGTTTCTTTATCCCTGTGTCATCTATGGCAAAAACTTTACTCTAAAAAAGGTCATCACCATAGAGACCTACTCTATGGTTTGTAATCCGCCATATTTGTTGTGGTCTTTGCCAACTTAAAAAAGACACTATGTATATATAAACGACCACAGCAGTCATTCATTGTTAAGTCTAGTCTAGATACATTATGTTTTGTAGGTATATCTATATTTGTGAAATGATATAGTTTTTTTTCTATTATTAATTAAATAAATAAAAGATATGTTGGATCGCTGTTGGGTGTGGCCACCTGTTACACAAAGTGTATAAGTATCTTTATTTTATTTGAAAATGGTTTTTAACTTCGGCCCGACGGTATCGGATGCGTTCTCACGGGGGATTTCGGTTTTAAACCATAAAGTGTTTCGCTTAAGTTAGACAGTATCTCTATATTATTCTCATAATACAAGGGTACAAAGAACAATTACAAAAACTTACTTTCTCGCCATACTCGGGATCAACAGCCATCATCTCGCGTAATGTACGCAGAACTTTGACGCATAACTTCTCTTCTTTCTCTTCTAGAAGTTTCTCCGTGTGACGTATTAATCTATTTCAATATGAATTTTCATTAAGACCTGTTAAACTACAACAACGGGTAAATACATAACCTCGTTATTAACGGGACGGGACATATAGAACGGGTCGTGGGTACGATCCCCACCCAAGATTTTTCTCATTCATTTATAATTTTTCGGAAACATGTTAGACTTTGTCGGGATATCTGGATAAAAAAATGGGTGGTAGGAATAGCAAAATTCTCCCCAGATCGCAAACCACTGTCCACATACGAGAAAGCCGTGATGTTTAATCGCGTTTCGGTTGCAGTCTGTGGATATCCTACTGTCCAATATAGGCCGACAGCACATCTTATTTAGAAGCTATATGGCTGGGGTATTTTACCTACCATCAGTGACCCTAGTTGTCTATATCCCCAATCATAAAAACACTATACGCTAATAAATTATATTCTATATTCACTAAACTAACATAAAAGAAATAAAAAATGATTTGACTTGCAAATAGTTAAATATAGTAATTATTAACTATTTACCCGACCTGACAGACCTGAGATGTTTCCCTGGGATTCGAAGCCAAGACCTGTTGCGATTGAGCAATAAGGTGTTCGTTTACGGTGACATAAACTAACATTACGATTATTTACCTCGATATAAATATTCCACTTGTGTCTGGATGCATGAGTTCTCCTGGCGAAGTAAAGAGCCGGTGAGGCTTATATAAAATGTCTACGAGAAGAGATTGTTCCGCCTGCAATAAGGGACGCAGTTGCTCTTCTAACAATGAAACTATCTCTTGCAGACCTTCCATAACTGATCTGTCGTTTTGCAGGTTACTCTGTAATGAAAGAAAACGGACATATGAAAACTTTAATATATATTTTTTTGTACTAATATTATATATTAATTAAAAACATGGATTGAAAAAAAAAGCTTGGGCAATACTAACTGTTATTCTATATTCGCTATAGTGTCGGTATCGAACTAATATAATATTTCTAATTTAAAGGATAATGCATTATTCAAATCTATACTAATATATATTAAAAAGCTGATCTAAGGAAGTACTGGTTCGAATTGTTGAAAAATTTGTTTTTGTGTTGGATTTGTTTTTGTGTTGGTTAGATCATCAATCGACCATCCTGTGACCAATAGGAGCGAAAAAACAGTGGCAAGTTTAGAAGAAATTGGGAATTAATTAATCTCAAAATTATCTCGCAAAATACATACGATTGACGTAAGTTTCAAAATACCTGTGATGCCATCTTCTCGAGTTTGCTGGTTTTCGAGACGAGTAACCATTTGCTTGTTTGACGCGAGAGTGCTGCCGCCTTTTCGAAAACTGTTTGTATTTTCGCTTCCAGTTCAAGTGGTATTGCGATACTGCGACTCTTCGCTATACGTAAAACAAGGTAGATTTAAAATTTAATTTTACAATATAAAGATAGAAAAAGAAATGACAAGGGCGGGGGACTCAAGTCTGTTCTGGCAACATTCTGTGATACTATTAATACCAACTGAGACAACCAATAGAGGTGAATATTCCTTATTAATTAATGTTGAGTGGGACATGATAGGTCATTTTAAAAGAACACCGAACTGTGGTATTAGGTCCGCTTGTGTCAATGAGAAAATAATAAAATTTACTATTTGTTCAAAACGCTATAGTAAATTAACTGGAATTAAAAATATATACTTACAAACTTCGCTTAGAGTCCTAATACATTTTTCGACGTTGAGCTTCTGGGGCGGACTCAGCCAAGGGCATTGGTAGATCCGGAATGTACTCTGCAGTAGTTTTACGAATATTGACTGCCGCGTCTGAGGAGACAAATTAAATACGTGTCATTACCTAAGAAAAAATTAAAATAAACTAAAAATCGATTATAAGTTAAAAAAAATACGACCCGCCCGAGTCGTATTTTTTCTAAAACCATCTACAGCGTTCCGTGTTATTGGTCTAAGCAATTGGGCTACCGAGTTGTCGTCGACATTTTTTACCTATTAAAACATGCACCTCTCGCCGAAACAAGTCCTGCTCGAGGGGTAATTGTTTTTTTATTTGTAATCAATTTTTAATTTCTATAATGCCATCATGTGCAACGTATTAATGTTTTCAAAAATTATTTTTATATGATGTTGGTTGAAGTTGAAAAGGAAGAAACAATTGTTAATAGAACACGTAATAAACTTAAGCTACGATGAAAATATAAAACCTGTACAGTGGTGCTTTGGTCGCTGAACGGCGAGTTGAAGAAGGTGCATATTGTGTGCATGAGGACATCAGTGACATAGTCCACCCAGGCTTGTTTACATCCACCAGCGATCTTGGCTGGATCTGAAGACGTTCCTAGGAGGCAAAGTGAGAACAAATTAAAACATATTCATTTATATATTATGTAAGTAGGTATGAACAGTCAATACACAATGTTAACAAGACTGACAAAATTTATTTATTTACAAAGCTTATATAAAACTGTTTAAAACGCGATATATATTAGTTAAACTTATTTGAAAATGATTTTAACTGCGGCCGTTTCGAATCACTTTTAACGATTTAAAACGCGCAATATAGCAATTATTAAACATCATTCGGATTCTTTTTAGCACCTGTGGTTATGGTTACGTAATTATGAATAAATTTCTCGTTTAAAACCCATATTTTTCTGTTATATCTTATATACTTAAGGCGAAAGTATACCTGGAGATGGCTGGAGTATAGCGTTCATATCTTGCAAAAACGATCGTTCAAAGAGATCCCACATATAATTGCTGGAGTAGATCTCCTTCATCTCCACTTCAGTGTCAATGTAGCAGTGGTTTAGGAAACCAACATAGGCTTCTTTTACCTGAGTATATAAAATTCGATTATTTCGATCGTGATTTTTTTTACAATGTATTTAAACTGAAGGTACCTCTGGTATGCAGTCCGGGTGTGTGATCATTGCGACAATATCGTCCAATGGAAGTAGACTATGACACTTTATTTCAGTGTATACATTTTTGCCTAGAGTGCAGCAAGTCAGAAGTTTCACGAGTTGAATATGATATCTGTAAAGTTAAAATGTCAGTAATACATTTTGGTCCCTCGAGCCGGATGAAAAACAAGATACGATAACTTACGTGAGAACTTCAGGCATTTCCCCTGTCTGTTTGTACTCGCGCATCATTTGCACGAAATGGTTAAAAGATACTTTGTCATTGTAGAATACTAAAACGTCCTCGCCTGAATTCACCATCTAAAGAAAATATTATACGTCTTAGATTTCTTATATGTTATGTATTTTTTTATGATTAATTTGAAGAAATCACCTCTTGCATCACCAAGTCCTGACTGCGTCTTATATGTTGACCTCCAGCTCTAACAATCGTCCTCAGAAAGCGTAAATATGCCGGTCTCTTTCCATGTGTCTCGATACAATGGACAAAATGTGCTGCCACTTTTTCGTTACCTTCGTGCGCACATAATGCTGCATTCTCTTCAAATATCGCACATACTGTTTGAGCTTCACGAATCTGTGTATATACACAATATTTTAAACTAAGCATTATCTATAGTTTGCGTGAGTCATACACAAAATTACAATTAAACAATTTTGATAAGTGCAACTTCAATTCTAGAGATATGTAGTGCAACTGTAATCACAGCTACAGCCAAGCATCAGAGACGTCGGGGCATTGTTAAAAATAACTTAAATAAAAATTTCACGTTTGAAATCGTTAAAATTGCTTATATATTATATATTAGTTAGGTAATCACTCCTTGTACTTAATAGAGACCCTTATATTATTTGATACAAATATGACTAATAACAGTTTTATTTAAAATATGGTTTAGTATAAAATGGTATATTTTGTAAGAATTTATTAATACAATGAAAGTGACTTACGCTAGCATTTAAAAACAGATCGAGGTGTTTGTGGAGAATAGCCTGGTTCTGTTGATTCCCATGGCAGAAGTGTTGAAGGAACTCATGAGCCAAATCTAAAAGCTCGTTCATGGCTGAATCGTCTTCGTCGTGAGGAACCTAGGGCATACAACTTTTATATATTCTGTGTATGAGAATTAAAAAAATATCAGAAGCCCAACTTTTACGTACCTGCAGTAAATCCAAAACAATATTATGTACGCCAATATTCCTTAGCAGTCTTTGCTCGTGCCTGCGCGGGCGTCCCGAACCGCTGTCACCATTGTTACCGCGCGTGCAATATTTAATCATTCGCTCCAAAATCTAAATAAAAAAATAATAAAGCAACATTCATAAACAATAATCAACCATTTTTCTTATTTCATATAAGTAACATCTCACCTCTTTGATTTTCTTATATTCGTTCATGTGATCGTATTTGGTAGATCTGGAAGTGTCTAGCACGTTATCCAACGAAGCATTTCTCTCTAACACAGCTCCACCCGGACCGACTGTTCCTTTGATTTCTATAAGGAGTAATTAACTTTATCATCTATTCTTATATTATAAATCTAAAGAGTTTCTTTGTTTGAACGCGCTAGTTTTAGACTCTGTCAAATTGAAAAAATTTTTTGGTGGGAGCACTTATAGAGTAAAGCTTCAAAAAATATCATTTATTTTATAAGCGTTTATTAAGAGCGATAAAATAGTGAAATGTGGGAAATGTGGGAAATACGGGAAAATATTTTAGATAGACCGAAAATATTTATGTAAGAAATCTTTAAAGATTACTAACAATAACCGCTTTTATGGTAATGAAACTTTGGTCAAAATATTCCATATGACAAAGAATGTCTGCGAGGTCAACTCGTCAATGACGTCATCATTTCAGTGACTAAGGGTAATACGTCACTAGCTACGAAACACCATATTAGACTAAGGATACAGCTATTGACAAACCTGTATGATCGTCCAGGGCTCCAGCCCGGCCCTTATTGAACACCCATAGCTCAGATTTCTCTACGCTCTGCCGTAAGACGTCTAGATCCGCTTTAATTTGCTTGTAAGACTCGACGTCTGCGTCCGACACTAGCAGTTGTACCTGTAAATAGTTTATCATAATCTAGTTTATAAGAATATTGTTTTTAAGAACACTTTATTTGTTAAAAACTCTGTCATATCAAATCATGATGAAAAAAAAAGGACAATGTAAATGTAGACGATATACCTCTGTGTGACAGGAGACATCTTCGTTTATATTCATTTACGAAATCACAACTTCCTTTACAACAAATTATTAAAATTTCTATATTGAATCCTAAAATATAATATCAAAGTTCGAAATTAATATTATAATGAATTTTACATAGCTCCAAATAATTTCCTTTAGACGAATAACATTTATTTTCTAAATACCTGTTTGAATGCTGCCAACACCTCTTGCCTCTGACTGAAATGTCTGAAGAGCAAAGCAAGAGCCCCAGAGACGAGCGCAGCCGAAGCGCCTTGCGAGCACAACTGTAGTAAGACTCGAAGGACCATACCCCCACCACGGCCATCGAGATCCAGACCGTTCCTGTATCGAGGAAGAAGGTATTATATCTGCTTTGCACGGGACACTTCAATCACTTTACTACGTAAATTGTATATTTATAGCTATACGTATATTCGGGTAATTTAATTCATAATATAACATTGTAAGTAGTAAGGATTTAGTACAGCGAAAGTCTAGACATGTATCAAATCTATATATGTATACTTACTTATGAACCCACTCTAAAACGAGATGGAACAAAAACTAATCTGAGATCTATGTCACTCTGTCTACATCTCTTACATTGAGTCTTTTACGGGTACATTATTTTAAATTATTTCTATTTTCGCATTCAGTTTATCAATTTATAACATCTTATTACAAAGTATACAATCGGTATAGCTAGAAATATATGTGATACGAGTAAAAGGGAGAAAAAACACTCAACTGCAATTACACAACTCTTCACCTTTTTGTACGAATCTTAATGTTAGTATGAAGACCAAGAACATGCAAGGGTAACGTTTAAGCATCTCTATTGATAAATTCTTAATTTTTAAAATATAATCCTTAAAAGTAGCAAAAACATACAATAAGTAAGTAGACCAAGTTACTATCCGGCCAAAACTCACGCTTTATTGTAACCGTTTAAGGTTAATAAAATAATTTATCAATATAGAAAAAAGGGTCAAAGCATGCTAAGAAATCAAACCAGACTTACACACACTACGGTTGGATGCATAAACAAATTCACACGTTTTATTTAACACACACTATTTGGGTATATTATAAAAAACACACTTTTTCTTATTTTTAGATTTATTTGATCGTTAGCGATAGCTATACCAAACGGTGACGTTTTGGAAGTTGGAATAAAAATATTATAGAAGAAATTTCAGTATTCATTTGTTTGAAACACACACAACATAAGAATTCAAGTAACGTTAGGATACCAATTCGAGTTCCATTTCTTTTTAATCTATTTTTTTTTATATAGGTAGAATCTTATATTTTCATTCCATCTACGATTGGGAGTTATTAGTCCATGCTACAGAGCATGCAATAAAGATTATCTTACTAACAAATCTACATTTTTTGGTAGACAGTTGTCAGGCACAGTTTGAATTGCTCTGAAATGACGTAATATAAAAATGTATTAGAACGCGCTGTTGGTTAAATGTGATTATATTTTTCTATGGCAATAGGCAAGAAAGGTGAACTGCCTAAAACCAAAACATTTAATAATTGTCTTTGGTCATATAGAGTTACTTGAAACCGTAATATGGCTTTATCATCACGAGAGGACGGTGGTTCGTGTTCCGAACGAAATGCTAATTTATTTTGAGATTTTCAAGACGTTTCCCAAATATAAAAAAATATAAACTGATTAACATGCTGAGTCTGGTAGGAATTGAACCCCCGACTCGTATTGCTATACTAAAATTATAAGATACAAAAGAGTTAGTAAAGATAATAATATCAAATAGTTCCTATATTACATACTGAAAGAAATTTAAAGAAATGTTAATGGTTAATTACATACTAAGAATATAGAACTAGCGTATAAAATATAATGACATTTTTGAATAGATAAAAAGGAAACCATATAAGAGTATAGCAGTGAAGAAACCCATCACCTATGTTAGGCATGCTTTAGTCACTACTTATTATTAGTAATAGTTACGAGTTTAAATAAAACACTTTAACGGTTTAAAACGCGATATATTAGTTAAACTTATTTGAAAATGATTTTTAATTCGGCCCGAGTTTCGATGCCGTGTCCCCGTGGTCACGGGAGACCCCCGTGGACACGGCTGCTGCAAAGCATCCAAACGTCGGGCAAGTTAAAAATCATTTTCAAATAAGTTTAACTAATATATCGCGTTTTAACCGTTAAAGTGTTTTATTTAAATGTTTACTACTCGCTAAACTATAGACAGTATTTAGTTACGAGTTGTTAAATATATAAAGTTCTATGTCTATCCTAATAGATATAATGTGATAGTAAAAAAAAACTAACATCTACCTATGTATGGATGTCAAAGCGAATATACACTTGTAATTCTTAATTACATAGATAGTAAAACAATTATAATTACGTATTGGTTAGTACCACCCTGGGTACCCTGTGGTCGTGGGTTCGCGACCAGCGCGTGTTATTAAAAATTATAAACGGTTTAAACGCAAATATATTACTCAACCTATTTTTACTACGGCCCGTTAAGTTTATTTTTTTTAAAATTCGTACTACTCTCATGAACAACAGACAATACATATTTTTTTTTAAATTACAGCCTTTACTAGACCGCTTCTGTGAAGACATGTCGCCCCGTGAGGCATCCAGGGTGTGGGGAAGGGAAAAAAAGGGGGGGGGGGGTTCACCACTTTTTAATAATACTACGATACTAACTGGCAACTAAAGATGCCCTCAGCCTGCAAGCCAATGGCTTCGACGTCAGCCCGGGCGATAGAATCTGCCTTATCTCCCGCCTGCTCGAATTCCTTCTTGAAGATAGACAGCAGGCAAGAGATACGATAATCCAGCCGGACGTCCAGGATGAACTGGAAGAGTTGAAAAATCATTAAGTATATGTACTAATATTATAAAGCTGAAGAGTTTGTTTGTTTGAACGGGCTGAGATCAGGACCTACTTGTTCGGATTGAAAAAAGTTAGTCGTACGATCGGAAGGCTTTTAGACTATACAACATGCTGCGATGAAAAAGTGGGAAATGTTGAAAAACGTGTACGACTATTTATCTTTGAGAGTTTTTATTGTGAATATACGCAAAAATATATACCAAAGAATTATTTCTCTTTAAATAATCTAAAAAATGTCCGCCAACACATTTATGTGTATAAAGTATTCAGTAATAGTGTAAGTCTATCTTCAAAGATATGAGTTACACAAAAAACGAATTTTGGTCAAAAAAATGTTATATGACAAAGTAATGTAATGGGCTTGTTGCCTGGCTTGGAATCCAGGGGAAACTATACATTGTTTTGCTCTGGCAGGGCATAGAGGTGTGAACAATTGCTTGCCTGTAAAAGAACCGATGAGTGAAACGGACACAAGAAATATATTCGCCCGCGCCCCATATGCAAAAAAGGGTTTTGACTAACTTACTAGTTGTAGTAACTAAAAAATTATATTTATGCTAAATTTAATATTGACATTTTTCTGTATCTAACAAAAATATAATGATGTCCTATGTTTTTTTTTGTAGTTTCATTTCCTAATCCTAATTGATTAGGTCATCATTTTGAATAATTAAACTGTAAGGGTTAAAACTTAATTATAGAATATAATAGCATAAACTAGATACCTGTAAGATCTCAATGATTTTCAGCTTAGTCTCCATAACTAGTGGATGTTTTCTCGCCAGCGCTAGCGCTGAAGGACTGCGCTGAGGACCGTTGCTGCTCACCACTTGCTGAAATAGAATTCTGCATTAAATACTGATTACTAGTTCCAAACTTTTAGGATTTCAACGTGGTCATTGGCCTAATGGTAGCAATGTTTAGACAATTTTCACCACCGTCCACAGATGACAAACCGCTGTTATACTTACATTGGCAGCCCCAAGAGTGATCGAAGTCATAACAGCCCCCATATCTCCTATCGTACGTAACACACCACCTTCCGCTGAGAAAAACAAGAATTCCGATATAAGACGAACCTTGAATTATACTTATTGCAAGCCGCATATGTATATTTTATTAACTTTTCACTGTATAAACGCGATCTATCTCTATGCTTTGTAATTGCCGTGTGTGACATGAGTAAACCACGACTGCTGTAAATATATTTTTTTCGCGTTTCAAACTGTTAATAGGGATTTATTTAAGGTATACTACTAGCAAAAATTACAAACAAAACTTGAAAAACTTACTTTTCTTAATTTCTACTTCCTGGGCTGCTTGTAAATTTGAATTTTAAAAGTTTATTAAAATTGTAACACAGGTATAAAAATACACTGTAATAGATTTTTTTTATTAATACTAGCATTATAAAGCTGACGAGTTTATTTATTTCTTAATACGCCTCAACTCAGGAGCTATTTTTTTTTTTAAAAAAAATTTTGATGTCTCAAAATATTCTACGCGGACGAGGTCGCTGGCCAGCACTATGAATATATATAAAGGCGGTCGTCTTACATTCTACGTCTCCAGTTAGAGCGTGTGTGTCATTCAGTAGGTCAATTGTGGTCACGCAGTCGAGGATACTTAGCAATGTCTTAGTGAGACGTAGGAGATCACTGAAGCTGTAATGTGAACGAAAAAATTTGGTAACAGAAATACATATACTCAATTTAATTGAAAACTCTATGGTAAAAATTACTAAGAGATAATCTAGTTCTCTATTCATGGCGGTGTGATATAATTCTGTGTTAGTTTTAATTTTTACTGCCGTGTTATTTGTTTAACAGGGATTCGAACCCGCGATTATTGGCCTACGTCACACTCAGCAGTACACAGGGCGGTTACTTAAAACCCCTCAACTTACAAATACATTTGAAGAACTTGTATAGATAATTTTCAAAAAATACTTAGTTCAAGAAGTCAAAAAAGTGCTTCAATGTATGGCTAATAATCAACGCGTTTTGGGTTTGATCCCCATCGGGTCCAACATGCTTCGGTCGCGCAGGGCACAGAAGTCTAATCAACAGCCTGCCCAGTAAAAGAACTGATCAGTGAAACGGACACAGAAATGTGTTCGCCCCATGCCCCACGAGGGGGAAACGGGCTTTCACACTTTTTTTTTGTTTTGTTAAGTGGGTAGGAATATCAAGAGTGTTAATAGCATATATGGCTGAGGTATTTCACGTAGCATCTACCTATGTTGCCCTCCTCTATCATAAAAAAACCTTACCTGTAAAATCCAAAGTAAATGAGTTCTCTAGCCAACTTGACCACTTCAAATGTGAGTTTGTTCTGGTCATGGTCACCGAAGTACCAAGTCATCTTTACCACATTGCATAAGTAGCTCTCAACGAACTCGATCGTTGATGAGAACTGCTTCTTTACTTTATCCCGCGTTGATTGTGGGCCTCCTCGAACACATTGATAGCTGGAAGTTTCATATTAGACTTTACAAAATTTTACATGTGCGTCGTTGTTATCAAGCATGAAATACAATTATGTAGTAGGGAGTTTTTAAAATAATAATCTACTGTATTCTACTATATATATATTTATATTCTTTGTTCGAAAATTTAAATTATCGTATCGTAAATAATCATATAAAAATGAAATTAGATAATATCATATTTAATATTATTATATAAATTAACGAAATACTTTGAATACCACGAAAATATAGTGTTCATAATAATTTAAAATTCATTGTTTGATTGATTTCTTTAATGAACTTGTCAATTTCTGTAAGGACCAAAGTTTCGCCAAATAATAACTACTTGCTACGCAGCAGTATTTACTTTGAAAATAAGGACACCCTCCATCTTTAGTCTTCCCGTGACCACGGCTGCTGCAATGAATCCAAAACGTTGGACCGTAGTTAATATACATGTAAATAAGTAACTAATATCTTTTACGTTTTAAACCGTTAATTGTGTTTTATTTAAGGTTGTTTAACAATTTAAGAAGTTGTATCAATCAAAACGCTTACTCGTGTATATGTATTGTGTCAGCCACTTCGCTCCACAGTCTCGCGTACTTCACGGGAGTAACTGGTTCTTGAGGGTCACGGTCCACATGAAGATGCAGCATCAGGCGACAGAACGATGCCCGTACTTCGTGAGGGAGGGACTCGTTTGCCATACACCTGGCATAGCCAATAGGATTTTATGTACAAGGACTAGTACAGAAAGAGAGAAATAACAGGACACACATAAATGTCGACTTTAGGACCTTCATATAATGTTATATATTTTTTTTTACATACATGTAGGTTAGTGAGTGTAGGTACACTTGTATTTTCACTTACTTCAGAATAAGATCGATATGGAGTTGCTGAGACAGGCTGTTAAGAGCGAGGTACTGTCGATTGAGGCACATGTTGGAGAAGAGATCAAGTTGATGCCGATAGTAATCTAAGACGGCGGCTGCTTCGCAACGAGGATCCGCTTTTGCTTCAGCAGCCAGCTGGGATAAGAGCCGTTTGGACTGCGAACGAGATATCGAGAACTGTTAACATCATTATAGACACTTAAAGAACTATCGTTATAGTATTAAAATCAAGTAATAAATATCTAGAAATGTTGAACCACACAGGCTAATTATAATCTAGTTATTAACTAACTTTTGTAGTCATAAAACAAATCCTGATACAAATAATTTAAAACGTTAAAAAAAAAGTAACTAAAGATCTCATAGTAATTAATCATCTCAAGCAAATTAAAAAAAAAAACACAAAACTGGTATGGTCTCGTTGGTCTAACGGTAGGTATGTATCATGTTCGAAACATGTTTTCTCGGTGGGTTCGATCCCCACCGAGAAAACATGTTTCTAATCAAATTATAATTGTTCCGGAACATGTTGGATTTCGGATATTGAAATATTAAAAGTTCCGTTAGGATCACGAACCACTGTACATTAAAAAACCGTGAAGTTTAATGCCGTTTTGGATTTTCTAATATCCAAAGATAAGATTAGGCCGACAGCACCTCTTGTTCACTCTCTTGCGCCTCTAGCACTTCCTCTGTCTATCATGTATTTACCTGTTTATTGTTCCAAAGTAATATAACATCAACTGAATAGTTATGTCCGTCATCTGGTGATTTGCTTTCATATTTGGTTGTCAGTAATCTGTAAATATTAATATAATTACTAATATTCATACTTTCTTAGAGAGAAAATTAAGCAATCAAAGCAATATAACACTAAAGACAATGTAATCGTACACTTACACGCGTATGCGCACATTAAGTGTCACTTTAGGCTACGCCATATACATAGTTTTTGTAGTCATATTTAGGATCGTGTTTCATGCATTATGATTAAGTCTTAATTATGTCTGGGAATAATACAAAATGGTTCCTATATAGTTTTCATGGATTAAGCTTGCATGCATATGCAATACGAATAAAGGGGACAATTAAACCTCTGCTGACTGAACCTGGTCTCGATGAGAATATCTGCGTTGTTCGCACACAGCACACTCTTGCAGATCAACTCTTGGGTGACAGCTATCGCCTTCTTGTTGGAAATGCAGAGATCGCTGAGGTAGTCCAAGAAACGGGATTGCCAGGTCTTCATGTTCTTGCGTACAAGGCCTTTAAAATATAAGTTTAATAAATTTCACAATGAAGTTGAAGTTGGCTTGATTGTTCATTAAATACAACCATTTTAACGGTTCAAAAACGGATTATATTCCAGTTGTGGTATTGAGGGATGAGACGGTTGCTGCAAAGTATCCAAAACATCGGGCCACAATTTAAAAATAAGTTACCTATTATAATTAAATACATTTCGCGTTTTTAACGGTTAAAATTGTTTTATTCAAATATAGTACATATTTTCTACATTCATTGTCACTGATTGTAGTTTTATAATTGGAAACATAAAAACGGATTTGTTTTAGTACGTTATAGCTTTTTTTAGACACTTTCTTAGAAATATTTTTTGAGTTGACCACTACAAGTTGATTATCGTGTGAACTAAAATTCCTTAAGATAACTACATTCTTTTAAATTTAATAAGATGGAGCTATAAAATTATTTTCTGTCTATATTAAATGTAAACGTTAATTTTAACTTGCCAACAAAGGTCTCAATCTCAGCCGCTGTAATATGTTTTTCCAAGAGCTTTCTGTTGTTATGCAGGAGTGCAGTGATCGTGTCTTCTGCTAAGATATCACAACCTATTTGCTTCTGCATGAACCCGAAGTGCTTAGCTATGTATTCCTGAAAATAAAAATCTGGTCAAATAACTAATATGGACCGTTTGTCTCAAAATAAAATTGTCCAAAAATATCATGTTTATGTCCTTTTCATAAAGTAAAAATATTACTATATAAGTACCTATTTGGAAGTCGTGTACTTATTTCAAGTGTCTGTTGCAAGTTACTATTATTATATGATATCAAACAAAGAAGGTTAAAAATCATTTTTGGTTATAGAGGCAACAGAAATACAGAGTATTGAGGTACAGACAGACAGAATAACAGCGAGCAGTCTAAGTTCTAATTTTTACTTTTCTGGGCATGGGTCCCTAAGTTGCGTATCAAAATAAGATTTTCATACTAACCTGATTTTTTCTATAATCCTGTTGACTTAACCGTAGTATCCTATAGCAAAGTCTAAAAATGAACTTGTAAGGCGCATATCTTGGATCAGAAAGCTCTTCCATTTTAAGAAACGGTTCGCTGCCTGGCGATTCTTCAAATGGGCCCTGGAAAGTGAATTTGTAAAAACTGTAAGTTTGCTAGTCGACGTACAAAATCTTAGGAAGACAGCTAACAGTTACAAAAATAAATCCTGATTAGTAGCTACAATGTAATCACGAAAATCTGCTTTTGATTTACGGCTTCAAGGGAGGAGCAAATGTATGCATGCAGTTTACGCGAGTACACTACTTCACGAAAACAGTACTTCAATAGTTTAAAACGCGACGACCACGTTTCGGAGGCTTTACAGGAAACGTCAGTCTCTCCGTGACGACAACTGCTTCTAAGCATTTGAAATGTTGAACCATGGCTAAAATAATTTCCAAATAAGTTTCACTAATATATATGGCGTTGTAAACCGTTAAAGTGTTTATTTAAACCCTGTGGAGGATACTCATAAAACAACATTCAAGGCAATGTTTAGGCTAAATATAAACCAGTAAATATTACAGTCAACTAAATAATTTACCTGTAATATTTTGAACAGTTGTCCCAAAATGTATTGTTCCCTGAGCAATTTCTGTCTGTCTCTGTTCGGATTCTCCACGACGAGATCTAACGCCTTCGACTTGTTTGGTTCATTTTCGTACCCAGCTATGAAGTATACTATATCTTGTAAGAGGCATGTCAGTGCTCTGCAACGATATTTTAATTATTTTGTATTTGGATCGTGGTTAAAAATAAGTTGTTTTATACATATTTCGTGTATAAGGAAACAAATTGAACTGATTACATATCTATCGTCACTTATATTATCGTTCCTAGAATTCACTTTACCATAGCCTTTTAAAATACTTAAAAGTTCCCGTTCTAGTATTAAATGAAGAGACCTTTTATTTTGCCCAGTATCTCCGTCCCCTTCTAGCTATGGGGTGATCAACTATCTTACGATAAGTATACAGACAAGCCAGGATCTTATGAACTGCTTAAAAAAGATTATAACAATAATACCATTTTATACCAACAAGAGATAAAAATAATATGTATAACTTACTTCATCTCATTATGTTCAATATTCCCCTGGTGCAGTTTGGATGAAAGTGCTGACAGAACTTTGCACGCGTCATTCGCAAAATCCAGGTCTCTCACTTCGCTTGGCGAGACCGATATTAAGGCGAAGGCTTCTTTATCTTCCTTTATGACTGAACAACCTACCTGAAGCACGGATTATAGAACTTGAAAACATATTCCAATAAAATTGTTATCAATTTGGGATTTCCAGCTGTTGGACAAAACGTAACGTAAACGCCTGATAGTGTCATCTACTCGAGAACCATTTCCCAATTACAACGACCGAAGAGTTCCAAAATGCAAGTATTTTTGCAAAATGGCGACAGAAGACAAGTTATACTAGCTGTGCCCGCGATTTTATCTACGTAGAAAAGGTTATTTTGGGCCCAATAATATTCTTATATTACAGCTGTTACCCACGCTGCCGTCTGTCGTTCTTGCAAGTTAATCCTAAGAGATAGACATGTATTGTCATGGGCACTTTTTTAGACCATTTATAGAACAATTCTTTCGTAGGTATTTTTTGGTTTCATGAATCGTATTCACTGTGCACACAACGGAAGCAATCAAGGATAATTTTGCCTTTTTACCCACACCATCTTTGTATCTACGCTCGTATTGGGTCGTATTGTCATGTTATATAGCCTAAACTCTAAAGGCTTCCTCGATAAATGGTCTGTCCAATCATCCAATAATCCAAAAAATTCATACAGTACTGAAACTTTAAACTACTTAAAAAAATGTAGACTAAACAACTTACTTTCGACATAACAGGCTTATCTTCATCTTTATCTATCGGTATTGATGTCGAATGGACCCAGGTGTGTGTACATAAATGTTGTAATCTGTAAATAAATATATTTAACTTAACTTTGTTCTTATGGAACCGCTATATATATACATATATAAAAAATAGGATTTGTGTTACGTCACATACAGTTAACAACTAATGGTTGAGATTTTCATAGTTAGCGACATATTAGGGATGTACGGTTTAATTAATTTAAAATAACTAACAGAGGTTCACTAGAGATACAATGCAGTCCTATAACAAAATTAACATGCGTTGTCGGCCTATTTAAGTTTGTTCGATAAATTTTGATAAAAAAATATTACCTGACATAACTACTTTGTGGTACTGGTGCGTCCGAATGCGTCATTGTGGTGGGATCCAATTCGAACAACGTCGCTATTTCGGACGAATGCGGCACGGATACTAATTGATAGGCTGGTTCTAAGCCATCGTTGCTGGATTCACTGAAATATAAAAAAGAAATCAGTTTAAAGGGTTGTTTATGATTTTTCATACACACACCACAAGAACTCCACACACCCAGACTTAACGAGGGGATATGGCCCTGTACAATATTGTTTTATGTATTTTAGTAATAAAGTATATTTTAAATACTGTCTATAGTTTACGCGAGTAGTACACATTTAAATAAAATACTTTAACGGTTTAAAACGCGATATGTTAGTTAAACTTATTTAAAAAATGATTTTTAACTTCGGCCCGACGTTTCGGATGCTTTGCAGCAGCCGTGGTCACGGGGTCAGTCTAAACGATCGCGTTTTAAACCGTTAAAGTGTTTTATTTAAAAAAGTATATTTTGCAAAACAAAAAACTTTCATATCTTTACATACACACACACACCACAACATATCCACACACACCCCAGAACTCCCACACATCAAATAAGGTGGCATAATCTTGTAGAACGTTGTTTAATTAGTGTTAAGGTAGAAATTACATTGCGCGAGAGGTGCATGTATCAATAGATTGAAAACGTCTGCCGATGACGTGTAGGACACGGTAGCTCAATTGGTTAAAGTAACAGTACGGAACGCTGTTTTCAGTAACTTAGTAGAAAGATGAATTGAGCAATGAGATGATTGATTAAAAAGATGTCCTGCCCGAGTCGAAATTTTTTTCAATTTATTTTCGATTTTAAAGATGAATTGACTTACGAAGTTTTGGGACACGCTTCCGCTGCTAAATAGTGGCCTGTAGCTAGATGTTTAAATCTGAATATGGAGTTCCAATGGCCAGCGCCACCTCTGCACGGATCGTGTTGAACTACCTACAAATAATACATTAAAAGAAATATACATTGTAATTTTTGTAGGGCTAAATAATAATGTATAAAAAATAATCAGAAAAACTAAAGTAATATCCATAATATAAATTTGGTCAAGGGAAGTTTCATCTCTTTTTTCCGTTGCTTAAAGTAGTAATAAAAAACTACTTCCAATAGCCACTTGGCTATCACTTATTCAATTGAACAATCTATTTTTTTTTGTCAAGCACAGACCTCACTCGACAAAAGGTTATATGCCCCAGCCATATAATAAACCTATTTTGGCTTTGGACAATTACTACCATTATTTTTTTATTCCAGAATATATAATTAATATACATATAATTTATAAGAAAATTCTTTGGTTTTCCACCAACCAATAAATGTTTGATCCGATGGAAATCGACCGAATAAACTAAAACAAAACCATAATCAAAATTATCCAAATCTATTTTAATATAAAAATGTATCTAAATAACATATTTCAATATTTCCCAAAGACACCAGTCAAAATTGCGCTCTTTGTTCAATTTTATGCTAACGCCATTTTGGCATATCCCCGAATCGGCGGATAAGTTCAGTGCAAAACGGCCATATTTTTAGTTGCGGACTAACGCTCGGCGAGAGCGCCCATCACTTTGGTGACAAAGGGCCACATCTCAAAAAGTTACCTGTGGTGTTCATGAGAATTTCCAAAACTAAGAAGCCTAACACACAAGTATTTGATAAAAGGGCATACCCAAAACAAGGGTGACTCAGTACACTTCATGATTGGGAGAAATATTACAAATGCGTTGAAATCTTTGCCAATCTTCAACATTCATTAAAACAGCTAAGAAAAAAGGCGCACCTTATACTGTCAGAGAATTGGCACAGATAGTTTCTTCACTTAAACTCGTTGGCTCTGGTAACTACACCTTACAGAAGATGGAGAAAAATTGAGATGGGCAGATATAAAATTTGATTAAGAAAACTGAAACAAGCTCTTTTTTAAGACTTCTGACGACGACCAGGAGTTTAAAGTCAGTGTCCCACTTTGACCAAAAGGCAACCCAACTCTAACAACGTAGTTACCACGACACACAAAAAATTGTATTCTTAAAAGCTAAATGTTCCAGATAAAAAAAAAAATAGGGTATTCTTATATCAAAGTATTATGAAGCTTTTTATTCTAATCTTTAAACATAGTTAAATTTGTTACAGAGAGACTTACTTAAGCGTAAAATAGTAAGTAGCAGTTGTTAATTAATAATAACATGAAACCGCCTTTTTAAAATTGTGCCTGTTGAGGTTTTAGAAGTTTTAATGTTTTGTTTTATCTTATTTTTTATGGTGGTAAAACAACTTCTTTGTAATAAAAGTTGAGTTTTTGATTTGTTTTAAAAATTACATAGTTCAAAAGCAAGGATTTTTATGTTATTCTTTTTAATGTAAGATTATTATCTCCTCAACATATGTATGATGAACATTTTTAATAATACACTTTTATTTTTTCTTACTTCTGGCCTTTTATTGAAAATAAAATTTGAATCGTAACAAATATTTTATATGCAAAAGGGACTTATGTGCTTCTACTCATCTTCGGCTTACAGTTACCACAAAGCAAAATTAAACACGACTTAAAGCATTAAAATACGCATCTAATGACATATAAAACACAAGCATTAAAAGTACGAGTGCTGAAATATTAACAAAAAATAAATAAATAAATTATAATGTACTCTCCTCAAAAACTCTTAATTTTGAGTTGTGGCCCTTTTGTTTATAAGCACGAAATGTATTCGTTGCTCTCATTGGACTAAATAGCCTATGAAACTTGTCAAGTCCATATAGTATATACACTTGAAGATACTTAAACGAAATTCTACTTACCTCGATCTCCCATAACGCTTTACTACTCGTAGCCGCAGTAGCACTCGACCGACCAGTGGTTCTCAAGAACACGTGCTGCCGCTCCCTATATTCATCCATGGTGAGGAACTTTTCTTGTTCAGCGTGGAAAAGCCTCACTACATCTCCTCCCTTCAGAATCTCTTCCTGGTTCTCTTTATGCTCTAAGAATAGAGTCACTTTCCACGAAGTCGAGGAGTTTACTACGTTCACCTAAGAATTAATCACTTCTAAATATATGAACTTAAGCACTATATTTTTTATAAACGAAAAGCGATGTCCTACCTCGTCTTACACAGTACAGGACACAGTAATGTATCATATGGTACATGTAACAATACTACTGTGCCCGTTATTAAAAAATGTGGAAATAGATATTACGTATAATATTAATATATGTAAATTAAAAATCAATTTTAGATTTTAAAAAAAAATAACGACATTGGACTTGAACCGGCATCCATCGAGCGTTTCGTGCTGTTGTTTAAATTGAGCTACGGTGTCCAACACACCATCGTCGATTTTCAACTTATCGATAGATGCACTCTTGCGTAATCGATTTTTAATTTATAGATTAGCGCATCATGTTTGAAAAACGTCGTTTGAATAATTTGATTAGTTTATATTGTATATATAAATACACTTTATTATTAAGAGAGAATCAACTTTATAACTTGCGTTGAATGTAATTAAAACAAATAATTCTTTTCATTTCTTTGTCAGAGATTCAATCTAAGGTCGAAAGCTTAACTTATGTAACACAATATTTTGTGTACACCCTAATGTATATTTACCTCCATACAACCGACATTGTCTGGCAGTTCGTGATTAGCAGACACATGAAGTACTTGCTGACCAGCGTTCACAGGATTCAGTATCACCTTATCACCAACCACCACATTGTCACCTGTAAAGATTTTTTTATGGTTAATTAATAAAGTGTAATACCGTTTTCCCTTTTTTCTACAAAGTAATATGTACTTACCAGTAGATCTTAGTTTATAGAATGGTATAACGTAAAACCAGGATCCCTCATTTCCGTTAGCGTCTAAGTGGACTCGCATTGCGTTCTTCTCCAATAGGGCAGGCAGTCTTTTGTTTACCTAGAAATCATTAGAAGAAAATTACTCATCACCGTCGAATATATTTTTTTACATATCTACGAAAATAAGGAATTTCTAGTAAATTTTAATAAAACACTTAAACGGCTTAAAACTCAAAATATATTAGTTACCCGTGACCACGGCTACAAAGCATCCGAAGCGTCGGGCCGTAGTTAAAATAATTTGTAAATAAGTTATATAGTTGGCGTTCCAAACCGCTAGTATTTTATTTAAATGTGTATTCCTCGCGTAAACTACAGACAGTTTTTTATTTTAGTAAATATTTGTGAATAGGACACACTCAATAATTTTTTTTTTCAAATAAATAAAAAATGGCTAATTACAATGACTCTTAATAATAAGTGAAAATAATTTTATATCTACATAAATAAAAATAGTAGCAGTAGTAGTTGATGACTCGTAAATGTAATATTTAAGAAGTAGTATAGAGTAGTGGGTAGTAAACAAAGTATGACTCACAGTTAAATATTTGTTACTCTTCACGTGCAGTAGTTGGATCACGCTACCATATTGAACTACTGTGCCAAGTACTTTCGTGTTCTCCATTTCGTTTTGTTTCTTCTCTATCTCCGCTGCATGCTGTAATAAAATAATCACATTTGAATACCATTTTCAATAGACATATATTACTCATTTACATACATAAAGCAATCATATAATTTAAAAATATTATGATGAATAACTATTCGCTGATTCGATGCTAAATAACGCAGACAAAGTCACGGGCACAGCTACTATAATATAAACAAATAGATAAAAGAGGTAAATAATAAATAGTATTATTAAAATTATTTTTAGATACAGACCAGCACAATTAATATCAATGTAGTTTTTTGACCATGAAAACGTAAAGAGTACAATATATATAAAATAAATAATACGTAAATAAATAATTATTTTTATAATTTGATGGATTTTAGGTACTAGCTACTATTAAAAATAAATAAAAAATATGCTTTATATGCTCTTTAAATTTATAAAAATTATTTAGATTACTAAAAAAAAGAAAGAAAATGTTTGTCTGTCTCTCTGTCGTGATTCTACAGAGTGTTTTCGTCTATATAAACGTCGTTCTGTTGTTAATATTAATTAAAAATTATTTAAATAATAAATTTCGCGTTTTAAACCGTGAAGTTTTTTATTTAAAAACCTATGCAAAATCTTGCTTTAATATCGGAATATACTGTTTCATCAAAATCCATTCAGCAGTTATCATGTAAAACTACACTTATGAATATTTTAATTCGACAAATAGCGATAATTTGTTACAAAACAAACTCTTCGCTAACTCATATTGTGTAAAAGCAATAAATATTATTAAAATTTACAAAGCCACCTTTTATTAGAGCGATCTATTCGTAATAGCCCCGCCCCATCCATCAAATAAGCGGGTCGACAGACGCTGAACAAATAATTTCTCGTCAACAGAATCTCTTAGATGTCGGGAATATTATATCTTTGAGAAATAATACACTTGACAGGGAACAGGTATAGTATTTTTAATAGAAAAAATATTTTTAAATCGTCTGTGTATTGGCGAATTCTCTATGGAGATGGAAGAATTAGTTTGATACTTCTACCGAGATGTGTTTTTGACAGCTCAAATAAAGTGTTTCTCCTTGTACATACATAACGCCATTGTGTGAGTCGTAAGATAAAGACAAAGTCTTGTTAACTTTTCGTAATTATTTAGCGGTAAAAAGGACTGTTTTTTTTTATTTGATAGAGGATATGCAATCACTTGATGGAAATTGACATACCCCAGCCATATACCATCTCGACAAGTTGCGCCGTCCATCTCTTTCGGCTTTGGACATTCGGAAATCCACACACCGAAACCAAAACACGATTAAACATCACGGATTTTTCATCTGTGGCTCGTGATCCGAACGGAATTTCGATCTTACTATCACTGATTTGATAAAATTTTGCTAGATCTATACACTGCAGTCTGTCGTATCATGGAATTTAACCGAACACATGTCGTGAACATTCGTTTTTATTTGTAGGCAAGTGTTTTCCCATTCCCTTATGCCACTCCCAACTAGATTCTTTTCAAAATTTTAATGTATTCGTATCCCACAGTGATTAAACTTGTTGCCTGGCATTGCGTTCCAAGATAAACAGTTTCAGCAAGACAGGGCAGAATTCTGATCAAATACTTGCAATTATATAAAACCGTGATCATGGGGGTTTCCCCCGTGACCACGGCTGCTGCAAAGCATCCGAAACGTCGGGCCGACGAAAAAAAATCATTTCCAAATAAGTTTAACTAATATATCACGTTTTAAACCGTTAAAGTGTTTTATTTAAATGTGTACTACTCGCGTAAACTATAGACAGTATTTAAATACTTGCAAGTAACAATTAGTGAAACCAACACCTGTTCGCCCCATACCCCAAAACGAAATGGGATTTCAATCAGTAAGACACGTTTAATAAAATTGAAAACGAAATTAAATGGTCGTAAATCAAAGCCCAATATATCTTACAATAAGACTGTTAAATTACAATGTTAAAAAAATATTTTTTACGTTGTTTGCTAATAAATGTATGAAGCGTTATACAGCTGCTGTATAATCTTTATTATAAACAATTTGAGTGCCTTAATCCGCAACCCATCAGACACAAGTGCTGCATTTAATAACCACTTAGCTTCCATCGTAGACCTCGGGGCACGAGGGATCTTGGAACAATTATATTAGACCACAGTGTGACATTGTTCAACGTGATATATTTGACACGGGATTAGCTAATATTTTAAATTATCCAGTCACCCTATAAAACAGCTGAACTGATTTTAATGAAATTTAGTATGTACATTCGTCAAGCCTAAATAGTTTTTTGCCTCCTTCACTAATATACTACATCCTCACACCCACAATATATTATATACTGTTAGTTTTTTTATACCAATATATTTTCTATAAAATAGTAATTTATTGTAAAAAGCTTTGAAATCTTTTTTCACATGCTATGATGGCTCAGGATAAAAACATTATTAATACTGATACAAATTTATGATAGGCGGGATTCGAACCCACGCCGTGAACTAAAACTGGCTGACCAGACAAACCTTGTTTCAAAGATCTATTTGAATTGATAAAAAAACGACTTTAAATGATCTAAAAAAATGTCCATGACAATATATTATGTCTATCTCTTAAGATTAACTCGAAGATCACATCGACATTGTGGGTTACAGTTATATTTTATAAGGATGAGGAGGACGTTTGCAAAAACAATTTTTAAATATTCTACACGGAGGAAGTTGGTATAGATGTATAAGCTAGTATTCTGTTCTGTTTTCACACTCACTTATAGAGTAGACTGAAATTATAAATTACATAACTAGCTGAGTCAGCGATTTCGTCCGCGTCCTGTCACTCTTGCTTGGATTTTAGGATCGATAGCTGTTCGAAAAGTTCGTCAAGTCGTTCAATGTATACCATCAGACAATTGCCTATATCGAATATTGTATCAACTTACATGCAACCTCTTCAACAGTCCGGTGTCGGTATCGGCGTTGGTGTTGGCTGATTGTTTGGCGGTGTTCCAGAACTGCTTCTGCGCAGAGTAACGGTTCATCGGGCATATTTTGAAGAGGCAATCTGGAATACATTAATCCTATCATAACACCCATCTTTATTGTTCGTTTACGTAACGTCATCTCTCACTCGTTAGTATAAGTTTTCCGCAATTGATGTGTTAGCGATTTTGTTTCATCTGGATACTTTTAAAAATCTTACTGTCTGGTCATCTCAGTGATTAAATACTGTAGGTAGTTTACGCGAGTGGTGCACATTTAAATATAACACTTTTACCGTTTAAAACGCGACATATATTTGTTAAACATTATATATAATATTATGAAATAAAACAATTCCACGGTTTAAAACACGATATATTTTAGTTAAACTTGTTTAAAAATAATTTTCAAACAAGTTTAACTAAAATATATCGCGTTTTAAACCGTTAAAGTGTTTTATTTGAATGTGTACTACTCGCGTAAACTACAGACAGTATTTATTTTATTATTATATACACATTAGTTAGAAACGTCGGACCCTAGTTAAAATAATTTTCTAATAAGTTAAACTAATATATATCGCGTTTTAACCCGTTAAGGTGTTTTATTTAAACGCCTCGGTGATTTTCGTTTAGTGTGGGGTACAATTGCTGAAAAATATAACTGACGCTGAAGTTAGTTAAATTACCCATAATTAAGAAAGAAATGACTTTTATTCAATAAGAAATCTCATCTACGCAACCTAAAGAACCTTTAGCATCCCCTTCGTTATTACTAGGTCAAAATAGAAGAGACACATTTATGTGTCTGTTTTACTAGCGATTCTATTTACGTGCAAATACTTTTCCAGTGTAACACGTTCCGAGTTCAAATTGACTCTATCTAATAAGAAATCTCAACCAGGCAACGAAAAGAAGATCCTTTTATCAACGCTACCCTATTCCCGGGCAATTCCTAGGTCAAAAGAAGTGACAAATAGAAGACCAACCGGGTTCGATTTGACTTAAATAAAACTAATATTCTATCGAGTGTTCGTTTTACACTTGGCAGTTTAACTTGTCTCACAAAACGATTGGACTTTAAACATTCCAATTAAGGTTGACAGACGCGTAATTAGTATGTATTGCGGGCACAATCTTGCAGCCCTTCCATCCTTCTGACACGTGGAAAATCCAAATCTATGAGAATTTATTTCAATTGAGCTAATACTGCGAAAAAAAATTCTAATACTGTCTGTAGTTGACGCGAGTAGTACAAATGTACATTAGCTTTGGATATTTGCATATGGCATAGACAGAAATTGGAAGCAAAGCCAGCCAAAATAGGGCGACAGCACATCTTGTTTGGATGTTGTGTGGCTGGCGTATTCCACCTTCCATTAAAAGAACCTCATTCTTGTCTCTTTTATAAAAAAGTACAACACACTATAAGCGTTAAATATGATTCGGCAATATACTTTACCTCGGAATTTTTTAGGTGGATCTGTAAGGTCGCCGGCTTCTGGGCATACAACGCATCTGTCATCTACCAACCTAGAGTAAAAAACAAAATATTAAAACATCAGTAATATCTAATGAATGTATCGCTTCGTACACTTATTTATAACCGATTAAGATCTTAATTGACAATAATAATAGGGAGCTTATTTTAATTATCTATAAAAATCGAGTCTATAGTAAAATAGTTTAGACGAGTGGTACACATCAAATGTTTAAAACTTAAAATATTTTTAACGATCCGACAATTTCGCTGAAAATTGTATTAAATAATACATATATTATCCTATGTTTAAACCATTTATTTGAAAATTTTAATATTTTGCACATGATGGCACTATAACATTTAAAAATCTAAAATAAACTGAAGCTGACGATGCCGGTTCAAGACCTGCCCGAGTCGAATATCTTTTAAATTTATTTTCGACTTTTAAACCATCAAATCTGTTTCATTTTAACTTTGTTATTGTACTTCGTTAGTAGGGAGTTACACTTCCGCACGTTATTTAACGTAAAATGTTTGTTTTTGAAATGAGTTCAAGCATACATAGCCTTATAGCGAACGAGTGGTTGTCGCTTTCATTAAATTTTTAAAGGATTTTAGAGTGAAAGAGAAAATAACTAAATTTATTACACACTATGTTACCTAGTATTTACTACTTACTCTTTGTCTTTACTACTACTATACTAGCTAGTAGCTACATATAGTAGTAGGTACCTAGTCTATATGCGACATAAAATATGTATTCATAGCAATACAACACAAAATCAAAGCATACCAATCCGTGGAACTTCTGTTTAAAAAGCAAGAAAGAGAACATAAGTAGTAAGTGGAGATAGAGAAATTATATGTTAGATGATAGGGGGGTAATTATCGACTAAGTGATATATATTAATAAGTTTACGCTGCAACATATTTCACAACAGCCTGTACAGATTTCGTGTTCTAGTGCAAGGTTAGTAGTTTATTCACTTCTGTCTCTGTTTGTTCATTTCACATCTTTATGTTTGTTATTTTAGTATGATTAGTATAATAGTTATATATTAATTAGAATTATAGTTTTAATTGTGTCCTTTTAACCGTATTTGCAATGTGTTTCTGTGTAAGACGTATATGTAAAATTATTGTTCTTTTTTAATATGTAACCTATATGTTGTATGGAAACCAAATAAATAAATAAATAAATAAATAAACGATATAGAATATAGTAATGAGAATTCCTCGATAAACCTTAAAGGATAGGGATGTTGACTATTTTGTAATATAGTATTTTAAATTATTAGTAGGTACATTACCTTATTCAACTTACAATTTATTTAAAATATATTTTTAAGCCCATAATAATTTTTTTAAAATAACCCGACATTGTATTAACCTGGTCAGCCTAATGACGTCACGGCGTCTTGAGATCGAGTAAACTGTTACTAAAGTAAACAAATTACTAGAATTAAAAAAAACATGAGCTCTAACTTTTACGAGTGCTGTGGAGGACCTCTGTGAAAAATACAAGAATACCGGAAAAGTTGTTAATTTATGTTTCTCGTTCGTTTCGTTTTCGATTGCATTCAAATTATATTTATTTTTGACTACAGTCAACATCTCAGTAGTTCGTTTTTTTATATATGTATTTAATAAAGTAAAAAAAAGATTTTTTTATTAGGTACTGTGTGTACAAATAAGCTAAACTTATACGAACCCTAAAGTGCTGAGGAAACCAGCGACCGAGCCCTCTGCATAGAGGGAGACGATATCCCCCAGGTGCAAGAAGCTGTCCCCCATCTTGTAGCCTCTCTTGCCCCATGCAATGACACCTGGAATAAAAAGTTTCAAGTAAATAAAACACGATTACTAACAACTACCGTGTGTGTGTTAGCCCTTACGGGACCGTAAGATGGCTGAGACTAACTATGCGGATACAACACAAAATTTTAGCTATTTTTGATGTAATTACAGTAAGATAATATCACTAGAATAGCAGGCATTTCCTATAATTTTATGCGTTTTTTTTCAGATTCATTAAAACAATCGATTAAATAATAATCGAATAATCGATGATGATTTGTGTAGAAGGGACGAATATTTTCGTGTTGTGAATGTTTCCGTTGAGCTTGAAAAGATTAAAAGAGATGTCAATTGAGGTTTTCCAGAACATTTTGGTTGAGAAGGTTATATGCCTCAACAAAGTATGGTGTATTCCGGGAATACAATCCTTTAAAATAACACACTTTAAGGGTTTAAAACGTCTCCCCGTGACCACGGCTGCTGCAAAGCATCCGAAACGTATGGCCGAAGTTAAAAATAATTTTCAAATAAGTTTAACTAATATATCGCGTTTTAAACCTTTAAAGTGGTTCATTTAAATGTGTACTACTCGCGTAAACACTCTCTACCAAACCAATGACTTGTCAGAAAGGCGATCACACAATTCTAGGAAGCCATTTCATTTTTACACTATTATAAGTACACATGTCTGCAATTTACACGAGTAGTACTCGTTTAAAAGAAACGCTTTTAAACTTCTTTTTTTTACCACGGCTGTTCTAAAACATCCAAAATGACGGGACTGGTTTAAAAATACCAACTAATAAATATTGGGTTCTAAACCGTTAAAACGTATTAATTAAGCTACTTATCAGAAAATTGTTCACACAATACCGTAACACTTACTTAAATCTGAGTAATCACTACACATTGAATATTGGACAACAAAATCAACAAGTAAATATTCTTAATGTGTTATCACACCCGCACTTTGGAGAGTACGTTAAGCTTCTGGTTTCGTTAACCATCACTAATTTAGTACCGGTAGTCGATAAAGCTCAATCCATACTGAAGGAGAGTGGAGCTTTTAGTCTTCCTATTGGGGAGATTTATCTCTAGCGATGTTTAAAGCAATGTAAAAAATTAAACAAAATATGTTTTTACGTTAGAAGAGGAGAAAGGAGCTTGGAGTTCACTTATTGATGGAATACCTTAGCCATATAAAATCTAAAACAGATGCGCTGTCCGACCTATTTCACCTTTGGACAATTATTTCAAAGCTTTCCTCTAATCAAGCCAACAATTGAAATCGTAACAGCGCGAGAAATATTCTCTCAATTCATAATGGCATGCAATATTTCATTGTTTGATATCTGATTTATGATTCCGGACTTTCATTCTTAGCGCGAAGCAATACAGTTTAATTTTCCTTGAAACTTGCCTTGTTTGGATACGTGAGCCAACAGTTGGTTTAGATTTTATAGATGAAACATTTTTTTCTCACTGAACTCAGTTTCAGGGACGGCGCGAAAGGTCATCTGTATCAAGGCAATGGAAGTCCTAGATTACTTCTTTTACGAGTACTAATCAAGCGTAAACGGGGGGCACGACATTTCAAGGCAGTATCATTGGCATAATCAATACTAGCTGAGCCAGCGACTTCGCCCGCATACATTAGCTATTTTGGGCGTCATTTTCAAAATTTCGTCTTTATAAATTATAGCTGTTACCCATGACGTCGTTACGACGTTACGTTTTCTCTTAAGATTTACAAAGAATTCATTATTTTGCCCGTCTGTTCCACATTTCCCACTGTTTCTTCGATCCTTTTAGTAGTAACATGATGTTATATAGTCTAAAAGATATAAAGCCTTTCTCGAAAAATGCTCTAACCAACACATTTTTTTTTTCATTCGAACAATTTAGAGCGTCTAAACAAAGAAACTCTTTAATTTTTAATATTAGTACAGATAAAAATTTCAAGTATTAAAAAACATCTAAATTACCTACTACAACAAAAATTAAAACTCGAATCTTCTGTTTGTAATTTTTTTATTATAAACGACAGACAACTTTAGGGCTTTTTGATAGAAGGTGAATACCCCCAAAAATATTGTTAACAATGGGTCTTACAACAGTTTTGAGTGTCTGAAAATGAGCTACATATTGTGGTCGTTCCGCCAATGGACCCACGTGCCCGTGGAAAATGCACTGTACAATTAGTTATTTGAGTTTCCTACGTTTCAGCACCGAATTATTAAAGTACCGAAGTAACTCATCTTTACCTGTATAAACATTAGACAACAAAAATATTTTCGGCACACGTTTTTCATTCATCAATCATTTTACGGGCAGAAACAATGACTTCAAAGGATAGGCGGATCTTCAAACGAATAGACAAAAGAATTATTTCAGCGTCTGCCAAACTAATGACTTTTGATAGTTCTCACGCGATTAACTCTCATAGGATAAAATTAAGATGATGAAATTCGTCGCCTAAACGAATTTAAACACTTCGTTAAGGCAATTAAAATAATAATATATAATATAATTTTTATAAAGAAAAGCAGGGGTCAAACTCCCGACTCCCGACTTTTTTGCTAGTTGGACTAAAAGAAATAAAAAAAAGTGTCTGTCTTTTTACACGGAGTTGGCACTGCGTTTCACTGGACGGTATTACTTTTAAAGTATGAATTTATCAGACTTCTCTATCATGAGGATTTAAAACTAGAACCTCTCATACCTAAACCTAGGTAATGCGATTAGTTTTTTTTAACATGTTGGACGTCGTCTGGAAATATGGTTTTAAATGGGTGGAAGGTATATAGAAATTCCGTCCGGGTCACGTCTACCGTCAACAAGTGAAAAAGCCGTAAAGAATCGTATTTCGGTTCCAGTCTGTGGAACTTCCGAATATGTTTTTCATTCCAAAATAAGGCGACAGCGCGTCTTGTTTCACCTGTCACCATGCATCCTCCTTTATCAATAAAACCAAACCACTCGGAGCGGGTAAATGAAATACATACAGGTTTTTACAGGCGTACATTTTATAGTCATTAGATTAAGCTTAAATGATGAATAACTATTCTTTAATATCCACGGTTTCAATATCGTGTAACACATTCACAATATAACTTACCCATCGTCAATACAACTCGACCAATTTCATTAAAAGCTTCAACATATCACAAGAAATATAGAACGTATGGAGAATCAGTTTATAGCACACTCGCTTCAAGTCTATGAACCAGTAAGTGAAGAATAAGGCTAGCACACCAGCTAATATATAGCATAGCTTACGATTAACAATAACCATCTGAAATCGCACGCGAATCTGCTATTTGACAATTATTTGAGATAAATTTGGTTATTTACAGTGGATTATGTACATTTTGACTATATTATTTTAAATTTGAATTAAGAAGGCAACGATCACGTCACTATGTTGGTTAACGTAATATTTCAAAAACAATAGGTAGAGGTAGAAATATATGGCGTCTGCAAACTTAAATTTAATATTAGTTTGATAATTATTGCTATTAAGTACAATATCTAACACGTTCTGTATCTAGATCAAACTTTACAGTTTACAGTAGGTTTTTCAAAAGCCATAACGATCGTCACGTTTAGGAATAATAGATAACATTTTCATGAATCGCGTTTTCATAAAAACGACCTAGAATGTAGACGTAGCAGTTAAAACAACATTATCGGAGATAATATCTAGCCTTGTAAATGATATTTCGACAACTTTAATGCTTAAAACGTTTCAGCTATTTTCGCTCCTACATAACGCTTTCACATATCCTAAGCAACATGGCGGCGAAATGAATTTAAAAAAAGAATGCCCGAATATTCCTCGAACACTTTCCGACCAAAAAGGCTTTGTTGTCTATTCAGCCAGCACGCGACCGGCCATTAGGTGTCAAGTATTATCTGGCACTAACTTTTCCCGCCTGATAGAGAGATAGGAATCAATATGGGTATGCGTGTTAAACCTAATCAGGCAGTACTTGGGGTTCTGTTATATATAGAAAGATTCTCTCGAGCGTTTCAGCAAGCTCGGTGACCCAAAAACTTCCTTTACACCTCTTCGAGGCCGCTTTTATAAACATAGAAAAGGGATTATGCAGGAATATTCTAGAGTTTTCAGGGGACGTGTTTTTTACGACTCATTTTTATTCTGAATATTAGATAGAGCTGCGGTCGGCTGCGGTGTTTTTATAATAGCTACATAGATGATAGTCTACGGTCTTTTAAAGGTATTTATGGGGTCAAGCCTGTGCTTATTCTAATATAATTATTTAACAAATCAGAATTATAAATCGTATTCAATACATGTATATATATAAGAATCAAAAGGAAGTTATATAGTTTATTATATCTAAAACAATCTAATGAAAATATCTAAACATCTACCATTACAGTACGATCTACTTATTAGAGCATCTTCCGCAAGATTTTAATGCGCTCGCGCAGTTTTCGCAGTGAAGAAAGATTTAACAAGGCAATATACATATAGAGTTCAAAACGAGTAAACATAAGACTAATTCCTCGAATTCGGATAAAAATGTATATAATAATTCAAATGTTAAAACGAAATGTAACTATTAATGCGGTAATCGAAGTCAAACAGGAAAATATACCCAGCTGATAACAGTAATTAATGGTCGATCGCTAATCTTAGGCATTACAGAAATCAAAATATAATATATGTGGCACATATGTAAAAAAAAAGAAGGAAAAGCAATTTGTTATATTTATTTTAGAATTGGATTTTAAATTTTATAGTAACTAGATACTAGTTGCTTTGTTGTATTTTAACTTACATTTCAATAGTTACCAAAAAACATCTGAAACTGTCAGTCACTGTATTTAAAAGTCATTTTAATCCTATACGGTCTATGTTTAATATTAACTAAAAACCATTTCTATAAACAATAGAATTTAAACAAATCCAATAAAAAATTATACGTTATAAGACATACACATATATACTTATACCATATTCTAAATTTCGTTGATCTTCTGTTGCGTATAAAATCACGTAATACAGTAATGAGGATGATCATAATTTGATGTAATCCGGCACAGAGAGAGTTGTTGATCCGCTATCAAACTACGTGCACGGATCGAACGCTCTTTTTTTAACTATCTTAACTGTTTTGTAATATTCTTCAAACCTACATACATAATGTTCTTCATGCCTTTACTTGTCTAAGTCTTAAGTTGTCTGCTGCTCATACGAACTGTCAGGCCGCAGTTAAAATAAATTGTAATGAAGCTAATCTATTTTTCGTTTACAAAATGTCAAATAGAAGTATGTATAGTATTTTATTTGAGCTAATATTTATGTGCTTTTTGCGAACGAACTATAATTGTGAACTTAAGGACTTTTCTACACATATCAGTTTCAACTATCACACACTTTCCACTTCCACGACTGAAGAGTCGGGTGAATACTACCTGTTTTGCATACGGCAGAATTCATCTGTTAGACACTTGCGTTCCACGATGAATTACGGTCGGCCCAGGCTGGTCTCTTTAAACTTTTTACCCATTGTTTATTTTCCTAAGATTATATCTCTTTGTACAGAGTGTAGCATTCGGCGAACACTCTTTATGTGATTCTGTAAAGGGCGGGTACTCACTAGCGCGGAATCCGTAATCAATCAGTTGTGTGTTTGCATCATCTACAGTTTAATCTTAGGTTTGAGACACAATATAATAGAGAAAAACAACGAAAACTAGTATGATATTAGTGTGGCCCCGCTGTGCACACTGTAAGGACTTACTGAAAATCAGTTTCAGGTCAACAAAGGATCTGATATAAGCTGAGTAAGATTCTATCCTACCAAGCACACACCAGTCTTTCTATACTGTTAAGTTATGTTATACTGTGAAATTTAAAGTAAGTTTTATTTTTCAATGTAATAATAGGTCTTATATGAGTTTGTGTAGATAACGTAGTAAATAAATTTAGTTATTTAACTCTTTATTACACAAAATATATTGCGTTCTAAACCGTTAGTGTTTTATTTAAATTCATTTCTTCTTCTTCTGGTTAGGTATATTTATCTATAAAATTACAAGAAAATTATTAATTTTTCCAAAGTTATCAAATAGAAGCGCTAGTACGATATTAATTAAATATGACACTAACGACCTCTGTAGACATTGTCAATCAAGTTGCCTAGCATCGCGTTAAGAGGCGAGAGAAACAAGAAATTGTTTCTAGTTTATAATAATAAAACAAAATCAAATAAAGAGTTCGATAACTAAATAATCTCAAGTCACAAAGGAGTTACAGTTAAGGCTCGTTAGTGAGTACGCGACAAAACATGTCCTATGTAACAGTGAGTACGACAGCAACAAATCATTGTGTTATCTTTTGAGTGTGTGATAACACTAAATGTATTTATATATTATTGCCCATCAATAAAAAAGCTTTACAGCTATTGATGTTCTAAAGGACAAATATGAGAACCCTTAAAACTAAAAATGCTGATATTCAGCTTAATAAAAAGAAACTTAAATATAAGGTTATTTTTTTAAGATAGAACACCGACAATAGTGAACCCCATTCAATATCTATCCCGATGCGCTGTCGCCTTATTTTGTCTTTGGAAATTCGGAAATTCACAAACTGAAATCGAAATGCGATGTTCCTTCACAACATTTTCACGGGACAGTGGATCGTGTCCCGGACGGAATTTTTAGATTATTCAGATATTTTTTACAATCTGATTTTTAGAATAACCAAAACCGTTTTCATTCTCGACCAAGGTATCCATATAAAAAAAAAAACAAAAAAAGTATAGCGCTCGAATCGGAAACCTCCCTTTTTGAAGTCGGTTAAAAATAATCGCAAATTAACGTTACTAACGAAACAATGAACGCTAGCAATGATTGTTGATAGCAGTGTTTCATTGCTATTTTATATTTTATTACTTACTCTATTCTCTACGTAACCTTCAAGTCTATGAATAACGGCTCCGTATTCATAGACGAAAGATCCGTGGCTAAATTGTTTAATGTGTTGCCTAGCATTGTGTTAGGCGCGAGAGGTCCTGGGTTCGAAATTCCCGCCAATCAATTGTTTCGATCGGGCAGGGTACAGACATCTAACCAACTACCTGCTTACCTAAATCGATCAGTGAATGGAACGAACACCAAATGTATTTGCTCATGCCCCACGGGAAGACGGGCGCAACAGAGGCGTTTGAACCACCGTAGGACTTTTAAAATCTTATCAATCTATGTTCCCTTATGTTAACTCCCTCTTAATATAAATCATATTTTATGTCGAAGAAACCTGACCTACGACAATACTCTATAATGCAGTCACACTGGTTTAACTATAAAACAGTAGAGAATCTCTATCTATCTAATGCCTGAAAATAATCTCCAGACGACATCCCTGAGTTACTGGCTTAATGTCAACTGTGGTTAGCTAAACAATTCATAATTAACGTTCTTCACACAATAGCAAAGTTTACCCATCTGTCCTGTATACATAGACTTAGCAAGTGTCAGTAACAATTACCTAAAAACATGATACAGGTGTTACTTACTACACCAAACTTGATTTCTAAGGTAAAGGATAGTTTTTATTTGCACTCGACAAAGTATTTTTATTACAGAATAAAACAATAAGTGATATACATAAAATATACAAACTAAGAAACAAAAAAATATAATATTTCTCATCAATCTTAAATAAATACACCCTGAATTTATTAATTATTGTAACAACTGCCTAGGGAATATAATAGGAATTATATGCAGAGAAAAAATTGTTCAAATACACACTGTTTAAGCGATTTTTAGCCCTTCTTTTAAACCTTATTTTAACCTAAAACATTAACTACACTTTTCCCTCTCACTCAGCCGCCAGCCACGATATTTCCTTTCTAAACATTAACTTGCAGATATACTATAAGTTACTAATTTGCCGAAAGGGCTACCAAGTCTTCAACATGTGTAGTGTTAAGTGGGTAATTAAAAACACTAACAATCTCTGTATACCCTGTGAACACAGTTTATTATCTATCTCAATTAATTAGAAGCAAGGCGCAGAACAACTAACTTCCAGTTAGTGTAATTAGTAAGGAGGTAGATGGAACCGTCTAGTGGCATGAATTACCAACCAAATATTGTATGTAGTTTTGTAAATGTTTTTAATAAATTCCCAAGGTTTGAGTACAATGTCATTAAAGTAAAGGTCGTTTAGTAAAAGTAAAGTTTATTTTACATTTAGTAAACTGTAGGCAAGTCGATAAACATTAGCTACCTATTTTGATAAACATTAATGCTTCAAGTGCCATGAGGTTGGGAAGTCCTCTGAAGCATAATAAGATCTACTAGTGTACTACTACAGATTAAGACATATTTCTGTGTCTGTCCTATACTCCCATACCGAATAGTAGAGAAATAGAATTTCATTTCAGTAATATATTAATTCATAATATTTAAGTTTTGTGAACAACAATCCTTCTTGATAACTATTGTTCATTGCTGTTAATAAATTTTGGAATTATTAATTAGTTTAAAACAATTGTAACTATATTTTCCTGGTTTCTATAACAATTAATTTGTTAAACTTCCAGTTATCTTTTTCAAGTTCAAAGTTATTTTTTTGTCTGTAAGGTTTATGCATCAGCCACACCAAGTAAGATCAAAGTTATAGGCTGATAACTGAACTACAATTAAATCTTATCAGTTGTAGTAGTTGTCAACTTAATGTCAGGAAAATGATTAATATGTTATTTAATATCTTTGCACAAATATCATGAAACATTTAATTAATATAATATCCATTTATAATGGTAAACAGAAATACAGTGAGCATAGAATTATTATTATTACGTAAACAATATGTTTTGCCAAGAATGTTACCTTAATAAAGACATTTTTAGAAATTGTGTAAATGAGAATATCCTTATATTTTCTCTAAGAAGTATTTAATTTGTATATACTTAAAACATCCATTAAAATAACTAACAATAAAGGCTTAATTACTGAAACTATTTGCTGTATCATTCTTTGATTGTTTAAACAATTCTAGATTTAACTTAATATTTTGCTTATTATTGGTGTATTTTTTGTAGGATATAGTTCAATGAAGAACCATTGATATAAGTATGAATATATGCAACACATACAGTAGTATATTAAAATTCTAAAGTCGACATCGCAGCCACTCAGATCGTATAAGAATCCAATAAGTGTAGAATTACGAAATAACGCCATATCATGGGTGATAACTTTATAACCAAATAAGAGAAAAATCCTTACTTAAACACGACTATAAATTGTTTACATTAAAAACCTTAATCTTGTGTACACTGCGACCCCCCGATACTACCAAGATCACGAAATTAAATATGAAAACATTATTCTAACACAATTGCAATGTATTCACCGCCTGACACGGCTTAAAGAAGAAACGGCGACTTACCCTTATCAGACGCTTAATACCACAATCAGAATGATAACATAATCACAACAATATTGACTCAGATAGCTTTTAAGAGATTTATTGCTTTATTTCGACATAAACATGTAAACTTCGACTTTAAATAACAACACGAAACACAAATCACTCCTTCCAACAGAAGGCGCGCCACTGCACTGTGATACCATGCTCAATTTCGTAATTTCCCAAATGTCAAACAAAACAGCTGTTTAGGTTGCCAGAACAAAAAGTAAACGGATTTATTTTCTCCTTAAAAATCTGTTTTATAGTATTAAAACCATTTGCCGTTCCTAATCTTCGTGTATTTATATAAATATCAACTATAACTGCTGCTGTCTGTATCCATAAAGGAAGTTATTCTACCCTGTTTTCTACACTCACTGCAATATGTTGCACATGGATAAGAAATTGGTATCCTTTCGTGGGATTTTTTATTTCGTACAGAACCTTCTAAACATGCTCTCTTGTATTTCTTTTTACGTCTCAATCTTAAATTTGAATCGGAAGCAACAATCGCTAAGACAACAGGCGCTTGATTTTTTAATATCTTTTTTATTCTACTCTGAGAATGCCGCGACTTTGTTATGTTGTATTGTAAACTGTTTTTCCTATCTATCCTTGGTCTCTTGAGTATTGTTTCATAGCTTCGTTGTCTGCCTTTGCTTTTAACATTTCCTGGTTTTTCAGGTAACGTCTCTTCGTGATATCCTGTGAAGCCCCGATTGCCCATACGAGAATTTACATGGGAATGTAAAATAATAGGAACTACTAGGAATTTGTGTTGTCTCAAAATTTTCCTATCATTTTTGACATATTTCATTAAAGACAAATGATTGATTATAATGATAGTAAGTCTGTGGCTAATTTTATTAGTTTCATCTTTATTTGAATACCTACCAAATTTATCAAAATTTATAAACTTCTTCCTTTAAATTCCTAAAAAATAAATAAAAGTGATGTAGACTTTGGGATACTTTTTGGATTAAAATACCTAGAATAGTTACTTCTTTTAATCACGAATACGTCTACAGATAAAGATTATAGGATTTTATTAATGAATTTCTTTTACCTACGTAGATAGATATAATAATTAGGTAATTTATCGCCTGAGTCGCTTAATCTGTACGTGCACGATTGTTGTTACTTTTTATCATATTCTTAATAAGGTAAAAATAGTATGAATAATACCAAATGTATACAGGCAGTTTTGCCAGGAACGCCATCAATAGGTTAGCGGTAGCAATGTATGGAGATATATATTAATAATTACCAACGGTTCGTGAATTGCCTTGTTTTAAAACATATCCCTATAAGTCTCGACATCCTGGAGATTAAAACGGTTGGCAGGAATATTGAAATTTGTTCCGGGTTATGTTTAACCACCGCCGCAAAAAAATAAATAAAAAAGCCTTTATTCATATCCTTGGTTACATTTTTATCTTCAAACTTATTACGATCTTATAATCAAATTAAAAACTATATACTATCCAGAGTTGTAGACCTACGAGATAGGCCTCCCCCATTGAACGCCAGGCCCTTAGTATGGTGATATTGTTTGGCCTAGGAGTAAAAGCAATATTAAACAAACTAAATTAAATTGTTGGGTTAAAAATTTTTTTTTTTTTTTTTTTTTTTTTTTTTTTTTGTGTTTTTTTTTTTTTTTTTTAAAAAAAAAAAAAGAATTTTCGAAACATATCTTTATCCTGCTTTTAACGACGATAAAAAGACAGTAAACAAACACCCTTTATAACGTCAAGTTCAATAAAACACGTATAAATCATATTATATAATCTATAAGGTAAAATTAAGTCATAGTAATTAGCTTGTATAAATAACAAGAGTAGTCGATATGATACATCGAACAGTTCCAGTCCCACTTGGAAGTAGTCAAAATGGTTTGGAAAGTGCTTAGTTTTGCTGTGGCAGTAATATACGCTGGTAATATACCATTTTATTACAGAATTAAAAAAAGTAGTTCGAGTTTGAGAGTGATATGGAAAGAACAATAGGGTAGAGTAAATATAAAATGTTAGTATTTTTTTGACAAACAAAGAAACGGGGGTTCGATTCATAGTAAACCAAAGTAAATTGACCACAGCCCTGTAATGGTGGTGATTGGCAGTTTGGAAATCCACAGACTGAAAGCGAAAAGCTTTATATTTAACTAGCTGTTGTCTGCGACTTCGTCTGCCTGAAAAGTTATTTTGGGCGTCCAAATTCGTTTTTGTAAATCACTTCATCTTTATAAACTTTAGTTGTTACTCACGTTTGTAAGATAATCTTAAATGATATAGCGTCGCGGACTTTTTTTTAGATTATTTAGAGAGGAATTATTTTTTTCATTTTTATTTTTGGGTATCTTGAACCATTTACGCAGCGTACGCCTCGGAAACCCATATGATGAATAATTTTCCGATTTTATTTACATTTCTCGCTGTATCTTCGCTTGTTTTAGCCACAGGTGATGTTTTATAGCCTTCCTCGATAATTGCTCTAACCAACATAAAAAGAATTTTGAAACCGTATTTCCTGAGAATAGCGCATTCAAACATACAAACAAACTCTTCAGCTTTATATATTAGCATAGATGGTTATTGTATCTGTAGATATTGTGGCCACCTATTTAATTTTCAGACATTCCGGGCGGGTTGTGTTTTTAGAAAATGTATAAATGTTTGAAAATGTTAAATTGAAGCAAGGAAATCGAACCTACCGTTTTACCTGTTAGTATACATACCTAACGATCATAAAACCAACCTTCAAATAACTGTTTTTTTTTCCATAGTTTCTGCAGCGCCTCAAAGCCGAATTACTGGCGGCGATCAAGTCGACATCACCGATGTCCCATACATGGCGGCTTTAGTATACCACTACCCCAGGATAAATCTACGAATACAGCGTTGCGTGGGTCCTCTTATTTCTTCTTATCACGTTCTCACCACTGCCTTCTGTTTCAAGTAAGTTTTCTTAAGTGCTGTCTGTAGTTTACGCGACTAAACCTTTAAATAAAACACGTTCAACGGTTTAAAACACAAAATATATTTGTTAACCTATTAAGAATATATTTTAACTTTGGCCCTAAGTCTCGGATGCTTTCAGGCAGTGGTCAGTTTGATCTTGACAGTACAGAGGCCCTCCATCTTCATTTTCATCATGGCATGGTCTTTTGCAACTCCTCTTTCCTTGTTTTGTTTTTATTGGAAATTCTCTACGGATATTTTTAAAATGTTCTAAATTTTTTCTATACACATTATACTTATATTTTTTTTTCATTTTTTTAATTGACTTTCGGATACTTTGAACAGCCATTACTGCGGTCACCACCTTTTAAACCTTAAAGTGTTTTATTTAAATTATATGATATTTCTAAAAAATCTAATCTCAAAATTCAAAATTACATAATATTATGACTAAGTAATGGAAATTTAAATAAAAATAACGACACGGGTATGACCTGATCCCGCATCCACAGCGTTCCTTGCTGTTGCTTCGACAATGACGTGTCATACATTTTTTTCCACCTATTGATACATGCCTTATTTATTGATGAAATATAGGAGGCGGCCTTCTTGCATAGCCACCTAAGTTTTCGAGCTGTTTGGGCGATTTGAAAAATCGTTCTTGACGATTCGGCATCACGAGCGGATGACATTGTGATATGTCTTATCTTGAGATATCTTTGAGAACCATTGTTTTCATTGAGGATGACCGAACAGCTTAAAAACGATAGCTAAGTTCAGCTTAAAATAATTTTTGATTGCTATTTATTGGTTGTTTAATATACTAGCCATGAATATAAAAAAATGCAATAAGTTTAACTAATATATATCGCATTTTAAAGTGTTTTATTTAAAACAATGCAATAACTAAGCTAAATTTTAAATTTTAACAGCGGTGCGGTGTTGGAGAATTTCACGATCCGCGCTGGATCAACACTGAGTCTTTCAGGCGGAGTTACATCAACCATCCAGCATTTGATCAAAAACCCAGGCTTCGTGTCTGAAACGCTCCTTAACGACATTGCCATAGTGTTTGTAAAAGAACCCTTCAGGATTAGCAATGTGATTAGAAGTTTGCGTCTCCCTCCTCAGGGCTTTGAAATTCCCGATGGACGCTCCGGGATCGTTTCTGGATGGGGATTTGACAAGGTAGCCGTGTTTGAAAACTTTATTATTTTTTACATATTATTGCACATGAAGACACTATATAATTTAAAAATCGAAAATAAATTAAAAAAATTTTCCGCAAGTTTAAGGTTGAAATTATATTGCGCGAGAGATGCATGTGTCAATATTTTAAAAAATTCGATTTTTAAATTATAAGGTAGCGTGTGATATTATTATTATAAATGTAATTTAATATTATGTCGATTGTGTGCAAAGGTTATAACGTACGGCGAGATGGTGCCGTAGACCAGGATTTTGACCTCATCTTTAAAAGGGGAGTTTTTTAAAAAAAAATAAAAAGCTTTTGATGTAGCAATATCAAAATATTACCATGGGTTGTGGGTACCATCAAACGAATGTCTCCAATTTTTTTTTTATCTTGTTGGCTTCGTTAGAAATCTGATGTTAAAAGGTATCGAATTTCCCGGTTCGCCTAATATCGCGAATTTAATCTTTATGTGGATCGTTTCAGTCGACAATACTGTTGCACTACCATCAAATGAACTCGTTTCATAATACTGAAACAAATTTTTCAGGAAAGAGTAGACGGAGGTACTCAACACGAATATCTGCAGAGTGTCTTGCTGAGAAAGGTGACTCAACGTGTTTGCACCGAGACTTATGCAAACAACTCAAACGTGACTGTAACTGACAGTAAGTACGAAAAAATATCTACTTAATGAAAAAAAGTAGTTTTAAATTGTTATATATGTTTTCTAAAACCTGCTTGGAAATTAGAAACATTATTTTGACAACGTTCTTTGAGAAAAATAATTGAACTTGCTGTACTGGTCAAGAAGCAGATAGCAATAGTTGTATGAAAATCCAAGGTACACACAGGCACCAAAGAATTAATTTAAATTTTGAACCGAGTTTTCTTCGAGTGAAAAAAAAAACGTTTTTTTTTTAATTTTCGCGAATCACTTAACTAACTAAACTATTTAACCAACTAAATAGAAAAAATCTATTAAGATTAAATACTGCTGAAAAGCTTCCGAAACGTCGGGCCGAAGTTAAAAATCATTTTCAAATAAGTTAAACTAATATATCGCGTTTTAAACCGTTATAGTTGTTTTATTTAAATCTGGGAGCGGGACTTGAAACGGCATCCAGAGCGCTTCGTATTATTGATCTAAATTCTAACCGATTGAGCTACCGTGTCCCATACGTCATTGTCGTATTTCTTCAACCAATGATTCACGCACCTACTCTTATCGTGCAATGTAATTTGTCTCACGATTTCTATATCTAGCAACATTTGAACTTTAAATACCGATTTTAAATTGAAATGTAGTTGCCATTTAAAAAAGTTCATATAATGCGTACACGCTGGTCACTGACGTATTTATTCCTTTTATAGGCGTCTACTGTGCGACTGAGACAAACAAAGGCGTATGTTTCGGCGACTCGGGCGCACCCATGGTGGCTCCCGTATACAGCACTGCAGCATTAATAGGAATATCCTCCTACTACCAGGGATGCGGATCGACATACCCGGATATATTCACTCGGGTGGACAGATACAGTAATTGGATTATGGAAAATGCGGTCGCGCCGAGCGCTAGGAGTTTGGAATTTGACACCCCTCGAATTGCTAATTAACCTTTGTGATATGACGCATGTTATATGTTTTTTTAATGTTTGCTATGTAATAAGTTATGCTAAAAAATAGAGGAACGTAATACACACAAGGAAGTGAGAAATCTGACTAAGTAATAAAGGTTTATTGAAAGTTATATTTCTTTTTTATTTGTAACTAGCTGTACCCCCGACTTCGTCCACGTGGAATAGTAACTTTGGGTAGAATTTTTCAATTATTTAGGCTGTTTATTTATTTATGTATTTAATAAGACACATGTGTAAATATAGTGTTCCATTGCAGAGAGCTTATTAAGGTATTCATAATAAGTATATCCATGGTATAGTGTATTTTTATGTGCTTATTTGAGTTTAATAGTTACTTTCACATTTATAATATTAGTAAGTTCTATAAAAATTAATTACGATACATCCACACAACTTTTCATACCGCATTCAACGACTTACCACCTTTTTTTCGTACAGCAAAAGGTTTTACAATGCAAAAGGCATTTAAGGCAGCCAGTCTGTGTCCTAAGTGCTACTTTGTCGCAACACTTCTACTCCACTCCCACCTCAAATGACTCCCCTCCCAGTCCCATTCTCACTTCCACTTCCACTCTCATTCCCAAAAAGTTAAAGAGAAAGTTTCATAGTTCTAGCTTCAAAAATTTACGAATTTCCATACAAACTTTCATCCCCCTTTTCAACCCTTAACATCTCTTTTGGCATTAATGTATGCAAAATAAATGGCCTCCTTTCTCAGGCTTTAGAATATTTGTGTAATAAATTTAATTTAAATCGGTTCAGTACTGTCGGCGTGAAAGCCGGAAAGACAGATAACAGAGATACTTTCTCGTTTATAATATTTATGTACATTTACACCTCATATATATAACCAAAATCATAAATTGGAAAAATAACAATTTAGCTCAAAGCTGATGGACGTTCCATTTGTGTTGTTTCCACTTTAACATAGCTACAGCAAAACTAAATGATATTCTAGATACATATAGTATATAAGATTGAATGGATTCACCTGATGAACGTATTTTTTTTAATGTAGAAGATGACGGAAAAGCATGGGGTTCAAAGCAAGATGTCCTTACGGCCTATTTTGGCTTTGTATACTCGGAAATTCATATTATTCCAACTATGCGTAGTGGTTCATGATCCGAACGGGATTCCAAAATTCCCACCACCCTTTTTATATCCAGATGGCTCAGTGGGGATATAACTTATGACACGTAGGATTATAGTGTCACGACAATATAAAATAAAGACGTAATATTTCCAAAACTGCGGTATGCCAACACTCCATGGGCCCAACACTACATTCGCTTTGGCCAAATACCAACTTCGACGGAACAGATGGCACTAAGGTAGCAATTTTTTACTTTGACGTCAAAGACATCCTCCACCATTGGTCTCCCCGTGACCACGGCTGCTGCAAAGCCTCCGAAAAGTCGGGCCGAAGTTAAAAACATTTTCAAATAAGTTTAACTAATATATCGCGTTTGAAACTGTTAAGTGTTTTATTCAAATGTGTACTACTCGCGTAAACTATAGACAGTATCTATCCTTTTGTCTAAAAGATGGCGCCGGCGTAGAAGACATGCATCTAGTACTTGCTTATGTATATTTTTTTCTTAAGTAACTTAAAACTAGACGTAGAAGTACAAGCGAAACACTGATGCTACTAAATGTTAAATAGTCTTGGGTATTACGTATGTGCAAGTCTTCGCCTTCTGCCGGAAATTGTTTCGGATATTGAAGGTCCAGGTTCATTCTAGTAGGTAGATAATAGTGATGTAAATAAAAAATAAAACAGAATATACAAAATACATTTATTCAGTAAACCTGTATAAACCAAATCCACGTACTGATACAACATGTATAGATCATCTTTGGACAACTAACGTTAACTTTATACAACGGGCAAGACAATGGTTTCTGTGAAGGCACTACATATTGCTTACTGCGTATATATTACTTAAAGAAGAGTGGAGTTTAAATTAGTATTTTTAACTTAACTATGAAGGGTTATTTTAAAGTTTTAAAGATAGAAATACATATTAAATAATTCACTTAACCGTTTAAAACGAAGTATATTAGTAACGTATTAATGCAGCCTGAGCATGACTTTAAAATGTCTTCGAGTTTTAAACCGTTAAATCTTATACTGATGAAATAGTAACAGAACAAGAACTGAGAGAATCAGTTAAACTAAATTATATACAAAATATACGCAGCCTTATTCTAATTTTTCCTAAATATTAGTTGAGTAACATACAGATAACGCTTAGAATTCATTTTTCATTCGGTGGTCCCATGTTCAAGCTATTTCATTATCAGTCAAAATATATCTAAGGCTCTTCGCATACACGACTGTTTTATATAGTTCATAGGTATAGCATAGAAAAGAACACAATTGTTTTGTCGTATTGAAAGTAACGTGTGGACGAAGAGCTTAATTATTATAAGATTAGTTCAAATTTTATAAAAATATGGTTATTCTATGTACAATATAGGCGAGATTCGGAAGTTGGTTAGATTTTTTAATTGAGATTTTGAGCAAACACCTAAAAAGTGCCAAATATATGTACCTAGTGCGTGTGGTCCCATATAACAGGAAACTTTACTTAAAGTAAATAATGCTTAGTTTTAAGCAATAATGGAACCTATATAAATAAACTTAGCAAGCTTAACATGATAAACTAACGTAATATTGCTATTAATAAACTTAGCTCATATCTTTATATATCTAAAAATATTAAAGCTATATCAATTCTAACAATTTATATTTGATCATTTTATAGTACCATCATTTAGTTTTAAAATAACTACATTGTATTTTTTCTAATTCGAGGAAAGACTATAACAAAGATGGATCGATTCCAAACCATAGAGAACTAGTGATGACCTTTTATAGAGTAAAGTTGATGCCACAGATGATACAGGGATAAAGAAACATCTATTAGTTATGGACCAAACGACCTAAATATGCCAAATCACTTTAATGGCGACATTTATTTATATGGTTACGTCACTATTATTTAACTCGACGTATGTAACGCTTTTCAGCGAGACTTCTACCTTCTATTGTCGTTGACTTTGCCTACATCCCCGTCCCTATGTAAATATCGAATTTAAGAAATTTTAATATGTTTCTTTATGTAAATTAAATTTTTGGATTTTTTTATTAGTTTAGCATAAAATTGTGGATATTACTAAGCGAATTTGAGGTAGTTTTATTAGTTTAATATATAATTCCGTGTGGATTTGTGTAAATCAATGTGAGGAAATCACATTTTATGTTTATTGTCTTGTCGTATACCAAAAATTTCAAGTTAGAAGAAAATACACTATAGTTATGTACTAGAGCGTACGTTTTGTAACGAAAGTAACGATACAATATGTAACGGGTATTATTTTAAGTCTATTAAATTGCTCTAACTGTGATGACACACGTTTATAGTATAGTAAGAAAGCAATGCTTGACTTTCTTGTTGTAACAATAATATGTTATTTCAAGATGAGAACTATCAAAAATAGCAGTTTATCTGTAATGCTATATACAGGAGATTTACTCTTCTGTATATAGCATTACAGACTTGACAGTGACTTTTCTAATCAGTCAGAAATTCTGAATCCCGTGAAAGGTATGGGGCAGACATAACTGTGTCAGTTTCAATGGTAAAGCAATTTATACCAATTTATAGTTACAGGTGGTTAAGGTAGCAATTTATAGAAGTTCTGTCAAAAGCCTGAGAAAAACAACTCATCGTTCTCCTGAGATTCGAATCCAGGACTTAAGTTTGAACGCAATTCAACCATTGAACTATGGAGACAGTATGACAGATAGAGCCTTATAGATAGAATCTTTACGTTAGAAAAACCTTGTAAAAGGAATAAAAGATATTTGATACGTTCTGCATGAAGTCACTTCTCTTACAGTCTTACTGCTTGTAGTCCAGTCTCTTCAGTCGGGCGGTAAGACCGTAAGAGTTACCGTCGTCCCTGATCGTTTAATTAGTGCCACCACTTCTGGATGTGGCAAGTTACGAACCGGTAAATGGTTGATGGCCACTATAGTGTCCCCGACGTGTAAGAGGCCGCAGCGAGCTGCTGGCGAGTTGGGGATAAGTTGACCTAAAATAAAAAAAATTGAACTAAGTAACTAAAATGTGATTTATCTTACAAATCAAGCAACTGGCTAATCAATGAGTCGTGGGTTTGCTCACCAGTGGATCCAACAAGTTTACAATAAATTTATATTTTTTCTGAAACATGGCTTCGTCTGGAAATCCGCGAATTAAACGGGCGGTAGGAATATATTCATTTAATTTATGATTTTACAGCTTCTTACCGATGGTGCTGGTAGCTTTGTTAGTTGAGGAGATCACAACAAAGCCAAAACCCTCCCCTTCGCTCCTCGTCACCGTGACGTCATATGGCACTGTCCAACCGCTACTTGCTTCATATTGTACGCCGTACCTAAAATGCGATACAAATTGTTGAAATAAAACTATTTATATAAACTAGATTGAAGGCTCAGTTGAAGTTAATAAGCGCGTTTGAAATCTATCTATATTTAATTAAAATAACAGCCAGCCCAGCCTTAAACTAAGGATACCTTATAATCGTGACTTATCACGAAAGGACTTGATTTTTTTATTGTAATAACTATTTTCCAAAATAATATTCCCCAATATTATTTTGGAAAAGTATGATGGGCACACATGATGAAAAATTAAAGTCCTTTCTCAGGCTGTGTACCAAATTTTATTTAAATCAGTTCAGCAGTTTCCGACTTAGACGGATAAACAGAGTTACTTTCGCATTTATAATATTAGTATATAGATTAATTACTTACATTGGCATATGTGCCGTAGGTGGGTACATGGGCGCTGGATGCAGAATATTATATGAGGCCGGTATGTGTGCAACGGGCGGCTCCGCACTTTAAATATATTAATACATTGTACTTATCAAAATCGGCCAAGAGCGAGTTACATTTGCGCACAAAGAGTACCTATTACTAGGAATGCCTATATGTTTACTGCTTATTGACATCAAGTAAAAGTAAGCTAAACATTTAATTATTGTGTTCTATCTAAATAAAGATTAGGTACTAAAATTAAAGGTAATTCTATTGAATCGATGGTATTAGGGTTCTGAATATACACTACGGAACCCTAAAAATAAAGAAAATCACTTACGCAATCATAGGTTGATGTTGATGATTTGGGACGACTGCTGGTATCCCAAGAGGTTGAATATCTGCTCTATTGTGTCTGACACCCAGGGTTACCTACAAACACCGTACAGATTAATTTTTGTATGATTAAGTTTTTGACGTGCTTTTAGTCTCATGGTACCAATGCATTGCCAATAATATGATTACGGGTTCGATTCCCACCAGGTCCAATATGTTTCGATCAGGGGAGCAGACAAATAAATGTCTTTATTTATCTGCTTCCCTGACCGATTTTATTTGCAGACGTTACTATGGTGCATCGGGATTTAAACGCAAGACCTCTATCGCTTATCGTTGTTTATTTAACCACCTAACTACGATTGCTCGTTTGGTACAAATAACAAAACAACTTGCTTAATACACTTCGCGTTTTAAACTGTTCAAATAATTTAAGTACGATTTATACTCACATGCCCTCTTGTCGCCGCTTGACAAACGTAAGCAACGGCTCGCGCATGTGTAGCGCCATTTAAAGGGATCCCATCCACTGAAGTCAATAAGTCACCAGGACGCAGGAGGCCGTCTGCTGGACCACCTGCACAATTTCATCGTGAGTTTCAACATTTCAATATTTAATATATTAGCTAATATTACGTGTAGATACTGTCTATAGTTTACGCGAGTAGTACACATTTAAATAAAACACTCTAACTGTTTAAAACGCGATATATTACTTAAACCTATTTGAAAATGATTTTTAACTTTCAGCCCGACGTTTCGACGAGTTAAAAATCATTTTCAAATAATTTAACTAATATATCGCGTTTTAAACCGTTAAAGTGTTTTATTTAAATTACGTGTAGATACAGTTTCTTACATAATAATAAAATAAAGAGTGTAAATTTGAGGCCACAAGTGTTATTTGAAAAATTTTTCGTCGTTGTGTCGTTCGTGGCGTAAGAGATTTCGCTTATGTTAGACAAGACAAGCATGAGGGTCACTAGATGGAAGGTGATGAAGCGCTGTTGGCTTATTTTGGCTTTGCATATTCGAAAATCAATTTGTGCGAAACTGAAACGCAATTAAACTTCACGGCTCTATCGGTCGACAATGGTTCGTGATTCGGGTGGAATTTCGATATTCGTACCAACCACCCATTTGATAGCTTGATTTCCAGAGGTCTCCAAAATGTTTCAGAAAAGTTAAAAATTTATTAGCTGTGCCCGCGACTTCGTTCGCGTGGAATAATGAATTGGGGTAGAGTTTTTAATTATTTGGGCTGTTTTTTTATTTATCTAATTGCGCATTTATCGCAGCCAATCTATGTTGTAAGTGCTAATTTTCCCGCCACATTTTAACCTCGCATCACTCCTACTCTAAATCCTACTCTCACTCCCACCCCCACTCCTATTCCCAAAAAGCCAAGAAGAAAGTTTCATTGTTCAAAAACCACAAATTTCCATACAAACTTTAACACCTTTTCGCAATAAAAAGTAGCCTATGTTCTTTCTCACTGTCTAAACCATCTGTGTACCAAATTTCATTCAAATCCCTTTAGTAGTTTTGGCGTTGATTATTAGACTTACCTTTACACGAACGAAGCCCGCTAACATATGGAGGTCTAGGCTCTTTGACCTTGTTTACCAAACCTTACTTACCTGGTACGACGTATCCAACAGCAACCCGACTCCCATCTTCAGTGCCGCCTACAATACGGAAGCCGAATCCAGCACTCCCACGTGCTAGACGAACTAAAACATCCGCTTCGGGGTCTGTGGAACCGCCAGCTTCAACCTAGCAAAAAGACATCAATACTGTTATAAAAATTCACTACCTACATTGTTAAATACTGTCTATAGTTTACGCGAGTCACGTGGTCACGTGGTCTCCCGGTACCCACTGCGGCTGCTGCAAAGCATCCGAAACCACGGGCCGAAGTTAAAAATCATTTTCAAATAAGTTTAACTAATATATCGCGTTTTAAACCGTTGAAAGTTTTTCATTTAAATGTGAACTACTTTCGTAAACTCCAAATTAAACATATTACATAATGTCGTTAATTACCTGTGGATAGTTAGCCACATAACTGGCTTGAGGCATTTCTCCATCAAAACATGAGGCGGAACGATGTGAAACGGGTGAATGGATGTGTCTGGACGGAGACGGGTCCCGGAGCCTGTGAACATGAAAGAATAAGTTGATCAAATATAATTTTTAATCAGATCTATGATGCTTTATGATTTAAGTTGAAGTGTCGCTGTGAATGAATTGTTTGGATCTATATTCAACACTAACTATACTCGTGACTTTGTGTGCGTAGAATCATATTATGTATTTTTGCAAACAACCTCTTCAGCTTTATAGATCTTGCGAGTTAAGATGGATACCCCCCAAACATGAATAACATCCCCCCTTTTTCCACGTTTGCTGGTGTTTCTTCGCTACTATTGGTTACAGCTTGATGTTTTATAGCCTTCGATAGATAGTCCGTCACATAAAAATATTTTTTTCAATTCGGAACAGTAGTTTCGGAGATTTACGCGTTCAAACAAACAAACTATTCAGCTTTATAATATTAGTATGGATTTTGGGTCACATCACTCCGTCACCACTTTTCTTATAGATCACCAGAAATAAATTAACCGATATATTTCGCGTTTAAACCGCTTTAAATACTAATTAAATCAACACCTTGAACTACATAAGCACTTACCTCGCGTAAATAACAATAGTTATGGGCTTACGTCCTGTTTTAACCCTTTGTATTAAGCATGAAACAGATTAGTGCACAATAAAGCTAAAATAATAAACAACTAATTAAACAAGCGAAAGTCGAATCCAAGACCACAGGATTAAGTTAGGAGAGCAATGCATGGAAAGCTCTAATCGTTTGAATACTGCTCATGTCATCACGTTTTTGAAATTTAAATAATTATGTTATTGTACATCAAACTAACACGCGAAAATGATATTATTTTAAAAGCTAAAGTTAGTTAATCTACTTTGTGTCATCGGCTTTTTTGTGAAGACAAAAAAGTTTTCAAACGTAAAACTCTGTAATTTCATCTTCAATGATTTCTTAAGATGCAACGCATAAGACATTGGACTTCAATGCGGAAGTATTAGGGTTGAAATTACATTGCGCGTGAGATGCATGTAGCAATTGGTTGAAGAAATTCGATGATGACGAGTAGGACGGTATTTCAATTGGTTAGAGTTAGACAAAACAAAGTGAATGCAGGTACAAGTCCCGGCTGTAACATCAATTTTTTTCCATCTCAATTGATTTTCAAGTTATATAATGCCATGAATGATATTATAAAGTTTTAAAACTGCACTTTATTTGCTATATTTACGATATTGCCCATTTACCTAAGTGGAGATCCTTTTATCCTCCCATTAGATGAGTTGTTAGAAGGAGACTGGCTCTGCAGCCTTGCTGATGGAGAATTATTTAGGAGTCTGTCTGTTGCACTTGTGTTGGACGGCGAGTTACTTCTAAGACGACCTGTAAATACAATTTTCCATACATATACGTATATGATAAAATTTGTGTATGTAGCGTAATTATTAAATTGTTCTAAGTTTGGTTAAACATATTAATTTAAATTAAATAAAACACTTAACGGATTTTTACGCGAAGTGTATTAGTTACTTATGTTTACTTTATGCCATGCAACCCCCGTGGTAAAGCATCCGAAACGTCGGGCCGTAGTTAAAAAAAAAAGTAATATATTTCGTGTTTTAAACCGTTAATAGTGGTACATTTAAACGTGTACTAGTTGCGTTAACTACAGACAGTTCATAGCTCTATGTTCTTTAGACTATAGCGACGCAGAGACTATGTTATTTTTAGGAAGAACAAGAAATAACGGAGGTATAAAACATTTACCTTTTTTTTTTGATCAGGGTTATGAGCACTTTACTTTGGGTAAGGATATATAAAAAAGTGATATAATATAATAATTATAATGTCGAGAGAATTTTTAGTACAATTTCAAAATATCATTAATAATACCTGTAGAATTAGAAGGTGAAAGCGGCCTAAGACGACTGTTTGAAGGCGACTGTCGGTTTAGGCCGCTGATGGCTGCAGTTGTTGGCGAATGGAGGAGGCCATCTTCAGGAAAACCTGCCAATATTTAAGACATTCAGTAAAATAGTATGTTATGATCATCTATCATCAAGACAGGCAAGCGTAGTGTTCACTATGATAGGCCATATAACATCTAAGCAGGATGTGTTGTCGATTTTGTTTTTGCTTATATTCGGAAATCCACAGACGGAAACCGAAACGCAATGAAACTTCGTGGCTTTTTCATCTTGAAACTTGAATTGGAATTTCGAATTAATATCTAGACTTAAATAAAACACTTTAACGGTTTAAAATGCGATATATTAGTTAATATTTGCAGCAGCCGTGGTCACGGGGGTCTGCCCATGCATCCAAAACGTCGGGCCGAAGTTAGTTAAACTTATTAGAAAAATCATTTTCAAATAAGTTTAACTAAAATATCGCGTTTTAAACCGTTAAAGTGTTTTATTTAAATGTGTACTACTCGCGTAAACTATAGACAGTATTTAATATCCAGACTTTCAGACGAAGTTTCAGAATTATTTAAAATATTATTGATTAGAAACATGTTGGACCTGGTGGGGTTCGAACCCGCGTTCCGTTGATATAATGATAGCAATACATTACTACCATAATATCAACGAGCCAATCTCAAGTATTGAGGTTCAATGTCTTATGCTTTGTAGCTTAAGTAATTCTTTAATTAAAATGAAAATAAATTGAAAAAATTTTCGACTCGGGCAGGGACTTGAACCGGCATCGTCAGCTTTCCGTGCTGTTGCTCTACCAATTGAGCTACCGAGTCCTACACCTCATCTGATTTTTTCAACTTATTGATACATGCACCTCTCGCGCAGTATTATTCACCTTAACATGCGCCAAGGTTCAAGTTGTTTCTTAATTTATAGTTTGAAAACATTAATATTTTTCACATGTTTGCACATGAAGGCACTATAATCATCGAAAAAAATTTTTTTCTATAACAATTCTATTTATTTAGAACTAACCCCCATTATCACTACTATCCGCGACACTAGCATTGCCTCTCCAGTACGCTGCATTCATATCGACGTGCACAGTGGGCGTCGGAACTTCCCCCCAATTATTATTCCATCTCTCCCCGTTTCCCTCCCAATTACCATTGCTCGTTCCCTTCCCCTCCCATTTCTGACTCGCCCCATCCCACTTTTGCGCATTATCATCCCACTTCTGTGCGTTCTCTGCCCAGTTGCGGATATTATTGGAGTTGTCTATCCAGGTCTCGCGTTCCGTCCAGTTGTCTGTCTGTTCGCTCCAGGGCGTGACAACTGGTAGGGTTAATCTGGCTCCAGGCGTAGAACTTCTGCGTCGTCTGTCCATTAGGCTTTCGCGGGTTTCTCGCGATTTGTGTTCCGGTACCGCGTAAGTGGCTTCTACTGTAGGGAAAAGAGAAATCAATTGATTATATCCATTCAATTATATGATATTGTAAAATTATTAATACTACTGTTTTGATAACTTTCCAATTAGATGTTGATTTATAAATATTTAATAATATTCTAGTTACATTATAACTAAATTCTATAAAAGGAAATCACTCATATTGTTTAATGTTAGAATCTATAAAGTTACCAGAATTCATCTCATTCTGTCTACTTCTTATTGGATCGGAATTGTTCAGCGCTGGTGACCGCAGTTGTTCTGCCGTCGGCGTTTTACTTCTTCCCAGTTGTGAGTTTACAGCGTTCGCTGAAATTAAATTATTTTTGTAACAAAATAATTATATAAAAAGTGCCGCAGCTAAAAGGAAAAAAGGAGCTAAATTATTTTTGCATATCATAACGAATAATAAGATCGAAAAGGACTTTCGACCGAATTTATTTATTATATTTCTCTGGAACTAGAACCCGGGACTTCTCGAGCTAAGGTACTGCTCCCGCCACTCTGCTGGGAGTGACGACGGGTCGATGTAGAACTATCATTTTATAACTTACTATTCGTAGGTTGAACCCTAGTTGCTGATCTGCTTCTAGGAGCTCTTGTTATTGTGTTCTTTCTCCAGACCCGAAGAGTTGTTTCAGACATAGCGGGACATTCTTTAAGTACCTGTGATGAAGAATTACGTTACAAGTGACAATAAAAACAAATTGAGCAATTCGAAATCTTATTAAATATTCTGAACAAATGACGCACTGAAATAAAGTTACAGTATTAGGTCCTGTTTTTATCTTTTGCTTACGAAACCATGGTAATGTAGATGACATAGAAATTATGTATGACATAATATGAATGTGTGTACCTGAACAACACGTTGATGTGGAACATGACGTACGTCTGTATCACCAATTTGCAATAATAGGTCACCTTCTCTTAGCCCTGCACAACGGCCCAAATCTAACACCTGTAATCATTTTCTTTAAGTATCAAGGAGTCGGTCTAGGTTATCATCAAACTTATGGAGTAGAAAGATAGAAAAAAATTGTTTCATGACACAAAATTAAAAGAAAACAAACAGTCGCCTTAAAGTTAAATCCGTAAAACAAAAATTTTGTGGGGGGATTCAGTCACAGCTGATTGCTTCACGAAGGAGATCGCACGGCGCTGTTTTTCAGTCTGTTCACTCTGACCGAAGTTCCGAAAGGTCTAATTAAACGAATGCGGATTCTAATATATACGTTGATTGACAAGGACGATTTTTTAAGTAGCGTGGTGGTTCTGAGTTCTCTCACTAAATAAAAGGAGATCGGTAGTGGAGTAGTGGAGCATTTATATGAAAAAAAATTTTTTTTAGTTTCGAAGTAGGGCCACGTTTTATATTTTTATTAGGCTATTAAAAATAAAAAATATAATTGTTTCAAAAATACAAACTTACGCATTTTAATATTTATTTCAAGAACTACTGACCTTTTTAACTTTTTGACCATGTACACTGTCGGCAATGGTGAAACCGAAGCCGGCTGCTCCTCGCCTAAGTGTCAGTACTAGTTCTCGCCCTGGTTCGGTTGTTGCACTGCGGTGTTGGTGATCTAAATAATGAAACAGATGCATCAATTCTAGCCACATCACAAATACTAGAAGGATATGTACTAATATTGCCCATTAGATAAAAGTAAAAAAAAATCTACTCTCTACGCTAAAAAGACAATAATTCCTTTTATAATTTATCACAATTTACCTGTAGCTAAAGTAAGCAAATGATCAGCGGACGGGCATCTAGGGGGTAGCGAGTTTGCTTCCGTTGTAGGTAATTCGTCCAGATCGAAGGAGCGGGAAAGCAGACGGCGCTGTGACGGACTACTGACGTCACGGGAATTATCTGTTTCGTCGCGGCTCTGGTCGTTTGGGGAATCCAGATTGAATCTAGATAATCATGATCTTACATTAGTTTTCACACCCTGAAGAGTCAGTTTGTTTGGACGCGCTAATCTTAGGAACTGATCGCAATGAAAATCATTGGGAGGACCATTTGTTGTGGAAGGTTTTAAGGTATATGACATCACGCTGCAACCAATAGGAGCAAAGGAAAATTATTCATGTTTAAGGAGTTCCATTACGTGCGCTGCGAAAGCAGTTCAAGAAACCAAACGATGTATATATGATAGAATGATGCCTCTTTAAATGATCTACGACAGCATATCTTTTAAGATTAACTTGCAAGAACTGTTTCTGTACTAATCGAATTTGTTGGAAATAAATGTATTATTACCAATTATTTGTTAGACTTGTATTAACATAACAACATTAATTTTGCAAACACTGCGTTTGCTGGATCAGCTAGTCAGAATATTTTCTCATGCTATGCCAGTAGTATTCACATTTATAAGGGATTTTTTAAAATAATTATATTCCCACAGATTATGATAACAATATGCGTGCATATAGTAAATATGAGATTACCTAGTCCGCAGTGCTCTAGTAAGTTGCTGCATGGCTACAGCATCGCTGCTTGCGTCCACTGCTAGTGTACTTAGCACTCTTGTGTTTGGATCCTCAGAATCGAAGGATAGAGGATATCCTATAAGAAAAAAAAATACACTTTTGATGAAATTAAAACTATATTTTCCATTATTTGCCCCCTTTTTCAAGGGAGTTTTAAAATAATATAAGTATAGACTATAAGGAGTTTATTGAAGTTTTTAAAGATTTATAAAATTTGTAGTATTCATTTAAAACCTAAACGAAATTGGTGTCCACAAATGAAAAACTATGATGCAGAATCGACAGAAATGGCGCTGCCCCTGCGGGGTTTGAGTTGAAAAAAATAGAACGCTAGGACTTGAACTGGCATCCACAGCGTTCCATGCTGCTGCTCAAACCGATTGAGCTACCGTTTTCTACACGTCATCATGGGTTTTTTTTTTACCTTTTTGTAGTATTGTTAGTTCGTAAAAGCATTGGATATCTTAATTTTACATAAAAATATACAAATTAATTTTAAAACCAATTAGTAAATGGACTCAAAACAGGAAAAAGTATTTAATGAGCTATTTGCATTTTGTTACTGTTCATCATTGCAATGATTAAAAAACACTACTTCTCGTATCTCATATGATCAGAATTTTCATTCATTAGAAAAAATATATTACAGCTTTAATTAAAATACCTCTATCCGCAAACTCAGATGTTAGAGTTTTAACAAGGTAAATTTTGCAGCCTTTAGCGCAAAAGAACGAACACAATACACACCTCTGACAAAATGCAAAGTTACGTCACTACCAGCTGCTATGCCCTGGAATATTTGCGCGACCTGCGCGTGCGACAGTCCACGAACACCGAGGTTTCCCACACCCACTATTACATCGCCAGGCCTTAAAGCTCCTGTAAAGGAAACAGGTTATATGACAGTTACAGTAAGTACTTAGAGAAAATATTAGGAAAAAGAATATTTATTAAAGATATGCAGGTATTTCGATAATATAACATTCTTTCATTTAAATAACATCATTTCCATTTATTTGCGTTTCTTAATATATTAATCTTCAACAGGCTCATTGGTCTAATGGTAGCAATATGGTATAGCTTATAATAATAATCAATGGATCATGGGTTCGGTACATTTTATAATTTCTCTGAAACATTTGGGACTTTGTCTGGAGATCTGGATATAACTAAAATAGGATAATCTGGATATTACTAAAATAGGATAATTTGGATATAACCAAAATAGATTGACAGAGCAACTGATTGAGATTTTTATGGATTTCACCCTTCATCAAGAGCACATCATGCTTGTCTGTCGTCCTTTATCACCAAAAATTATAAAAACAAGATAAGTACAAAAATTTGCAAATAATATAATATTCATTAATTATTAATATTATTGTAGTAATTAGAACCACACCAAGAGTTCAACACCACACCAAGGTCACGGCTAATTAACTCTATACAAGGCTGATCTTATATAATATACCAGTAGTTAAAGTAACTATAAATATTTAATTTATTATAAACAGCTAACCGTCTATCCATGCTGGACTGTGTGGAACTATGCTTCTTATTTGAAGATAGCCCTCGGTTTCAGGTGAACCTTCTGCACCAATCAATGTGAAGCCAAGACCCTGTAGAAAAGAGAAATTACAGAAACGGATTCCAGGCCTGTCTAGAGTCAGTAGTCGAAGATATATGTTGCTAGAGGCAGAGTGGCCTGAGTACAAAAAAAATGCGCAATTAACTTAGAGGAAATTGAATTTGTATAACTGTTATTTTTGCGTAAAAAATATTTTAACAATTTTTCACTTTTGTAGATTAACATTTTTAGACTATAAAAATATAAATAACTCAAGTCATAAAATTTCAGTTAGGCTACTCTGTTTCCAGCTGCATCATAAGGAATACAAGAATGTACAGGTCTTGTCTTAATCATTATTTTCATATTTGCGTATGAGAGTTCAAGATTCATAAAGTGCATCCTAATTTCAATTAAGTTTTTGGCAAAATGTAAATGGTACCTGCGTTCCTTTTGTTAGCGTCAATGAGAATCTCTCTCCCCTTAACTCTCCAGTCGGTTGAGTTCCATTCGCCTGATTGTTGTTATTACTTTCCGCTGCCAACTTTTCCGCTAATACATGAATTGAAATATATTAACAATGAATTTGGCTGGCACCATAGATGAAATGGATTTTTATTATATCTATAGCATGTTACATTCTCCTAATCATATCTCTATAAGACAACCTGAATTCTTATGTCTTATCTGAGAAATGTTAATGTCTGGTAGAAAATCAATATTGATCATACCTCTCAACCGCCTCGCCTGTAGAACTGGATTTTCATACTGTGTTCGTCGATTAATATGATCCACGTAATAAGAACCATATCTTTCATCAGTGACTCTTTCCCATCCATATGGCAACTCATCTTCACCACATTCACCCAAAGAATGCTTCCTCACCCTAGCTAAGCGTGGGTCTAGCCAGTGGGATGTACCGGTGTTATAGCTAAAATGTAAGATTTTTATTTAATAAATTATTTAATTTTATTCTAACTAAGTACTTTATATTATAAGCAGTAAAACTTCAGACAATGGTAATGTCCGTTTAGTTATTAAAAAACACATATTATAACAATAAATATGAAGTATTTTATAATGAGACATATAATATATGAAATATACTAAAGAAAAACTATCAATAGAACACCAAATAACCTATTACAGTTTAACACTGTAAATAACAAATTGGGTTTTTGCTTAGCAAATCCAGGTGTATATGGAACGCCTTATTCATGACCTGAATATATCTTTATGACATTGGATTAGCACCAAAAGCAGTCCTTTGTATTGGAGTGTGGAGGAGTTATGATTTCAAAACTTGATTGTGTGTGATAATTTAAACAGCATCAGCAATAATCATCATGTAAAAGGAGAATTTTAAAGCATCAAAGAAATAAGTCCTTGTTTGCACTTCTAGATAACAAAAAAGGTTTGCACCCAATTTCCCAGTTCAAAAAAAAACCCTAAAAGGTTTCCCCCTTTTTTTATCAAGTATTTGTTAAAGTATGCATATGAGATAGACATAATTTTGAATACAAAGTATTGAAAATGTCTAAACAATTATGCTGTTTTGAAATGTTTGAAATTTATTAACTAAATAAAAACTTACTCTATGAAATACCTCTCTCCAGAAGGTGTGAATGCTTTTTCCCACATTGGAGGTAATGGTCCCAAATAATCATCTTCATCCTCCCTTTTATGGCCTTGATCACCAACTCTAACACCAACAACAGATCCACCAACAGTCCCCGCAGTACCAGAGCTGTGAGTCGATATTCCAGCTGATGATAATCTGTCGGAATCCACAGAACTCTGCGCCATTTTCACACCGTAATCGGAAACTCTTTTTAAAAACTCCAGTTCAAAACACTGTTAACTGTTCCAATTTTCAAATTGAGAACAGTATATTTTTCTCAACAGCCAGCATTCTTGACAGTTCACTCATCGGATCTAAAGACATTCCGCAAAAACAAAACAATAGCGGCATGCGGGCAAGCCACTGACCAGTTATGAGTCATTTTGGGCTCCAGGTGACTGTTGCGAACTTTTTGTCAATAAAACAGTTCCACGTAGTTGCACTAACTGGATTTTCTTAATTCACCGTTCAACCGTGTCATAATTACGATACTAGTCAACTAATAAGTATATACATCCAACTTGCGATGACACTGCATTGCAGGCTGCAGGTGCATCGTAACGAATTCTTTAAAAACAACACGTAATTAAGTAGAAGGGCTTGCATAGAATTGTCGTTACTATAGATCAGATAACACTAAATTAAGGACGGGCTCTTAACATGCTAATTAGATAACAAGTTCACTTTCTCACAGAAAACAGGTAAATTCTTTATCTTTTTGAAAGTAGGTGCAACAAGTTGAACTTTGAAGGAAGTGTAAAAATAAAACGAAACAAAATAAGACGGTTGAAATGGAGCGACTTCGGATTATTCTACGATTGTGCGAGAGTAAAAGAGACAGGTGCTTATCGACATTTTCTGTCAGTGCCCACAGAGAATAAAAACGTAAACAGACTTTTAAGGTTAACAAATTAGTTTATTTTATATCACAACTCAACTGATAAACTTATTAAATGAATGAAATGTTATAAGTAAGAGGTATATATTAAGCTAATTACCAATAAATATACCTTTCCTATCCGATCTTATCTAAGCCGGATTTTTTTTATTAGAGCTTAGACATTACGTCGTTTTAATACTTTTTAAGTTCAATAGATGTCACTATAATACAATTCTTTTTATGTTCTATTTTTTAACACATTTTAGTAAAATATGTAATTATAATCTAATTTTAATACGGCTTTAAATATGGACGTTGCAGCTATACTGACCCAAGCTATTGATTAAAAAACAAATAAACAGAAACTAATTTATCTTAATACAACTTTCATTAAAATGATTATTTATTTATAGATTAATATTATTTATTAACTTATTCCTTAGCATAATGATAAAGCTCGAATAATAATGATCTTCTACATTAGAACTGAGCAATACAGATTAACTATATATTTTCTTTAAACTGTTAGGCAGGCGTTTTTCATTAGTTTTTCAAACTACTCGTGCTTCTCAAGCATTTCTCAGTAACACAAACTGTATGACATTCTGTTTACAAGAGTAAGTTCTATTTAAATTATCAAATACTGTGTTGTATGTGTAATAAAATTTAAGATGTAAACTAATAAGATAATATATCAAATGTCTGACTGTGGCAGAAGTTGTCATAAACGGTTTATTTGTATATGGCAACTTCCGCCATTTAAAATGTTAGACATTTTAAATGTTCTTTTACCGACTTTGAAAGTAGCTTTATTGACTACAGTTTCTTTTGCAAAGTATAGCCACAAGATATGGAAGTAACTCGCTGACACTATTAGTATTAGTTAGTATTTTAAAGTGTACAAAATTATGTATTAAAGTGATTTAATGAAAGTTAAAAAAATTACTATATAAATTAATCTAGGTATAAAGTGCTGTCTTACTAACTTTTTGAATACCCATTTTGTTATTTCCGATCTGCATTGACCCAAAAATGTTTAACCTACTTTATTCAATCCGGTGATGAAATATCAATGTATTCATATACAGGACATAGTTACAGTAATGCTACGAAATAAATAATTATCTGAAATTTTTAGAAAAGCTGTGCAAATCCTTGTAATTAGCCTGTTAGATTTTAATTTTAAACACAGGCTATACTATTACAGCGTGGACTTGCTCTACTAGTTGTAATAATTCATTTAATTTATTTATTAATATGAATAATCTATACTAATATTATAAATGCGTAAGTAACTCTGTCTGTCCGGCTTTAACTCCGAAACTACTGAACTGAACTACTAAAATAAAAGTTGGTTTGGACACAGACATTTTAGAGCCTGAGAAAGGACAAAGGCTACTTTTTAAATGCCAACCAAGGGTTGAAAGGGGTTGAAAAAGGGGATAAAAGTTTCCCGGCACCCAGTGGGGCCAGAGTGCCAGACTTCCACCGGGCGCGTCCCCAGGTGGCGAATAGGGGAATGGTCGTCAGATAATGCAGTTAGGCTGCCGGCGCGGACCAAATTTGGTGGGTTTCCACGGGCGTACCCTAAACGGCCAGAAAGGGAACGATTCATCGCTCGGGCGCTTAGCGCCTTTTGTTGTCGGGTCTTTGGATCCAGTGGTGCTTCAGCACGGTGGATGGCTTGTCTCTAAGACCGCGACGTGGAAGCTCCTGATTGGTTTTCGGTAGAAAACCCATCAGGAGGCAAAATGGGGGGGGCGTTTTCGCCCATATAGACGTTTTTGCCGCGCTGGGCAGTGGTGTCTTCGGGCACGTAGGACGGCTGACTCCAAGTCAGCGTGCTGCCTCCAAGGTGGCAAAGGAGAGGCGCGGAAGCGGCTTCGGCCGCTTAGGAGAGCTGCGGCTTTGCTGCGGCATTCGCCAGGGTCGGTCACGTAGTTAAGGTTCTGCTGATACCGTGGCTCATCCTTAAGCGATAAGACGGCGCAGTCGGTTTTTAGTGCGGTATGCCCACCTCTTTCGAGAGAGACCCACATAACCTCGAGGGGTATTGGTTCGAATTGAAGAAGAGCATTTATCGAGAAAGCCTAACATCACGATACGACCAGTAGAAGCTAAGAAACGACGGGGAATGTATAAAACGAGGAAATATTATCATCATTGAGAGTTTATGTTGGGTGCGCTGCGAAAACCGTTGAAGATACCTAAAAAAAGATAATGTTGAAATGTAATGTAAGAAATAATGACTCCGAAGGAATCACTTTTAAACGATCTACGAGTAAAAACGTGACTGCAACATTATATGTTTATCTTTTAAGATTAACTCACAAGAAGGGCGGAACGCAAGCGACGTCGTGAGTAATAGCTATAATTTGTTAAGAAGAAATTAAGAGAGAAAGAAGAAGAAAAAAAAACGAAATTTCTGCCCTAAGTAACTATTCTAGCTAGATATTAATCAAACTGCTTAATAAAGAGAAATTATTATTCGCGGGATTTTTTGTCACATAAAAGTAGCGTTGAAACATTTTTATCAATGCAAAGAACGTGATCCATATTTGACTCTAAGAAGGTGGCTGCAGCCATAAGCCGTCGTAGCAGCCCTTGGTATGACGCGGTCAAAAATACATCACACATAACCAACCGGCTCCTAAATTTTACATTACGTGAAACAGCTTTAGTCACGTTTATCCTCTGGCTCGGTACAGACTCCGTGGACAAAACTCAAAATCAAAATTTTTAAAAAAAGTTAAAAAAATAACAATAGCTGGCAACTTTTCGCGTGTGCGATTCCCGCCGTTATATTTTTGCCGCTTTCCTCAACGAACAAACGGAAGTAAGTGCACTGGAATATTTTTATAACGCCAATTTTGTGCAGCACGTAAGTTAATACAGTATTTTTTACATTCGCGCTAAGATTAATTGGGTTATGTGGATTTTCAGCGAGCACTTTATTACATGTAATTCTTGGAAGCGCGTCTCCGTTCGTGTCGTCTCGATTATTACGTAGAAATACATTAAATTGGGCTTGGCAGGACAGCTAGATATTATGTAAATATAATTTTAGGCTCAACCTCTAGCCGGGAATGTCAATGTGTTGTAATCGGGAGCGAAATCCTGCTATTTTCGGGATCGGAATCCGTTTTATAAAACTACGTGTAACTCGTGATTTCTAAACGTAGGTTGACATCTATTTTTAATCTGTGACCCTTGTGAAATTGTTTTAATATCGTGACTCGGTAACATAATCTGTGGTTACAATGGGATCGCTTGCTCCGTAATAAAAAAAAATGCATAGTTACAAGCCGAATTACCGCGTTTTAAAAATAACGTTTCGTTTACTAATTTGTAATTTCATCTAAACACTTACATACAGTCACGCGTGGATGACGTTAATCAACAAACGCTATTTATGCTTGCTACAATGTGATCATAATGCCAATATATTTCGCATAAACACTTTAAACAAGATTTAGACCGTTAATTACATTCATATTAGTAATTTTAAAGCTACAAGTTCTCGTACTTTCTGGTTGTGTATACTTGCGTGGAATAAAACTATATATAAACTAATAAAATGAAAACTTGCAAAAATATTGTTACGCAGTTAATCGGTAGTTGACTAGTGAGATTTCGCGAGCTATTTACAAACTAGGCAAACATTTTCGTAAATTTTAGTTTTTAATAAAATATTGGGAAAATCATTGGAAAGTTAATCTATTATATAATGCTTAATTTCTATTGATGATCGATTTATACACTCCATGACTTTGTAGGTTGTCTCATAAAATTAAGTTTTATTATAATCTATTATCACAACCATAGATCAAATAACTGCTACAGCTTTATTCCGTAATAATTAAAGCTGGTGTTACCATCCAATTTTAACAAATTGATATTTGAAAAATTAAAGCTTTTTATTATCTTATGAAACGAATACAAATTAATATAATAATAATAAATTAATAATCATATAGACTAAAAATTCTCTAATCAAAGAAGAAATATTTGATATTTTAAAAAAAAGTAACCATGTTGATATTTAAGGATACATAAATGAACATATTTTTAAATATTAACAAATTTAATTTTTTTTACATGTTATTGCACTTGAAGGCACTATATAATTTAAAAATCTAAAATAAATTGAAAAAAATTTCGACTCGAGCAGGACTGGAAGCGGCATCGTCAGCGTTTCGCTCTACGATATGTAAGTGTTAAGGGTGAAATTACATGGCGCGAGAGGTGCATGTATCAATAAGTTGAAGACTCTGTAGCTCAATTGGTAGAACAACAGCACGGAACGCTGACGATGCTGGTTCAAGTCCTGCCCGAGTCGAAATTTTTTTCAATTTATTTTCGATTTAAAAATTTAAAAATGTCAAAGCATGAAAAAAATAAAGATCAAGAAAAAGTTAACATTTTTTAAAGCTTATCTGCGTTCATCGCCATTATTCTTGGCTCTACATCAAGTGCATTGCTTGAATATCTTGCAAGGACGTTGGTGCTATCAAAAAAAGGTGATAGAACTATTTGGCAGAGCAAAACAATCGGATTGAGTGAAAACTGCATTGTACGATCATGATTGCTGTAATAATAGTCGTAAAATTGTAAAAATAATCTTGGTTTCTTTGGCGAGTTGTTTGATCATTGCCATCTGCTTACGAGCTACGAAAATATCTCGATTGTTTTACTAATATTCACGAGGAATTATATTTGTTTGGATTGAATATTCGTTTGTCTGTGAGGCATTTTTATTTCTAGATCCTCGAAAACTTCGAATAGAAAGATTAGAATTGACATTTACAGTTTAGAAATTTCAAAATTATGAAGTAGGTTTTTCAGGTAGATTTTTTCATTTCCTTTTTGTAATTATCACGTTGCCAACGTGTAAAAAAATGCTTGTTGGAAAAATATAAATAATATGGTTTTTGTCAGATGTCAATTTTATACTACCCTCAATGGCTATTCTATATAGTCAAACCATTCATTTCACAAGACACATACAGTATAACTAACAAAAAAAGAGGAAACTTATTTTCTACATTTTTTATTTTTAAATACAGTTTAGACGATTTATAAGAAATAAATAAAATGATAAATTATTGATTTCCTGTTAAAGAATTTCTTTTATCGTTTATAAGAACCGCATAGGTATGTTATCCCCTTATATTCCCGTTCTATTTTACATAAAGTATGATATTTTAGAAATAATAGACACTCAATTACGATGGAAAAGCTATTAAAGCATTTCTATCCTAATTTGCTTTTAAAATTTCTTGTTGGCATTAAACGGAGTATAAGCATCTACTGAGAAAAAAAACAAAACAGCCAACAGCGCATAATATCTCAGTGCGCTGTCTGTTTCAAATGGACCGTGAACAACCGACATTTTGATTGTCGACTCTTGACTTTACGTTCCAACTGCGTGAATATGATTTATTGTTTGTTGTTTATTGTCTATGGCCATTTTTTTAAATATCGAAGTTTTTATTCGTCATTTTGTTTATTATCTGTGGCATTTATTTTTAATAAAATGCCACAGATGAAGTATTACTAATCATGTATTTTGCAAATTGCGAAATATACATTTTTCTAATTACAGAGAAATGTAGGACGTCCTTCTCGTGGATATTGTATTGTATATTATTGTACTATTATTTGTACTTACGTCTTTAGCTTCAAGAAATTTGGCTAACATACGTAATATTATGTATTCCTAAACACGGTTAGTTTCTCGCTAGTTAATTTCCCCCTCAAAAGCTCAAACCGTATAAATTTGTGCGTTAATTGTATCTATTTATATTTTATACCTCGTTATTAGTGTAGAGTTCTGTCTGTCCGCTTTCTTTATTAATTAGTTTCTAAATAGGACAAGGATGATAGTGGATATTCCGTCGTTTTATACGCAACCTAACCATTTTGATTTTTATTTATTACTATATTTGTTACATTATTTAAAATACTTTTAGCTAATTCTGTATTAATATTAAATTTTATGAGGCCGCTAGAGGCAGAGTGGTCTGATAACAAAAAACATGATTTTCAATGAAGAAGAAAATAAAAGTGCGCAATTTACTTAAGCGAAAATTATTCCTTTTATTTGTGTAACGCTTATGTTAACAAATTTCGGTCACTGTGATCCTGTAGATGAACATTTTAAGACTATAAAAATATAAATAAGTCTTATCATAAAATTGTAGTTAGGCTACTCTGGCTCTGGTGGCTTCATATGTGTCTTTTATTACATGAAATTTAGCGTAACAAATTGTTATTAAATTGTAAAGACAATACTCAACATATGGTGTTTAAAATATCGTTGTATTGATGTTCTTAAACACCATACGACCTAACTTAAGACGTATAATATCAATATTAATATCGTATTTTTATACATACGATTTCATTATCTCATCGAAATAGTGTAACGAACTATTTTTATATTTTTCTCTTTTTTATGACGTTGTAAATTCACAAGGGAGCATAAAAAAACACATTCTTATCGGTGGCACAATGATTTGTACACGGTTCGCGTGCCAAAACGTCCATATTAATTACCATTGTTAGAAAATTGTTACATTGTTATGTTAATAGCTTTTAAGAAGTGAACAAACTTTTTAGTATTTTTGGCTAATCGAATACACGTAACAAAAAGTAAGCACATTAAGTATTTTTGTAATAGAGAACAAACTTAGGTTCTTGATGAAATAACCCAGTTATATTATTCGACCTGTTCTTGCTATTGATATTCAGAAATCCACGGACTGAAACGGAATTATACTTCGTGGTTTTTAGTGGAAGGTGGTCATGCCATAATTTTCCATAAATACCACCGCTTTAATATCCAGAGTTTGAGACTATTATATTTTATAAATAAATGACGGTGACTCAATTACAACGACTACAATTGGTTACTTACATTTTTAATAACACTGACACATTTAATCTGCAAAACAATAAATTGTTTCGGTCGGGCAGGGCACAAATCAATAGTTGATTAGCCGTTTGTGCCCTGCCCTGCCTGTGTTATCTACAAATAAAATCAGTGAAACGAACGAAATGGTTTGCAGAACTACTTCTGAATTATTAAATCTGTGTCTAACCATTAATTAAAAATTTTAATCCCCACCATGACCCCAAGTGCTCTAAAACTCCACGACCTTTCGGACTTTACAATATAACTGATTTATTCGTGTTTTAAACTACTAAGTACTTTATTTTATACATAATATGTTTAATTATACCTAATACCAATAAAAACGATACATGCTTCATTAAATCTTCGATCATTTGTAAATATTTGCAATAGGCTGCGTTTGATGTTAGTTCAAATCGTGTTGGGGAATGGGAAATGTTTAGAATATTGAAGTTGTTTGTAAATGCTCGAGTAGTGATTGACTCAATTAGATTTCTAAGCTGCTAAGCTAAATGTAGATTTTATTTGTGCACTAGACTAAATTAGTTATTACGGAATTTCGAAAATGAAGTCCGAAGTTCGAACCTCCGTAGTTTAATGATAACGCGAAAAAGAACACAACTAGAATTTGAGAAAGAAAATATTATATTACTTTATGTACAACTGAAGCACATTTAAATATAAATAAAATAAGTTTAATTAATACATTTCGCGTTTTAAACCGTTAACAGTCTCTATTTAAAGGTTTTACTATTACGTAAACTACAGGCAGTACTTGACTAAAACATATAAGTTTCGTCTGTGCTTATCCATTAGAGATGCGCCGAGTAACATGTACCTAGTTTTACTCGGCCTAAATTTCATGTCTCGCTCTCATGTTCTCGTAATTTTGCCTCATTACTACTCATTCATTAGCATAG